TCGCAACTGTGTGGAAGCATCGCATTCAGCATGGTCTGGACCTCACGTCCATAGACAAGACGGAAAGGCGTGAATCGCGTAGTTTCCTAGACGGCAGTATTGTACGCGAATGTGACGTACGGTAGCACCTGGTCCCAGGTCTTATGCTGGACATCTACGTACATAGATAACATGTCAGGGATGGTCTTGTTGAGTCGCTCTGTCAAGCCGTTGCTCTGCGGATGATATGCCGTGGTCTTGCGATGGCTCGTGTAGCCGAGCTTGAATACGTCATGAATAAGCTGGGCCGTGAATGCTGTTCCGCTGTCTGTGATTACGCACGACGGGGCGCCATGTCGAAGAACGATCTGGTCCATAAAGAATTGGACAACGTCGAAAGCAGAAGCACATTGTAGTGCCTTTGTTTCGGCGTACTTCGTCAAATAGTCGGTGGCTACTACGATCCACTTGTTGCCAGCAGATGATAGCGGAAAGGGCCCCAGCAAATCCATTCCTATTTGATCAAATGGCGCTCTGGTTGGTTCTATTGGTTGAAGAAGCCCCGTGGGCTTTAGTGGCGGGGATTTGTGGCGTTGACATTTCCGGCAGCTTCTCACGTATCGCTTAACTGATGCAGAAAGCTTAGGCCAGTACCATGCTTGTCGAACTCGAGCGAGAGTTCGAGAGGAGCCTAAGTGACCAGATGTGGGCTCATAGTGGCAGGCAAGAAGAATGTCGTCACGCATGTCAGTTGGCACGACTAGAAGATAGGTTCTCTCATTGCCGTTGGAGTTTTTCTTATACAGTACCCCATCTCGCAGACAGAACCACGACAGACTTCGAGAAATACATCGAGGTATGGATGAGTTGCGTTCTTCAAGGTTTTCGATAACTGCGCGAATTTCATCGTCCACACGCTGTCGCGTAATCAGATCTGTTGTAGTAAGGGCCCCAAAGAAACCATCGTCATCCTCGGTGTCGTGGCCACAAACTTCGACAGGAGCATGGGATAATGAATCAGCATCTTCGTGCTTGCGGCCCGATTTGTAAGCGATCGTGAAATCGTATTCCCGCAGACGAAGACTCCATCGTGCCAGTCGCCCACAAGGGTCCCGTAGGTTGGCTAACCAGCACAACGAATGATGGTCGGTCACTACCTTGAAGTGGCGTCCGTAAAGGTAAGGCCTAAATTTCATTGTGGCCCATACAACAGCGAGGCACTTTTTCTCTGACATGGAGTAGTTGACCTTGGCGCGAGAGAGTGCGGCTAGCGTACGCTATCACTCGCTCTGTGCCCTCTTGTTGTTGTACGAGGACAGCACCAAGACCCACGTTGCTGGCGTCAGTATGAATTTCAGTATCAGCGTCTTGGTCAAAATGAGCGAGGACTGGTGGTGTCTGCAAACGCTCTCGTAGTTCAGAGAAAGCTGCGTGCTGTTCTTCCTCCCAGACGAATGGACCATCTTCACGAGTGAGTCAAGTGAGCGTTTCAGCAATCCTAGAAAAATTGGCTATAAAGTGGCGATAGTACGCGCAGAGCCCTAGAAAGCGACGCACTGCCTTCTTATCACGTGGAACAGGAAACGAGGCGACGGCGGTACTTTTGTCAGGGTCTGGTTGAATACCATCCGCTCTGACAACATGGCCGAGAAAATTTAAGTTCCTTGTAACCAAAATGACTTTTTTCTGGCTTCAGTGTCAGGTTAGCGGAGCGGAGCGCTTCCAGCACATTCTGCAGACGCTTCAGGTGCTCCTCAAAGATGGCAGAAAACACGACAACATCATCGAGGTAAACTAAGCACGTGTGCCACTTTAGACCGGTAAGAACAGTGTCCATCATTCTCTGGAATGTCGCAGGTGCAGAACAGAGGCTGAAGGGAAGCACTTTGAATTCATATAGGCCATCCGGTGTAATGAAGGCGGTTTTTTCACGATCTCGTTCATCAACTTCGATCTGCCAGTAGACACTTTTCAAGTCTATGGATGAAAAATTTTTGGCCCGCCGCAGTCTGTCGAGGCAATCGTCAATGCGAGGCAGCGGCTAGACGTTTCTTTTAGTCACGCTGTTAAGTTTCCTGTAGTCCACGCAGAAGCGCAGTGATCCATCTTTTTTCTTCACGAGCACGACCGGAGATGACCAGGCACTTTTCGAAAGTTGGATAATTTCATCTTGCAACATCTCTTTGACTTGAGCATTTATCACGTCACGTTCCTTTGCCGAAACGCGGTAAGGGTGTTGTTTTATGGGCGAGGCGTCATTATGCATAATTATTCGGTGTTTGGTGATCGGTGTCTGACGAACCTTCGAGGTGGACGCGAAGCACTCTTTAAATTGATATAGCAGTTCACGCAGCTCGGTCTGTTGTTGTTCCGAGAGGGTCGAGTTGACATCAACTTTTCCAAGTAGTGAAGTCATGTCGCTTGGTGTCGGTCGAAGCCCGTCGTTGGCTGATGTAGATGCGAAGCATTCAGAAACATCTGCGATAGGGTAGGCGAAAGCGATGGCGGTGTCGCGAAACAGGTGCCGGTACTCGTTACTGAAATTAGTCACAAGTAGGGCAGAGTGTCCGTCATAAAGCGTGACGAGGCTGCGTGCAGCGCAGACACCTAGCGCGAACAAAAGCGTCAAGTTGCCTTCGGCGACAACCTCACCATCCCGTAACTTGTCAGACACATCAACTAGGACGCTTGAACGCGGAGGCAACGTGATGCTGTTGGCAGAAACGCGAAGCGTGCTGTCACGGATGTTGTCAGGTTTGTCGGAGGATCCAGCTGTCGAAAACGTCACGGTACGCTCTCGAAAATTGATAATAGCGCCGTGCTCCCGCAAAAAGTCGACTCCGAGGACTAGGTCTCGGGAACAGTCACAAAGTACGAGGCAGCTGGCGAGAAACGTACGTGCCCGAATGCTCACTCTGATGGTGCACATGCCGATTGGGGTGACTACGTGCCCGCCGGCAGTACGAATTTGTGCTTCGTACCAAGGCGTTACAACTTTCTTTATGTGCACTGCTAGTTTCCCGCTTATGATCGAGTAGTCCACACCTGTGTCCAATAATGCACTAACGTCGTGGTGACCGTCGACTACCACATGTATATCCAGAGAAAATCTGTTTCTGGCTTTCGTCGCTGTCGGGGAATCGCTCCGTGTCCGTGCTTGCGTCGGTGGGAGGCCTTGCTTGCGTCGAGTGTCAGCGGCCTTGCTCCCGACGGTCGCTGTCGTTAGTTTTCCCGCCTAGGGCTTGGCAAGCGCGCCGGCGCCGCTCCTGGGTGGCTCCAAAAATTTGGAGAAGATCGCCTTGGGGATGGGGACCACGACTGTCGCCGCAATGGCATGCGCTGTTGTGAACGGTAATTTTCAATAGCTTGCGGTCTTTCGCCGAATCTCGGCCGTGGTGCGTCGACGGCAAAACCGTGTAGTTCCGAGGCGACGATAGGGACATTCCCGGTACACATGTCCAGCTTCACCACAGTGGTAACACAGTGGCCGTCTGTCCAGTGTGTGCCATACGTCGGATTTTCTGGGAAGCGGCTGTCGATTTTCTAAGTGCTGAATTGGCTGCAACGAAGGAAGTGCACCCTGATGCATAGAATTAATGAAGCGCGGTGAAGCAGGAATACATCGGCTTGCAGCTTCTGCGTATGATGCACGATGTGGCTCCGCCGGGACAGGTGGGACATAGCTGGAAGGCGGCACTAGGAGAGCCTGTTGTACTTCGTTTCTGGCAAGGCTGCAAATAGACCCTGCAGTAGGTTGGGACTGGCACTGAATCTTTAGTAGTTCGTCGCGCACCACCGATCGAATGAGCTCGCAAAGAGACTCGATGTTGATGTTGCCTGCCGCACCTCCGATCTGACCTATTGACGAAGCGGCACTCACTTGCTGGTCGTACACAGTAGGGCGCTGCTGCAGCAGTTGCTCCATGGTTGTGGCTTCGGTCGAAAATTCCACCACAGTCCTTGGGGGCCAGCGAAAAGCTGCTCCTTCACTCCTCGCATTAAATGACGGACCTTCTTTTCTTCTGCCATGCCGGGTCAGCTCGACGAAAGAGGCTCGTCCTTTCCTCAACGTACATCATGACGCTTTCATTCAGCATTTGGAGGCATTACTGGATCGCTCGCTCGGCTCGTTCGCGGCGATCGGGATTGGCCCAACTTGCTAGCAGGTATCGACGAAAGATGCTCCACGAGGGAAAAGGCTCACGGTTTTTGTACCAAGTACGAGCGCCGTCCTCCAAGCTGAAATACACGTTCCTCATTTTGTTGAAGTCGGTTCAACCATTGTAATCCGAAACCCGTTCGAACTGGGCCAGCTAGTCTTCGACATCCTCCAAGACAGAACCAGTGGAACACCTTCGGCACACGTGGCTTCCTCAGCGTATGATGCATGACTGCAGCGCTTTCCTGTACGTTGGAGGCTGCAGCGCCTTCCGGAGCGTTCGGGGGTGTGACAGACGTCATCTCGGGAAGAGGTCCACGCTCAGCAGGTAGTCCTTGGAGTCTTCGGCTTGAGTGGTGGACAGGTGTTGTCACTGCAGGTACAGGGCTACCTGGAGGCGTTTGGAACATCGGCTGGGGGTTATCCAGCAGCTCCACCAGTTGTCACGTGCTACAAAAGGTCTTCAACTAGGAAGAACTAAGCCGGCGGGGAGACGCACCGAAAACTGGCAAGATGGCTGCTTCAATAATAAACAACTAGCCAGAGCACACGCTGCCCCAAAACATTGTCTTCCATTCTCGCGGGACGCCATGGCTTGCGCTCGCCGTAACTAGCGGCCAAGTGGCAATATAAATATAATGTAAATGCATAACATTTAACTTGCTCATGTGTGATATATATATACAGGCATGCTTTTAATTATGTTATACAGTTGAATATCTGGACTCTTATCAAATACTGCACGTCTCAAGTATATCCGCTGAAGGCTGTGAGCCAACACAGCATGCAGAGGGTGCCTTGTATACGTGTCTGTATGCATTTCTACACATGCACACACACATACCCACATTTCCAATTCAAGATATATGGTACTCAAAGCAGTGTGCCTGTTTATTGCAGGATGCAGAGAATACACATATTTCAGCAACTTAATTTGCAGTTAAACCTGGCATGGCTAAATCATGGTTCAGCCTTACCAAGTTAAAGATATTGTGCATATATAAAAACAACAGAGCTATGTTGATGCACATCACCCTCACTTTTAAAGAAATCTGTTTTTTATGCCTTCTAGAAATAAATATGGATTTGTGCAGAATAAATATCAAGAACAAGTACCACAAGGCAGTTTTTCTCTAAATTATTTACATCTATTGCAAAATTTTACACATGCTTCTTGCAATGTGCATTATATCACAATGGCCCACATAATCTGACCATAACCAAGGCAGTGCAATTTTATTTAGATTAAGAAACAAGCAGCGAAAATTATTGCACAATAGTCCTGTCTTGCAGGAATGTAATATGGTAATAACTAGGAAGTTCAATGACCATGGGTTACTTGACAGCATGTGTGCCCAGCTATGCAAAAGGAGAAACATGCACGACTTCTGAAGCAAATGCAAAATAAATTAATGCAGCACTAAAACGGCAATAATAATCAATAAATTTTTAATCACTAATACAAACAAACATAAAAAATATGCAGTAAGGCAAATGTGAAAGAACATTACCATATAGCTGTTATCATATGGCTACGAGGAATTTTGCAACAATGTTTAAGAACTTTGCAACAACAGACCTTGGTGTTGCCTTTTTGAGCTCAAGAAAAAATCTTTCGAGGACGACAAGGGTGTTGAACGCTTTACAAGCATATTGAACATTGAACAACCAGTTTGCACACATAATTGCGACAAGTCCTTCCTCTGCATTAGTCACTTGAAAACACTTTGTCTGGTCTACCATCAGCCAGAAAAACTCTGCATCTTCAAGGACGACCCCATTATTAGAAGACACGCATGGCGTTGCTGGCATGTCGTCCTGTATTGGCAAAGTGAGAATGTATAAGACTTCACTGAGTGGCTTACTTCAAATTCTGTACAGTTTGAAAAACAGGTTTAGTGCTCTTCAAAAGACACAACTTGTGTTTAGCATTACAGATGTGATATCTATCATTAAGAACAATTTCAATGTGTGTACCATAACTATGGTTTAACTGGGAGATTGAAACAATATAGTGCATCTGACAAAATGAAGGGAGCAAAATTGTAGTGTGACGAGTTCTCTAGGCAATCACAATGCAAAGCAATGAAAATTTATGCATCCATTCGACATACACACACAAAAAGCTGATATTCACTGCCCCTTAGCGTGTACAAAACTTGCCTCATTAGGGAATAGGGAAAGAAAGCAAGCCTCATTCAAGAATTTCTTCAGACATATCTAGTTATTCTACATCAGCTAACAAAAATAACTGTGTTATAATTAAAAATAAAAATTTCTTCTTCCTGGAAAAATAAAAACACTCCTTAACACACACAAAAAAATAACAACAGCTGGAGAAGGTGATGCAGATTGTACCATATATTTCTATCCTTGTTTCATCTTGCAATTTATTTTTTACTTGCTCTACAAATCTATTACAATGCAACTATAACGCTCATCACACTGCTATTCTATGTCTGTGTATTTAACCTGATACTCAGATTTTTTAAACCCAAGTATGGAGTGCATAAGGTTAAGGAGCACTCAAGAGTTTGAAAATGTCTCTTGTTTTGCAGACACAATAATGGTGGCGGAGGATAGGCTTGTGTAAATTTATTTAATGCACACTACTCAAAAGCAAGACATGTCACAAAGCAAACAAAGCATAAAGTTAGCCTGGGGCCTTGCATTCATATATTAAAGGAATCATGTCACAAAACTAATTCATGATTACACTGATCAGATAGAGAGAGAAAGTATATGCTAGCAGGAGTTACTGCTATTTTGCAAAGCGACATGTGAAACAACGTTTAGAATGAAAAAACACCGTCTTGACGTAAAATGCAACCTAAAGTGAGTATTGCAAGGCATCATTTAGAGCATATGGATGCATAATTGCAAATCAATGTCACGCACTTGAAAAAAAAAAAATACTGGATGACTGACCTTCACAATTCCTTCATTTACGTTGGTCACAGCTTACAGCCACAAAATTATGTTTTACACGTTATCTATCGCTATCTCGAAATTTGGTATTACAGTCAAACCCCTTTACAAGAGACACTGATATAAGAGACAAACAGGTTTCAGAGACACCAGTGTGCCTACACTAAAATATGGGCTGATAAGAAAATGCATACGAGGCACCCTGCTCATAAGAGACATCTCGTATAAAAGATGATGATGATGATGAGTAGTTTTTAGTGGCGCAAGGGCCAATTGATGGCCAAAGAGCGCCATTTCATTTGACTACAGATATGAACAATGATATGGTGCGTGGCTGTAAAGGGGCCTTAAAATTCCTCGCTCTAACGCGGGCTAAAACATGAAAGTAATAAAATTATGACAGTGGCGTGACATATGTGTGGTGATAGCTGATGGCAAAATGTCATGATAATAAAACCATGATGAAGATATAGTCACCGCAGCCACGACCACTCCATGGAGGTCAGGCTACAGATGACCTCGAAATATCGGGTGAAAGCTTTGCACTTCTTTTAAAAATGTAAAAAGTGTTTGTAGTTTAAAAAGCGGATCCCTACCGATGAGCATCCTAGGGTGTAGAGGGAGCTGCTGTCGGTAGGGCAGTAAAAAGTGCTTTTTTCTTACAGCATCTAGCTCATTGCACTGGACGAGAATGTGGAGAACCGTAAGGGGCTCTCCACATCTCTCACAATATGGCGGATCACCGGTAGACAGAAGAAATGAATGTGTAGAATGTGTGTGTCCAGTCCTAAGCCTTGATAGTATTACTTCCGTGTGTCGTGATTTTGATAGTGGCGGCCAATAACCTAGTTGCGGCTTAATAGCATGGAGTTTATTATCTGTTTGTTTATCCCACATGCTCTGCCAATACTCCCTGAGCTTTCGTTTTATAAAAGGTTTTAAGTCAAGTGCAGGGACTGGTGTTGGTGCATTGGCAGTAGTGACATTGGCGCAAGCAGCCAGATTGTCGGCCAAAACGTTCCCTTGTATTTCACGGTGCCCTGGAACCCAGCAGACAACGACATGCTGTTTTGATGCGTAGAGTGTGCACAGAAGTGAGTAGAGTGACACCAGCACGGGGTTCTTGTGTTTTTTAGGAGTTTTCAGGGCTTTGACCACGCTTAGGGAATCTGTGTATATTACCGCCTTTTGTAATTTTATCTGTTTAATGTGTTTTACGACCGCCAGTATTGCGTAAGCTTCTCCTGTGAAAATGCTTGCATTAGGATGAAGAACGCCGGCCTCAGAAAAGGATTGGCCTATTGCTGCATATGACACAGAAGTGTTTGACTTTGACGCATCAGTAAAGAACTCAGGGCATGTGTATTTATGTTGTAGTTCTAAAAAGTATGTATGTATGTGTGCAAGTGGTGCGTGCTTTGTGACATCAACAAAAGAAACATCACAGTCTATAAGCTGCCACTGCCACGGTGGCAGATATGTTGCAGGAGCCATCAAACTGGGTTCAAGAAGAGGCACACCTGTTCCTTCGGCCAAGCTCCTTACACGCAGCGCGTAGGGCTGCCTAAACGAAGGTCGGTTCTCGAACAAGCCAGAACACGACAAATCATTAATTGTGAAATGGGAAGGATGTTTCTTGTCTGCCTTCACCTTCAAAAAGTACAAAAAGGACAGGGAACATCTTTGTAGGTAGAGCGACCATTCATTCGAATCCACGTACAGGCTCTCCACAGGGCTGGTGCGGAAAGCACCCGTAGAGAGGCGAATGCCTAGATGGTGGACAGGGTCGAGAATTTTCAAGGCTGATGGTGTTGCCGACTGGTAGACTATAGCACCGTAATCTAGGCGTGTGCGTACGAGGCTTTTATATAGGTTAATTAAACATTTCCTGTCACTTCCCCATATAGTGTGTGACAACACTTTCAAAATGTTCATTGTTTTTAAGCACCTGTCCCTTAAATACTTGATGTGTGGGATGAAGGTTAGCTTAGTGTCTAATATGAGACCAAGAAACTTGTGCTCGGTCTTCACTGACAGAGGTTGACCATGCAGGTCAATGTCGGGGTCAGGATGGAGGCCCCTCTTTCGGCTGAACAAGACACAAGTGCTCTTTTGCGCGTTGAGTATAAAACCATTCTCGTTTGCCCATTGAGATACCTTGTTCAACCCTAGTTGAACTTGACGTTGGCACATTGAGATGTTGCAAGATTTGTAACCAATCTGCACATCATCGACATATATGCAGTAAAAAATATTTCGTGGGAGAGACAGGTGCAAGGAATTCATTTTAACTATAAAAAGTGTACAGCTCAATACACCTCCTTGTGGCACTCCTGTTTCTTGGACAAATACTCGAGATAAGACAGTGCCAACTTGGACACGGAATGTACGGTTTGGACAGGTAGCTTTCGATAACTGTCAGCATTCTACCCCGCACACCTAAATGTGACAGGTCTCGCAATATGCCGAAGCGCCATGCAGTGTCATATGCCTTTTCCATATCGAGAAACACAGAAAGAAAAAATTGCTTATGAACAAAAGCGTCGCGAATTGTGCCTCGATACGGACAAGGTGGTCAGTGGTGGGACCGAGCCTCTCGAAACCCACACTGGTATGGGTCAAGTAGGCCACTAATTTCAAGGAAGTGCATCAGGCGCCTGTTAATCATTTTTTCAAAGACTTTGCAAATACAGCTGGTTAATGCTATTGGCCTGTAGCTGGAAACTGAGGCCGGGTCCTTGCCTTGTTTTAGAATTGGGATAATGATAGCTTCCTTCCAGGCTGAGGGTAGCTTTCCAGAAGACCATATCGCATTATAGAGAGAGAGGAGAGCTTTCTGGGTTTCAGTGGGCAGGTGTTTCAACATTTCATATGCCACACGGTCCGGGCCTGGGGCAGATTTATTGCAGCAGGCAAGTGAGGCCTGCAGTTCAGCAAAACAGAAAGGTTCGTTGTATGCCTCATGTGTTCTGGGCTTGCGCTCTAATCTCTGTTTTTCTATTGCGGTTTTGTATCGTCGGAACGCTTCACTATAGTGTGTTGAGCTGGAGACCTGTTCAAAGTGCGCTCCGAGAGTGTTTGCCTGGTCTTCCAAACTCTCCCCTTGTGTGTTCACTAGAGGAAGCGAATGTGCTTCTCGTCCTGCCACCTTGCCAACCATGCTCCAGACTCTCGACTCATCTGTGTATGAGTTAATGCCCGATACGAATTTGTGCCAACTTTCTCTTCTCGCCTGTCGGCGCGTCCTCCTTGCTTGCGACTTGACGTTCTTAAAGTTTACAAGATTCTCGGCTGTGGGCGAGTCTCTAAGCAACCTCCATGCCTTATTTTGTTTTTTTCGAGCATCACGGCACTCATTATTCCACCATGGGACTCGTCGTTTGCTTGACGGTCCACATGTTTGGGGAATACATTTTGCTGCTGCATCAACCAAGAAAGCTGTAAAGTAGCATACAGCATCCTCTATGCTCAATGCCGCCATGTCAGTCCAAGATAATAAAGTCATTTTTTGAAATTTTCCCCAATCAGCTTTGTCGGTGAGCCATTTTGGAACTTGTACAGGACATGTATTTGTTATTGATGAGCTGATAACGATAGGAAAATGGTCACTACCATATGGATCATTAATAACTTCCCATTTAAGTAGAGCCAGGAGTGATGGGGATATTATGCTGAGGTCTATTGCTGAGTACGTATTGTTAGCAATGTTGTAGTATGTTGGCGCTTTCCGATTCAGAAGGCATGCACCGCAAGAAAAAAGAAGCTGTTCAATCAGGCGACCTCGAGCATCGCAGCGAGAGTCACCCCACAGATTGCTATGTGCATTGAAATCTCCCAGAAGAATATAAGGTTCTGGAAGTTCGTCTATGAGGGACTCGAATTCATGCTTTTCTAGACGGTGTTGTGGAGGTATATATAGAGAGCAGATAGTGACGAGCTTATTCAATAGAACTGCTCGAACAGCCACCGCCTCAAGGGATGTTTGTAATGTTAGGTGTGTGCATGCAATCCCTTGATTGACTATAATGGCAACACCACCGGATGGCACAATGGCATCATTCCGGTCTTTCCGAAAGATAATGTAGTGACGTAAAAAGTCGGTGTGTTTCGGTTTCAGGTGTGTCTCTTGTACGCACAGCACTTTAGGTGTATGTTTGTGTAAAAGTTCCTGGATATCGTCGAGGTTTCTTAACAGTCCTCTGACGTTCCACTGTAGTATTTGTGTCATTTTAATTTAGTGTGGTGCTGTGCATACAGAGGTGTTGCGTTAGTTTACAGGGCCTTTTGAGGGCCCTGTGATTCGAGGTTTTTCTTTTTTGGCGCGCTCCAAGGAGTTGCGCCTATCCTTCGGCGTCTGAGGCGCCGAAGGAGTGGGACTTGTATCCATCACCTCGTGTGAGGTGGTGGATGTTGCCTGCTGGGCAGGCACATTCACTGAACTTTCGGACCTGACTGCGCCTGCAGTGGTCCGAGGTTCAGCAGACACTAGGGTCTGCCGGCCCTGTTTGTCAGGGGGCGGAGCAGTACAGGCTGCTCCAGCCGGGGGCGCTGGTGGCACGACCGCGGCCACACACTGTGTGGCATTCGCGGGTGCCGAGGCATGTGGCGCGGCGCCCCGGCGCGTCACATCTGCAAAGGAGGGATAAAATGGGTTGCGTATTGCGAAGCGTTGGCGCGCTTCTTGGAATGTGAGATTAAATTTAACTTTAAGTTCTACTATTTGTTTCTCTTTTTTCCATGCGGGGCATGATCGTGAGTAGGCAGCGTGATCTCCTTCACAGTTCGAACAATGAGTTGTTTCTGAGGTGCAGTTGTCTGATATGTGTTGAATGGATGCGCACTTTGCGCAAGTGGCACGCCCTCTGCAACTCTGCGATCCATGACCGAAACGTTGGCACTTGAAACATCGACGAGGGTTGGGAATGTATGGTCTTACACGAAGCTTACAATAGCCGGTTTCGATTGATTCTGGTAGGTCACTTGTTCCAAACGTAATTATTACGTGTTTTGTAGGGGTCAGTTTGTTGTTGCGTCTTATTGTTATTCGTTGGACTTTGACCACGTTCTGGTCCTGCCAACCTTCAAGCAGCTCACTTTCAGAAAGCTCAGTAAGATCATCATCAGAAATTACGCCACGGACAGTGTTCATGGACCTGTGTGGGCCCACCGAAACAGGGGTTTCCCCAAAGGCCACAAGCTTAGACAGCTTTTCATACTGAGCTTTGTCACGAACCTCCAGAAGAAGATCGCCACTTCCCATCTTTGTTACTTTGTAACCTGGGCCTATTGCTTCTGTGAGAGTTTTGGAGACGAGAAAAGGTGAAATAGCTCGGACTGTCTTCTTTTCGTTTTGACTGTGAATTACATGGTACTTTGGGAATGTGGGCTTTGGTGTGTTAGGCAAGAAAGTATCTTCGGTGCGCCACCTTTTTAGGGAGCGATCATGAAGGGGGGGAAAAGATTTTGCCATAAAATACAATAAAGTTCGGCGGCGATGGTGGCCACCCACCACCGAGCCCAACAAGGGGACGCTACAAGGTTGACTAGTGAACACTTGGAGACGCCAGCCATGCATCACCGCTATAACCGAATATAACTACCCAAGGTTGGGTAACTACACAGGGTTAACCCTCGCCGCCAGGAAATTCGGAAGTAAACGGAAAAGAGAAGATGACAGGACAGATAAAAAGTGAGAGATAAAGACGAAGATGTAGGAAGAGAGAGATAGGAAAAGGCGACTGCCGATTTCCCCTGGGTGGGTCAGCCCAGGGGTGCCGTCTACGTGAAGCCGGGGCCAAAGGGGTGTGTTGCCTCTGCCGGGGGGCCTTAAAGGTCCAATCACCCAGCGTCAGCTCAACCCCCAGGATCCCCTTTTCCCCGGACACGGCAAAGCCACGCACGGCTAGGCGTGGGAGGGAGCCGAAACTCCCCCGTTAGCTCGGGTTCGTGGTGTCGCTACACACCAAACGCCTACTTGCGCAGGCGCCCCTGCGGGACGTATAAAAGACGAGAATTGCCATTCGAAACATCCCTCTTATGAAGGGGTTTAGCTGTACTGGCATTGGTTTGTCATAACTTGACCATTGGCCTCTGCTAGCAATAGTGAGTTCGCTTTGATGCAGTTTGTCTAAATTTTCGTTTGCTAACATGCAGTGACATTAGCTACTCAGTGTTTCGTATACTCACAGTCTCTTGCACAAACAAAATTGAGCATGCTGACCGTTCCTTGACATTCTCACAGACGATGTTCAGAGCTACAAGTGCCATAATATCTGTAAAAAATAAAATTATGCAAGGCTATTTTATTGGACAGTAATGAATAATTTCAAACTGTCATAAGAGGCAATGAAGCATGCATTTCAACATCTATAAATACTTTCTAAATAAGCCTAGGAAGGGGAAGATGCAAGCTTGTCATGCAAAATTTGTAAACAAGTGGCATATGCTGAATAAATTGGCTAGAAGGGTAATGTGTTGACTTCGATCACAATTGTATAAAACACAAATGTGATAGCCAGCTTTCACATAACACGTAAAAACCATATTTATCATAGGAACGAATCTGTTAATTACACTTCCTTTGAATATAGGTTAATTCTAGCCGTGACTTCTACAAAGGAGGGCCATCAGCATACTGCTAATTATTCCCTCGTGAGAAAAATATTCTTCGTGGCCCTAAAAAAGGGTGTTACATCTAGGAAAGCGTCAACGATGCAAGTGTATTGAAATGTAACAAAAGGGTGAGTTGGGCCAAATAATGTGAGCTCATGGATTAAACAACAATAAAAAACATAAAAAAGGACTCCATACAGGCATTTCTGATGTTCAGCTATCATATGTGTCTTTCATCGTTTACGCTGTTCAAAACAGTAAGTGTAAAGGTGGCAGTCTGTGCAGGTTCATCCATTTATCAGATGTGTAGCACTTGATAGAAAACATAAACAAAAAAAGCACACACAAATGAGCTCTGAACTGCAAACTTAGGGCACATTGAAACGACTTTTCTTACAGGTTGTGATACATATGGCCTCCTAATACAGCCTCCTGTGATTTGACCTCCTGTGATAACTAAGCCTCCTGATACATATGGATGCAATTCCACTCTTCTGGCCTTTTTATGGGGAGCTGCATAAGGTCTCTCTTCACGAGAGCAAGGATGTGTGGCTGCTAACATTTCAAGTACCCTTGCATGTGTGTGCTGTGAACAGATTTTTCAGGGCCATTTTTCTTCAGCTTCTACATTTATTAGAAGCTGTGTCCTTACAAGAAAGCAAGAAATGATACATAAATAAAGCAAACAATAAATTTGAAAGCACTGAATCTGAAAAAAAAAAATCGTAAAAGGTATACAAAAGGTAAGTAATACATAAGTACACAAACATGTTTTACTCCCTCTGCAAATTTATAATATATTTAGAATGGTGATGAGCTATTTATGATAATGCAGATTGCTATTTTAAGTACCGCAAAAAAAGTAGGTCAACACAAGAACTTAGTGCTAAAAAAGTATGTGACCTGAGCAATGTAACTGATTGAATGCACTAGGAGAAAGCCAGAGTAACTCTGATTTAAGTGGCAAAAGCTCCTTGAACAGCTTGGGCTAGTTTCATAAAAGACAGGCAATTATTAGGATTCACGATAGGGCAAACAATAAAATTATTTGCTGATAAATATTATAGTATACAGGAGAGTGCATGCATATTACATTGTGTAAAATTAACTATGGGGTTATTGAAAAACCGTAATCTAATGTTTTACAAACCTAGTAAGTACGCAGTTATCCTTGTCTGCTTTCTTCCCTGTTTTTACACAATTGTATTTCAAGTATCAAGTACAAGCTAAACTGAAATAAAATTCTCATGAACTCACGTCTTGTTCTCATTTCCTTTTGGGTTCCATTTGGCATGCTCTGTCCAACATTTGCCTCGCGTCTTCACTACAAGGTATTTTCTTCACTGCCAATTGGGTTAATCTATCGATGGCTGTTGAAACCTTCTGGACTGGTTTTATATCTGTCAATCTTGTAAAGTCATTGCAGAACTGCATAGAATAAACAGCGAGCAACATTCTAAAACAAAATGTCAGGCCTTTCATGATAAGCAGCCTCACCTACATAATTGTTCATATATTCTAAAATAGTTTCTGGCGGCACCCAAACAATCTCTCTGCGAAATACAAATAGAACATTGCCCACTAAATATACGTCCTCGACCATGAAATAGACAACATTCAAATGACTATACAGTAAGTACTCAAAATCACGTCCCCATGTTTTTCTTATCTTTACTGTAAGCTGGTTTTCATTGAAGCAGCGTCATATGAAGAAAACCGAGGCCTAATGTTTCTACCTTTTTCTTGCGTTTAGAGCAAGAGCCTTGTTCTGGCAGACTTGATGCCTTCGGAAAGTATGTGAGGGATTATTAGTAAACTCCAGCTAGTACAAAAGCAATATGCTGCGTGGTGGCAGCAAACAAAAGGTGTTCAACACTCATCGCAATAGCTTAGAGCCTGCAGCACTGGCTAACACTCCCAAGTTTAAGTGCACACATCCACCCCAATTAAGTGTACAGGAGGAAGACTTGCACTGTATAGCTTGCAAATACCTCCTTTCTGTAAATTTTCAATAATAGTGGACGCATTTCTTAAAACACACCGTAAATATATGCACGATATTCTTTTAGACTGATGGGGCCGCAATCTTGGACTGATAAGCGTTTGTTTTGTCGAATTTATATGTCACAATATGGTATGATCGTGGTCATAAAATGTTTATAGTGCCGGCAAAGCGGTTTTGTGCGTGTGAGCTAGCTCACCGTAGCACTCTTTCTTTATTTGATACGAATACTAAACTGCAACGTTATCAGTCCAAGATGACGGTGCTTGAGCGCGTTTGGAAAATGGTGTACATAGACAGTGAGAGAGAGCGAAACTTATCGAAAGTGTTGTGAAACGATAACTGCTGTGACTGCTCATCGCTGTCACGAACCGGTGCGAGGGAATAAGCGTGTCGTTCGTACGTGGAACGTTAGGGAGCACTAGAGTCATCGTGCGCATTTACGCGCAAGCGGGTTTGTCACGTGGTATTTTTTTGTATTTTGTGGGCATTTGTAATTAGCAGAAAAACACTAATACCTAACAGATGTAAAGTTCAAAACTGTCTAATAGGACGTTTTGCAAACCGATCTACAACTTTCTCATTGAATTTTTTTATCTATTTTCGTTTATTGAAAACTTAGTTAATTAAACATATCTAATCAAACATATTTGAGAACACAAAAAATAGTCTGACTACCTCCAGGCAACGGTGAGTAACATGCATTTGGTCGCGTCGTAATAACGTGTTATGGCATATTTTTAAACTCTGGCTCAAGTTACGTGGGACACCCTGCATACTGACGTCTACGGGGCAGATTTGGAACTCCTGCCTCACAGGGAGCACACCCTTTTCTACCGCACATCAGTTGGACATCCACGTGTAGAGAATAAGATAAAGAAGAAAAACGCCAGGCCTGCGCGGAAGGCGCAGCACAGTCAAAGCGAAAGCTAGAAGAGCGGTCTTTCAGAGCCTTTTCTAAACACTCATTGGATAACTGCTGCAAGCACACTTGTTTGATAACCACTATGGCATTAATGAACATTTTTGTGAAGTAGGCTGGCATTCGCTATGCTATTTTTGTTATTCTTCGTAGAAGCTTGGTATCCGCTAAACACTTGCAAAGGAATTTTATGCCAATTGTTGATGCAGTGGCTGCTGATGATGAGGAATTGTGCCTGAAGTGGGTATGCACCACAGTTAATAGGTGAACAAGAACGAGCTTTTGTAATGGGTTAGAGCATTGGACGACCCACTTGTTATGCTGTTTGCATTGAGCCATGACTGCTTGTTCTTTCGCTGTTTTAAAACTCTTTATAAGTCGTGTTAACATGATTGCTTTCCCGACGTTAAGCCTGCCTAAGGCAAGTTTGCCAACAAGTCACAGGCACTGGCGAGGCTCAGTGGCTGGAATACCCCTGGCAGGAATATCACTTCCGACACGAGTGTCCCTTTTGTTTGTAAGTGGACTGGGTTTATAATATTAAAAATTTATTACTATATTTACACTAAAAAAATTTTCACCGCTATGGCTTAATGAGACATGTTGCAAGAATAAAGTTTATGGTGTCTTTATGGCCCTAAAATTGTTTGCAAATGATTAGCAAATGCCTGGCCTTTGAGATTGTGAGGGATAGGTCCGTGATCACACGGCAACTTAAATACTCATTGCCGAGATGGACGAAGACATTTGCACGAGGTTGAAAACATGTTCATGATGCAAGAGATGACGTAGGAGTTAGCAGGTAATGAAGCGATACAAAAGGGACTGCAATGACGAGCACCGTTCTCAAGTCACCTAACGCAGTTCCCCCTTACAATAAACAAGGCTGGCAAGGTTTCACCATGTGCGTGTCGAAGGCTGCTAGGTCGATGAGTCGCTGCGTGGAGTGGTGCAGGGACACTAGGGACAGGCCAAGCGTGGCTGAAACCCAGCAGAATCGACGTCGTGGAAGTAACTCGTAGTCCTGGGTCTTGAAGGCGAACGACTAACGGACGGACTGCAGGCAGCGGTCTGCATCGGGACCAGGACCCGACGAGCGCCTCGACTTGATGATGATGATGATGATGATTCCACAGGCATGGCCCGTACCAACACCACCTAAATCTAGGTGGTGTGGCTCGTACCCACTCAGGGGGATCGCCCAAGAATCGATGACTTAATTAAGTAAGACTTTTTTTTAATATCAAAACCACCCACCAGAAAAAAAGAAAGAAAAAAGAAAAGACACCCTAGGCAGAATGAAAGGAGTGCAATAGTTGCTTGTCACTCGTTCAGACAAGACAATTATTCATTACCTTGAATAAGAATCAGCATAGTTAAACAGAGCTCTTGTGTTCGTTGGATTTTTTTTTTGCACGAATAATAATCACGCAATTAAAAGCTTAATTCTTTTACTTTCATTAAAGTACTTGCAAACTGCGTAGAAAACGTTCTTGTGGCGGAAGCCCAGATCGTAAGCACCGAAGGAAAGTATGTTTTCTATAGTGAAATTCAGCCCCAGGCTAGCGAATGGGAGGACTAAGAATGTTTTCCTGAGCAATTTGTATCGGCGACATGATTGCAACTGATGTTCTTGTTGACCTTCACTTGTGGCTCATACCCACTGTAAGGGATCGGCCGATAATTGAGTGGTATTATAAAGCATTATTCCATTTTAGAGTAACTGCTTCGCCATCCCGTTCTCTAACCCACTTCTTCCTCCACTTCTCTTCGTGTCCGTAGAGTTTCCTATCTCGATTACGCCTTCCAGCTTGTCTTGTCCTCGTCTCCATCGACGCATAGGTGTTCTGTGCCACACAGCTACAGTTCAATATAACACAGCACAAAACCACAACTAACGTTACTAGAACCACAACCACCACGCTCCCCATGAAATTACCACGCACAACATGACAGAGACCAGCTGGCTTTTGAGATCTAGAGGCGTCAACTTAAACACAACCTCTCGAGTAGCTTTAGGTGAATTAAACAAAACGATTTTTTTATTATAAGCTTTGCATCAAAACTGAGAAAATGTAAAAAGAAAAGGTGCGGCTAAACGTTGCATTATGTCGCCGATCTCGGACTTAAAGAAGCGAAGTAAGCCAAGACGAGTAGAGTCAGCCGGCAGCTGTTGCCGTTGTAGTTGCCTTGGTCACGGCCAGTCACGGCCGCCTGCGACGGTGAACCGTGGTTTCCATTCACGGTTTACGGGTTCCTTTCACCACAGCGCCACAGCAGTCGCGGAGGATGTCAAAGAGAGAAGTCACCAAGGTTCACTACGAATACATGACGGTGAACGGCGTTCCGACTAAAGTTGTACAAGTGGGAAAGACTGACCTTGGCCCCAGCTGTCAGGAGCCGCTCTTGATATTCATCCCAGGTTTGTAACCACGATATGTTTAATGAATATCTGCAATAGCGTGCGTTATGCTGTCGGTATAATGCAGTGAACGCATACTGCATGGCAGTTCATTGTTTCCTACATCTGGTACAGCAATCGTATGCGTATAATCTGCATGCTATCTTAAGCGCCACTTGATACTCTTTTACCTTGGCTGTCGGCAGTGGCGTGAGCTCTTGCATAAAGATTTGACAAGGAAGTTCAGAGTTACTCCTTGAACATTTCTGTGTGCACGCATTTGTTCAGATCCAGAAGCGAATTTTTATTAGTATAGCGTGTGAGTATTAAACCTTCGATAGCTAATTGAACGTATTGTCCCACACAGTCCATATTCTCAAATGTTCCATTCACTCCTCGGATTAGCTGTCAGAAATTCATACATTTTAAAACTATTCGCGAATGCCTAACGATGTTGACTGGACAAGATCAAGTGTGGAATGGAAGCAAGAAGTGTGATAACTTCCATACCATTCGTAGTGGCCCATACAGCTGGACTTTTGGGGCCATAATGGAATTATAATGCTGTTTAAACGTGGTCTTTGGCAATCGCCATTGCTTGCGAATGCGAAATCTACGTTCTGCCACTATATGTCATGATCATTTGAACTGGAGAAAAAAATGCTTTACTTAGCAAGCATTTTATATTTGGTCACAGCAGTACTAGTAAGATAACTATGGTTCAACAAGACTAATAAGTCTTGTCAACAAATCATAGATTTTTGTCTAACATATCATGACTGCCTATCCCCCAAAAGCTCAGAATTTGCAAATAAATTGCTAATGTATTGTTAATGCCCCATTTGCTATGCTAATATGGCAGTTTTTATACTGGCTAGTTCAATTATTTATACGGGAGCATCAAAATTGTTTTCATTACCATTAAGAACGCTGTATAGTAATAGAAAATTATTTAAGAACAAATAATAACCTATTCACTTCTGGCCGCGCTTGGTTTGGTCCTGAAGACCACTATTTGCATGCCCTTTGACTATCATTTTTTACCTGCTCGCCATGCAGGCGTTCCTTTGTGGTAGCAATGTGGTTACTGTTTGCAGGGAACCCAGGAATCATTGAATACTATGAAGACTTTCTTGCTGAAGTATATGACCATTTCGACGGTAGACTACACGTCTGCGGACTTTCACATGCAGGGCACGACAATATCTTCACTACGCGCTCCGCACCGTCACCGAAAGGTAACTGATTGTGGACACGAAAGCATTTCGTATCAGAAATGGAAGTATTTCGTGAGAATCGATGGTGGGAGAGATGAAGTAGCAATCAATAGACACTGCTTTGCAATAATTCCTCTCATATTTATTTACTAGTCGTTACAGTCAGTGCCACCTCCCGTACACTTTTGTTTCACCAAGTCTAGAGAAGTTAGCCTTTGTGCATTACATTACCCATTCCATATGTCGTGGAGTGCATTACGTGACCTACCAGACTATTACATTAAGTTCAACTGTCAGTAATAAAGTAATCTACACAAATTCCATTTATGATGAGTTTGAAGTATTTATACAAGTTCCACTCATGACCCTTCTATATAGCTCCTCTTGTACCAGTGATAACAAGATCTTTGGCTTTGGTTCACCATTCTTTGCTCATTTTCGTGTAGCATGCATATAATCACTGCATTGTTTGAAAGTTTCTTCCAAATGCGCTACAGATCTTTTTCCCATGGTCCAGACCTTCATAACTACGATTTGCACCAGTTACCTAGGTCATTCACAAAATCATGGTTTTTTTTTTTTTTTAGTTGAATGTTCACAAAGCATGAAATCAGATGTAGCAGCATTTCACATAACGAACGTCGTCATGCTTATTCGACTTGGAAACCAATTAAAACTTGCTACTCTGGTATGAATGTAATAGTAGTACAATCCAACTGCCATTTGTGAGTAAATTTTCTTAAATAACTTTCTTCAGTCGCTCCCATTGGGGCACTTGGAATTTCAGATGAGACAGCTGCGATACATGCTCACAATGCCCTCTAGTGTTATATACTGTTTAATTTCTTTTATTGGATTCATATGTTTCAAATCATATCAAATGAAAGCATTACATATCTATGAAACAAGGCGTTTGTATCCTCAAAATCTAAAGCCATTCATAGTCATATGTGCCTGTATAACTACATGAGACTGCTGTTCAAATCAGTATACACTCGCATTTTTTCTGTGCTGTGAGAAAAGTTATTATACACAAATAAAGCTGCATGGAAATATAAAAATTGTGATAGGGATCTATTGGGCTGAAAACCCCCTTGTCGCACTTCTAAATAGTGTGCTGTATTCAGTGCCTTATGTGACTGTCAAGCCTTTTGCAGTGCACTGCGTCACTGAGTGATGAGTACTTATTTCCTGTGCCTCTCCTTTGCGCACGCAAGGGGCACTAGCGTCTAGTCTTGGTTATGCTCAGTGATCAAGCTTACGTTGTTCTGTCCGTCGTTTTGTGTCATGCAGAGCACTGGGATCTGTATGGGCTGTACGGGCAGATCAGGCATAAAGTGGAGTTTGTTGAAAGACATGCGACTGGCGACCGAGCCATATTCCTGGCCGGCCACTCAATCGGGGCCTACATGATACTTCAGGTACTCAAGGAGCTCAAGGGACTCAATGTGAGTCACACAACTTACTTGGATATATGTTGCCTAAAATAAATGTGTGCAATTTCCTATTTTAAATTTCATACGTCACGTGCAACAATTAGAATCTACGCAAGAAATTAGGTCAGCAAATTGTGCAAGTCTGCTGATCTTGCACATGGATTTCGTCGTTTTGAATGTGGCCTCTGCAGTTCTCTGTGGGAGGGGCTACCTGAACTAATTACAGAGGCCTTAATACGAAACCAAAAACATGCCAAGTGATCCAGAACAGACTGTTGACTACTGTATAAATGAAGGGCTTTGATTTATTTCTGATACAGAATTTTCATTCATTTTTCACTCTAAAAGAGCAAAACAAAATACACATTGCTAGTGGTGAGGTCACTGAGCTGATTCATGGTACTAATGCATCTACTAAAAAACATCTTGCTAGTTTCTACAGTGTTACTCGTGATGTATGAAACGGAGCACATGGTACTGAATGGACTGAAACTTTCTGTGTTTTTGTAGTATGGCAATTCAGCACACTATGGAAGTAACGAGATGTGAACTAACTGTCAACATAGGCATTTTATTTACTTGAATAAAAGTACAGCCTAAATAGTGTACTCAGCAGAAATAAGAATTTAAACATGCCTGATATTGATGTCTGTTATCTGCAGCTCTAATCTCAAAATGCTGTGTGTGTCCTGTGTGTGTTCCCAATAAAAAACAAAAAAAAAACTGAAGAAAACCAGCTGCGACATTGCAAGGGTTGCAAATAAAAGAAAGTCTTTTGGTTACATGTACCTCACGGTTTTCACCCACAAGTGATTGTGCTGGACCAGTGATTTCGTTGGTCTTTGTAATTCAAGTGCGAGTCGCTCTGCCTTCATGGTTTTAGTTTGACCTTTGCTCCTGTTGCTAAACAAATGTTTGATAAACTTGGTTTTATATCTTGGTGCCAGAAATTGGCGGTAAATGTTCAAGAACTTGAGATAAAAAGAAAACACTCATGGTACACACCTAAAGCTGCATATAAATGTAAAGCTTGTGCTAGGAATATATGGAGCAGGAAACCTGTTTCCTGTTCAGAATCTTTACTGTACCATGTGTCTGTGCACATGCATTGGAAGTTCGGGAAAGAACACATGCGGCTATACATACACTGGCAGGCAGCCGTGTGCATGTCTATACAAAAACAAATACGGACATCATGTAGTGCTTGTCCTAAAAAAAAGATAGGATATATTCTAGCATCGCTGTAACAAACACAACCGCCAAAAAGAACGAACCCGATTATGGTGTCTGTTGTCATGTAGAGAAAAACTTGCTGAAACAACAATACCTGGCTTACACGATGCACATGTATGCTGAATTACTAAATTTCAAACAAACTCGGAGACCCCACAATGCACGGTGTAAACATTGCTGCATTGGAGCCATGTATTAAGGGGTTTATGAGTATGTACAAACCAGAACTATCAATAAGATTACAATAGTTTGACGTCGGCATGTTAGCTACCTGAAGTTTTGCAACCACGTAGATAGAAATGTCAATAGTGGACTACTGGAACAGCCATTACTGTAGCTCGGTAATTATGGTACTCGGGCACTGGCCCGAAATGCACAGGTTCAATACTGAACGTGGTGGCCACCTTTCAATGGAGTCGAAATGCTAGAGGCCGATGTGCTGTGCAAGGCAGTCAGAATTATCCGGAGCCCACCATTGCAGCATCTCTCACAGCTTCGAGTTGCTATGGGTTGTGAAACTTGATGGACCAACCTGAACTATTAAAACGGACATATGTACAGTCGATGTTAGGTTTCTCAGACCTACAAGGGACCACGAAAATGTCCAGACAATCGGACAGTCCGTAAAAGCGAATGCACATAAAAACGCACCTTTATTATGGGTATTTTTCGCTCTCGGAGAGGGTCATGGCAGGAGTACAAGATTCTTGTTGCAATCTAGCAAATGCATCGTTTATGTGGCTGGCGCTACCTCATTGGTCAACACATTAGCCCCAAAAAAGTTGCTTTTTTATTTTTGCACGGCATTCCACTTGTTTGCGATGATGTCTGCCTCAATTAGCTAACGTCACTGCTGTCACTGTACACCGATGACAGTGTCATCAGTGCTTACGTCAACTCCGAGCTCGTTGGCTGTGTAGGCGCTGCCTCTTAGATTTCGGCGTCGGAGTCGTCGGAATCCTCCGCAACTTGACGATTGATTTCGTCTTCTGTCAATTTTGCACACGCCTTGAAGTCTTTGTCAGCGTTGGCAAAGCCCTCAAAGGTTATCCCGGCTGAAATCGAAACACTGGTAGTGCGCAAATCGTTGAAGGCAACATTCGTCAGTGGAAGTTCGTTACACACGCTGTCCACTCCGGGCGAGACGACCGTTTTGGCTTTGAGTGTGAAGCCCGGGTGGCGAAAACGGTTCCGGAGAGTCTGCCTGTGTAACCATCTTCGACGAGTCTGCAAGCATGCGGACGGCAGACCTGAGGTCAACAGTGCAGCTTTTCCCACTATCGGAGCACAACACCATGCGGCTGAGCACGCTTGATTCGTAATGATGCATCGGGTTATGAATAACGCCTTGGTTCATTGGCTGCTGGATTTCTGAGGCGTTCAGCGGCAGATATTTAATCAGTACAGCCTTTCAATCCTTGATGTGGCTATGCGCAGCACAGTTGTCCACAAACAGCAGAACTTTTCTATTTTGCTGCTCGAACCTTCTATCTGGCTTACACACACACTTCGAATAGCTGCTGTGTTACCCACACCTTCTTGTTTGCTTCATAGAGAACAGGCAGAGCTCCTGCCCTCTTGAAACAATAGATGCTTTCACTTCCCTATTACAAGCAATGGAAGAATCTCGCTGCCTGACTTGTTGCTGCCAACGTTGACAGTGAGCCGCTCTTTGCCATGCTTGCCGTTGTGGCAGGGGTTACCAGCAAATGCAAGCGTTTTCTCTGGAAGCAGCTTGTAAAAGAGCCCAGTTTCGTTGCAATTGAAAATATCGTCAGGTAGAAACTGCTGAAGCAAGGACTGCAGCCTCCCATTCTGATATTTGGTGACTACGGAATCATCGCCTGCACCGCTTTCCCTGTACATATTTTTGAATTTCAAGTCATTGCGGCTTTCGCACTTGCGAAGCCATTCATTGAAGACAGACACAGAATTTTATTGGGTCCTGAGAAACGCTACTATTTCAGAGCAACGTCCCTCGCCGCTCCCACGTAGGAATGGGGAGGCCTTGCCTCACCGCCACATTGTGGGCTCTCTGGACAGCCTGTAGTTGTGGTAGTAACTCTGAACTTCATAAGATAGAGTCCCAATCTTCTTCTGTGAACTTCTGAGTCCTTCACGTTCATCTGAAGTGCAAAAATCTTCACCTTCTGCTTTAGGATGTGGTCTGATTTATTTTTAGTGATATTTTATTTTACTGATCATGGCATAGAATCACACACAGAGCGCTTCCTCGAGCTTTGGGTAAACACCTTGACTCACGTTGTTCTTTCCAGCCCTTGTCGATTTAGCAGCCACTTCCAAGATCTTCACCTCGTTTTTCATGAAGTATTGAACAGTTTGCTTTAAAATTCTGAGCTCCCTTCCCCCCTCTCTCTGTGACTGGCCTGCTATATGTTTATGATGTGGGTTGAGCATTTGTTTTTCCTTGCCTCACAATAAAGAATGTGCCTGGCTGCTTGCACTTGTTTGATGATGGTGGCTTTCTTTTCCATCGCAAGCCTATGTGGGGTATTTGTGTGCTTCGAAGGCACGGACAAGGACAAAGGAGCAGTCGGCGCCATCGCTGGAAATGGGGAATTCGCTTGATGAAAAGCGCAGTGCCAAACAGTTAAACACTCTGTGTATGCTGAAGATCGGGAAACGTGAACACTGAAGATAGCGTGCAACAGCACACAATCTACCACGAATCTGACAAAACAACACGTGAACAAGCACTGTCAGGTTTGACCATAGGTTTGACTAAGCTACGGCTTGCGACAAATTGGCGCATGCTATGTTGCGGCAATTGCATTTTCGAGGGTACAGTAGCTGCGGCGCAGTGCTGCTGGTCACATCTGCGATGCGAGTATGGTTGGTTCGAGGGTACAAAAACAACCAAAATGGCGGCGTTGATAGTAATTTTGAGTCTGTAGCTAGGGGTAAAAAGTTAGGACAATCAGATTGTGAAAACTATAGGCATACGAAATTTCGGGCATTTAATACATTGATTGTATGGGGAACTCGACGCGGCCACAGATGAGTCCGGGAAATCAGGCTTGTCCGGAATTTCAGGAGTGTGAGAAATCGAATGTCGACTCTATCACTATTACTCCCTGTGCCACCAAGAGTTCAATTCAATTTAATTTTATTTACCAAAAAACAATCTGAAGGGACACCTGGGGAAAAAGCTGTTGCAGCAGCTTGATGAAGGCCCAGGGTCCCTTACATGGCAAGAGCACATGTATGACACATGTCAACAAGTGTGTTTACATGACATTCACATTGAAAGCATTATACATACAGATCAGCATACATCACACGTACACATAAAATGTAACAATGACTTTTTCGTACAAGAATGAAGGGTAATGTGTTATTATAAAGATAAAAAAAGTGGTCGTGCAGATATTTCTTTATTTAATACGGTTGTGTGCTTGTACTAGTTGAGTATTGTTGGAATATTATGAGCTAGTGATTGCAGGCTGTAGTTGTTCCGGGACCAAGGCACCTTCCATACTTCAGGGTTGCGTGTGTGTTTCATTTTGTTGTGCGGTTCTAACTTAGCGAGTGACATAAAGTAATTTTTAACATTTGGGATGAAAATTACATATTTCTAATAATCTACATTCATACAGCCTGTCAACGCAGTGTAATTTGTGTTTGAGAAATATACCATGTTTGCTGAAAGTCAATCAACATTTTCATTATAGCAGACAATTTTCTTTTGAATTGTTAAAAGTTTTTGCATGTTGCATTTTGAAGTTGTTGCCCAGACAAAGTAACAGTAGTAGACATATGACAGGAATAGACCGTAATAAATTTCCAGCTTTGCCCCCACAGGCAAGAATGCACGGCAACGCACCATAGCACCAGTAACCGTAGATCAATAATAGTCAATAATAGCAGTCAATTCAATTGTAGGTTTGCATCAATGCTGCTTACCTCCCGTTATCAGTAACTAGGTCCTCACTTCCTTGTCTTCTCTCATGCCCAGGTGAAACGGTCATTCCTTCTCTTCCCGGTGATCGAGCGGCTCTCGGAGACACCCAAAGCCTGTTCGTTGTTGTGGGATGCCAGACTATTGAGGCTTCTCAGCTGGCTCATCGTGTTGCTGCTCATGGTGCTTCCAGAGGCAGTCAAATCGCTTCTGGTTTCTTTGTACTGTCGTAGTTTGCCACCAGCCATACGAGAGCGTTCGGCCAAAGCCACATCCATGCTCTTTGATCCGACTGTTTTTCGCCTCGTCATAGACATGGCGCATGAAGAAATTCAAACGGTGAGTGTGCATGTCCAGTGAACACCATGAACCTGCTGTCACTTGTTTCGATGACATGAAGGGATTTTGTTTAAAGGTACCCTAAAGAGCAAAATTATTTTTGTGTATTTCTGTGGTATAATAAATTATCATTCCTTGATACCAAAAGCACCATTCTTGCTGCAAGAAAGAGTTTGGTAAGCCATAAAATTAGAAAATATGCAGAAAAAATTAAACACAGGTTAACATGAATTTTCTGCACCAGCTCACCATAAAGTCAAGACATTAGATCGCATCTCTTATGAACCCACATGATTCTGTGCTGGCTACTGTGCTCCAAGGGAACCAGAGGCCTAACGTGGAAAGTTTCGGGAGATTTTGTTGAACCAAAGAAGCCATAACCCAAAAAATGGCCCAGGAATTAGTGATGCCTTGCTGCCATTCAGAAGCTGAAAATTCAGTGCAATGTTTTAAATTAAGACATTCGCTTTTCTTGCTCCTGCTAGTAATGAATCGCTGATCGCTACTTCAGCATCTGTAGTCTTATAGCAATTGGTCAGTCACTCCTGAGCATTTGTCGGCAAACAAAAGTGGAACTCAACGAGCCTTACTCTATGTCACAGGTCCTGTTAATTTGGGAGGCGATCGCCGGGCTAATTCCAAGGGCCGAAGTATCGGCCCCCCGAACCGCACCACGAAAGCGTGGACAATTTAGAAGTGGTCCCTTTTAGCGCGCCAGCGAACGCCGGCTGTGGCCCAAAGAACAAGTCAGAGCCGAGAGATGATAAACAAAACAAAATTATATTCTCAATAAAGGCAGATCAAAACAATACATAAGTATGCACACTCCACAATACTTGAGTACAATATGTCACCAATCAAACAACGTACTACACAGTACAATCAGCCACACTCGAAACAACGGACACTGACAACAATACGCACTACAATGCAGTCGCATGCATTGAACAACCAAGACACTTAAAGACTAAAGAGATAGAAAACCTATTCAGTCCAAAGTTCTTGGAACAAAAGTCTGAATGATATTCTTCCGAGAACCACTCACTCAAAGTCCAGCGTTGTTGTCATTCCCCTGCCCCCGAAGTTTCTCTTCCAGGAAACCTCGCGTCTTCAATTGGCCACTCTCAAAGCTTCAAACTTCTTCGCCGGAAACACGTCGGCTTCACACTCGCAGCTGTTGCCACGTGTCTTCATCGATAGCGGTAGACACACACTCTTGCCTGTAGCTCGAGTCGTCACCCCTCAGATGGAAATCCTCTTCTTCTCCTCCTTTGTCACGGCAGACAAAAGGCTTCGCCCACAAGGCGGTACACCCTACGCACTCTGGCGCATACTTTCTTCTTCTCCTGCTTTGTCACTAAGGACAAAACCTTCACCGACAGACGCGGCGGGATACCCTACGCACTCTGCCGTTAACTTCCTTCTTCTGCTGATCTCCTATCTCTGCTGCTCGGTTAAATACCTTCCGCGCGAGATTCCAGAAAGTTCTCATCATTTCGTCGGCGCGATACGCAGCGAAGGCTGGAGAGAGAGCGAGACGGTTCGAAAACCGTCCGCGACGGATGACGCAACCCGGCATCACCACACCCCTTTCCATCTAGAAGATTCCAGGGCTTGCTCGGGCGTCGATGAGAGGAGGTTCGTCGGCGAACCCACGTTTCCGAGGGGAGAGAGATGCGCGCCCGGGGAGTCTTTGGATGCTTGTTTTCTTTTTTTTATCGTTGACCTCTCGGCGCTTCGTCGCGAGAATTTGGCGGCGCGCCCTTTTTTGAGCGCTCGGTTTGTGACACTCTATAAATATATGTTGAGCTTTGGACTCACTCGGACTCACCAAAATTTTACTGAGCCAAACTCACTCGGACTCACGCTCACAAAAATTTTCTTCCACCAGACTCACTCGGACTCAAACTCGCCAAAATATTACTCACCCGAACCCTCTGAGACACCCAGCTCGATCTGAGTCTGCGTGAGTTCGAGTGAGTTGCGTTGGCAAACTCATGAGTGAGTTAGTTGACCTATGCTCTTCAGTCCCTTTAAAGGGGCCCTGCAACAATTTTTGAGCATGGGTTTTTTATCGGTGCTTCTAGTGCTGTGGAGCGCACCGATATCATTGTGTAAGTGGCAACGGCGGAATCCGAGCTGCTATAATTTTATTTCATGAAACAAACTACATTGAGTTCGGACTACAGCGACACACATCGGCTGATTTTGTTATGGAAAATGACATCATGTGATTTGATGTGATGACAAAGGCCGCTCGTTAGCACTGTATAGACCCCTATTCGGGGCTATTTAGAAATAGTACGAAGCTGCACAAAAACTGCTAAAGAGACGGCCAAGTATATTCGAAAAGAGTCGGTGTTCACATGTTTTGAGTGCCCTTAGTGCAAAGCATTGCGGCAACTACTCCGAAACATAGTTTACATTCAAGCCTAACTGGCAAGCAGCAGCAAAAAGTTTTATTAACATCATTTAATTCTTTTTTTTTCTTTGCCTATTCTCCAAATCAAGTAATATTTACATGAGAGTAGCTTCTTGCTTCATGTGTGGTGTAGTTATAACTGTATGCCACCTTCATTTTATTTTCATTGTCTCCTAGAGCAGTGGTTCTCAAATGGGGGTTTGCGAAGCCATATCTAAGATCTGTGACGCCCTCACCTGCTTTTTTTTATTTTTTAAAATTTCTTTTAAATATGCAACTCTGTTTAGGAGCGACTGTGCTACGTATTGATGAACTGTCCAAAATGAAGGGGCATGGTTGTTTCACGTTTTTGGTAGCAATAAAAGGCACCTGTTTCATGCTCCAGTTGTGTTAATTTACCTATGCACCCCCCTTCCCTCCTCCCCCCCCTCGAAGGGGTCCCATATCACTTCAGCCAGTCCACAAGGGGTCCCCGACACATCCATGGCTGAGAACCACTGTCCTAGAGAATACAACGAGAGACACTATTCTGTAGCATTGAAAGTTACATACACCCAGACTTCTTCTATTAGTAATGATAGAAGAAGTCAGAAAAGCTTTGGAGAGCATGCAAAGAGGCAAAGCTGCTGGTGAGGATCAGGTAACATCAGATCTGCTGACAGATGGAGGACAGATTGTGTTAGAAAAACTAGCCACCCTGTTTACGAGGTGTCTCCTGACGGGAAGAGTACCAGAGTCTTGGAAGAACGCTAACATCATCTTAATACATAAGAAAGGAGATGACAAGGACTTGAATAATTACAGGCCGATCAGCTTGCTCTCTGTAGTATACAAGCTATTTACAAAGATAATTGCTAACAGAGTAAAGAAAACATTAGAATTCAATCAACCAAAGGAACAAGCAGGATTTCGAACAGGCTACTCAACAATCGACCACATTCGTACTATCAATCAGGTAATAGAGAAATGCTCAGAATATAATCAACCACTATACATAGCCTTCATAGATTACGAGAAGGCGTTTGATTCAGTAGAAATATCAGCCGTCATGCAGACACTGCGGAATCAGGGCGTCGATGAAGTATATATAAACATCCTGGAAGAAATCTACAGGGGATCAACTGCTACCATAGTGCTTCATAAAGAAAGCAACAAAATACCAATCAAGAAGGGTGTAAGGCAGGGGGACACGATCTCCCCAATGCTATTTACCGCGTGCTTACAGGAGGTTTTCAGAAGCCTAGAATGGGAACAGTTAGGGATAAGAGTTAATGGAGAGTACCTTAGTAACCTGCGCTTCGCCGATGACATTGCATTGCTGAGTAACTCAGGGGACGAATTGCAACTCATGATTACGGAGTTAGACAAGGAGAGCAAAAAAGTGGGTATTAAAGTGAATCTGCAGAAAATGAAAGTAATGTACAACAACCTCGGAAAAGAGCAGCACTTCGATATAGGTAATAGTGCACTTCAAGTTGTAAAAGACTATGTCTACTTAGGGCAGGTAATAACCGCGGAGCCGAACCACGAGATTGAAGTAACTAGAAGAATAAGAATGTGGGTGGAGCACATTTGGCAAGCACTCTCAAATTATGACAGGTAGATTGCCACTATCTGTCAAGAGGAACGTATATAACAGCTGTATCTTGCCGGTACTTAGCTACGGAGCAGAGACCTGGAGGCTTACAAAGAGGGTTCAGCTTAAATTGAAGACGATGCAGCGAGCAATGGAAAGAAAAATGGTAGGTGTAATCTTAAGAGACAAGAAGAGAGCAGAGTGGATTAGGGAACAAACCAGAGTTAAGGATATCATAGTTGGAATCAAGAAGCGAAAATGGACATTGGGCCGGGCATGTAGCACGTAGACAGGATAACCGCTGGTCAATAAGGGTAACTAACTGGATTCCCAGAGAAGGCAAGAGGGTTAGGGGGAGGCAGAAGGTAAGGTGGGCAGATGAGATTAAGAAGTTTGCGGGTATAAATTGGCAGCAGCAAGCACAGGACCGGGTTAACTGGCGGAACATGGGAGAGGCCTTTGTCTTGCAGTGGATGTAGTCAGGCTGATGATGATGATGATGACACTCAAAGCTGATATCACTGATGGTCTGCCATCCTAAAAATATGTGCATTGTTTTCTATCTCTCACACTGTTTATGATGCATGACTGAAGTAGCATAACAGTGACACAGGGAAAGAAAACATGTGATTATGAAGCACGTCCCATCTGAGCACTCTGTTATGTCCTAAAGTCACCGTAGAAACACAAGAAAAGGAAGTAACATTGCACCTGAAGTGAAACAGCGTACATCATAGCTACAAGCAATGTGTGAGTTGGCAGTTTGTTTCTGTAGCTCAAGTTTCGCTCACGGAACTTTATCATCAAATATGCTTTTTGTTTCAGCTGAAGTACGTTGGTAGAACTGTATTTTCAATACATAGTCAAGGGTTCAAATTTCATTTAAGGGCTGTTTTAGGTAAAAATGTCTAACATCGGTTTGCTATGCTGTTTATCTTGCTGTAAATCTTGTTTATCTTGCATGCAGCTGGTAGAGAGGGACGATGAGTTTCTTGGGGCATGCATGGAGAGGCTGACCTTCTACTACGGTTGCAGCGATGGCTGGTGCCCTGTGCGCTTCTATTGGAACATGAAAGAGACCTTCTCGAATGGTGACATCACTCTATGTAGCCTCAACATAAAGCATGCGTTCGTGCTTGACCGTACAGCGGAAATCGCTGCCTTCATCTCGAACAGGATAAAGGACAGCTTGTGATGTCAATTTATTCGTGCCATAGTAATTGTGCTGTGTTGTTTTCTGAAAGCCCGTCATTTTGATTGTGCGCTTTTGGTGGTATTTTGTTTGTGTATTTAAAAAGACACAATGCTCAAATGGCATTCTAAACTATACATTTGTTGGTGTACAGTACAAATCATCTGTTTCTTGCCACCTTTACACAGAATCTGCGCATCGCATGTGGCATGCAGATTTAGTTTCTCAGTTGCATTTGAACGTGATAGTCTATTTTTTCGATGGTTGCAGCATTTTTATATAAACCAGAGCTTTATCTGCACTTTTGATCTTACCTATGGACCAACATTTCATCACTGCACTCTGCTATGCTGAGTACATGTGTTTTTAAGGTAATGCGGTGCTTGCATAAGCAGGGTGGCTATTTTTAGAGGCTAACAAGTGTTACCGATATATGAGTAATTTCACGTATATGATTTCAAGTACTGCTACCCCCAGGGTAAAAAAAGCCGATAAATTTACAATGTTGTGCTATTGCCATATTTTTTTTAATGTACAATCTGACCAGTAAGACTAATGCCAGGGCTCACTTTTGGGAGTATTGAGGTATTGATGTCACGATGGAATGTGCAGCTATACGTATAGTGTGTGCAAGAACCACAGCCAAAGGCAATAAGTTTTCAAGGGACACATTGTGGTATACGTAAGAAGCCGTAAAATGTCTGAAACAACTTATAGGTACCTGTGAAACATCTGGTACATGTTGGCTTATTCAATGCACTATCCTTTCTGGGGCCTTGATTTGTTACATCACTCCATTGACCTATATAATAAGTGCATGCAAACCGAGTGGGAAAGCATGCTTGCAGGATATTGGTTGATGTATGCATTTTGTTAGCTTTTTCTCATAACCTGTGTGCATGGTGATGATTGTACTGCATAATAATCTCATAATAATTATGTACAAACACTTGTAACACACATATATCACAGTTCAAAACATGATGTACGCCATCCTTTTAAGTATTAAACTAGAGGAAGAACAATCATGTGATATTTTTGAGAAATGTAGTGTTTCTCAATTGCTTGTTTTGTTTATTGTGGCCTGTGAATTGCTGCTATAAAATTTTCCCTGTGTAACAAGAAGTTTTGTTTGTCTGAGTACTTTTGTATAATTCCGTGGACTTGCAGAAACATGTGTACATTTGCTTCTGTGCGTTCTTTTGGCATTATTGGCCAGAAATGTCACTGGCTCGTGCTATAATTATGCATGTTTACATGGTGCTACAAGTTGACGATTACACACCGCACGTGGTGCAGCTAGTTATGCTCAGACTCTTGTGAGACAAATGGGAAATTTATATATCTGTTTTTTTTTTTTTTTTTTGCTTGCTGGATACCTGTTGCCATTAGCCCTTAGGTACAGTGCAACATTTGTTTCTCCTGCCTACACGTCATGTAGCAACGCAAGTGACTAATTGTGATATTGATGTCTATTGTTTATGCATTGTCTAGTCTGCCAGAAATAGTATTATTATTAGCCAATTTTACATTTCTTGCTCTTTGTTGTGATGTTGAGAATACTATGCCAGTAGTATTTTAATGCTTAAGTTTTGTGTGGTACTTTGTAACTTTGTTTTTGATGTCTAAAAACAGTAGAAATTGTGTGCTGTTGCTTATGTGTGCCTAGTCTTTGTACTTTATTTTAATTTTTGACAATACACTGTTTTTTAAAACAGCTCCTGCATGGTGCATCGCTCATTCTTTTCTTTTTTCAGGTGCATACAAATCAACCGTTGAGGCATTTGTCTGCATTTATTATTCATTAAGCTAGATTTACATGCAGCCTTGTGAATAAGAGTGGCCCTGAAACAGATTTTTTAATGTTTTGTCAGCGTTTAGGTTAGAGTATAATTAAACCATTTGCATCACAAATTTAGTAACACACCGTGTACCAAGGCCGCTATGGACAATTATATCATACCCTACTTCTCGCCTCTTCCTTGCCTCCTCAACTCGTGAGGCACGCTGGCATCGCTGGCGATCGCAGTGCTCTCATGAATGCGCTCGACGATTTGAGCTTTTACCAGTCTAGACCTCCGATATCGCACGCCGACAGGTTGCACGCAGTCTTAGAGGCCATCACACAGTGCGCCCGGCAGCTCGCACGCAGTCTGGCAACAGAGACGAAGATCGCAAACTGGTTTATATCTGCTCTGACAGGTGCCGCCACCCTCGCAGCCCACCTTACTTCCGCGCGTTCTACAGCCTATAACAGCCAATCAGATCAGCAGTCATGGTGATGTCAAATGGCCAGAGCATGTCAATCTGTGAATGGGCGGCTGAAAATGTGTTTGGCAGAGTTGCAGCGATCTGCAGTGATTAGCAGCTTTAAGTCGTTGTAATAAATTACACAGTTTACGCAGAGAGCTCAAATATGTCTCTAAATGGTCTACCGGCCCATTGTTTTTGTGCAATAGAGCCAAAACCATTTCAGGGCCCCTTAGGACTGTCGAGCATGCTTCTTGTACCATAGAGTTAAGTGATTAACATGTTGATCGAAAGAACAATCTTGCAGCTTAGTGCCAGCACACATGCATAATCACTTTGCTGATAAATGTGGGACTACAGCACCTTTTCTTTGTTGATTTTCTGTTGTGCAAAAGGCAGGCCCATCTTGTACCTCACAGACAAATTGCACCTCTGACCCCATGGCATGTAGCGAAGAGCATATTACTAGCATCAGCTACCAGCTCCACCAAATCACTATATGATGTCGCAAATTATTTGCATGCTTTTGGAGGATGTTATTTATGTTACCATTTGATCAATGAGAACAGAGAGCTCCAATCGAAGTGATTGTATACGATGTCTTACACCTAAGTATGTTCCTTCTTAATTTATTTTGTGTGTATATAAATGGGTGTCTAAGCATATAGAGAAGGCACTTTAATCTCCATATTACAACTCATTCCAGTGAGATTGATTTAGCTGAGTGCTTCTCATTTTCTTCAGGGAAAGTTTTATGCAATCTTCGAGATGCTAATTAGTCTGATATAAGTTTCTATTGGTCTAGCATGCTTTTTATTAGCTACCAGCCGCATGTCCAGGAATTTCGACTGGGCATAGAGTTTTGTGTATATACACTAGAGGGAGCTCTGGCGCTAGTGTACATGGGAGCTACAACGCATAGCGCTTCAGTGAGTATGGGAATTGTGGGTAGTACACGGATTTGCCTAGTCTTTGTACTTTACGTTCCTTTTGGCTTTGCGGGGCTTGAAGCTGCTTTGTCGTGAAGCAACGATTGGTGAATGTTAGCAGTTGCGCCTCACCACCTAAATCTTTTAGGCTTACTATTTCAAATCGGGTCACGGTGTTCAAAAGAGAATTTGCTTTTTTCTTAGAAACAAAACCGAAACAAAGCAATAAACGAAGTCACAAGTGCGATTCGCTGCCCGCTAGTAGGAAAACTAGGCAAATTCGTGTACTACCCATCATTACTATGATCACTGAACAATTGCAGCGCCAGAGTCCCCTCTAGCTAATTTTAGGAAGCTCTATGTGACTGGGTACATATATTTATGTCTAGACAGTTTGTATTGGTGCCTATGATGGTGGATGCTGACAGACTATATTGCATCATACAGCATAATGTACAGGTAGAATTGTTAAAGATATCTCTTTACCTATGTCCTAGTCTCAAACCATGTTCATGCATATTCCTATTGGGATGCCAGTTGATTTTCACAATGCTCGGCACGCTGGTTGGTCCCGAAGTGTATCAACAAGTTTGTTCATGATACGAAGGGTAGCACTTATATTTTAATTAACCTTCAAAAAATTTGCCATGAAAGCCTTTTCGTCTCAAGCTACTGGCGGTGCTTGGTAACTGCAGTTTTGCTTGCATATTATTGTTGGAAGTAAGAGATCTGAGGCAAGAAATAAACGTGTTGACAGCTTGGGAACTGAGAGTACACTGACTTTTATTCAAAAGTAGAAACAGGTCTGCCGTGTATCTTTAGAACAGATACCTTTATGCAAGAAAGAGCAAAACATTTTGTGTGCACTTTAAGGGGAGAAGCACTAGCTTTCCCATAAGTGAGAAGAATTGCCCCGTGTTGGTAAAATAATGCAGGTTCATAAATGAATACTTGACTCTAAAGAGAACGAGAAAAAGAGGTGACAGACAGTCGCTGTTGAGTGATTGAAATGAATAACCATTGTGTGTATGAGAATAATCTTTATGAATTTCGTCTCAAACTATTGTCGGACCAACTTAGAATTCTGATGGTTCACTTGACTGGTCCTTGTTAGTCTCTCACCAAAATTACTATTGGCTTTCATATAGATTTCATTTGGTTGATAGGTGATGAGTTGTCAATAACATTTTTCTTTCACTTTAGCATCAAGCTTTTGTATTTCAATTTCAACAAGTCATGTGGCATGTAATCAGCCCCAACTTTGGATTTGTCATCAATGGCGTTTAGCGAACATCTGTAAGAAAGCCAGCTGCCTCCCAGATTTTTTTTTTTTTTTTTGCTGTTTCTTATTTGTTACTTGCTTGTTTTGCAAGAACATATGACCAGATCTCTTAGAGCTGAAAGGCAAATGATGCGCCTGAGTAACGTAGAGCAGAACTAAAATTGTCCCTGTGCAGTGCGCATTCTATTCGCTCTAAATGCGCAGCCAGCTTCACCAAAACCACATTATGCGGCAATCAACACTCTTTTTCATAATTTTTTTTTCAATTGTAAAGATTTTTGTCAAAAAAAAACTAACGAAAGTGCCAAGAAAAATAGCAACCAAAAGTTTTTACTGACGCTAGCCGTCGCAAGTAATTACATATTGTTTCTCAACAAACGCTATGTTGTTGTTGTTATGATGATGATAGCTAAACTTTACGGTACCGCTTGCGCCATCTCTTGCTGTCCTAGAGAAACAATTGCGGTCATCGGCTGAGACGAGCAGCAAGCTCCTGCGGCCGTGTCCTCTACCGTCACTCGTCAAGATCGGCGCGTGCGTCGGAGCGAATTCACGCCTTCGCGCAGCCAGCAGTGGAAACGACGCAATGCTTCGGACTGTGCTGGTAGCGCGAAACGAACTGGGCCGTGCCCCTAGTCGCTGCAAGCGTTTCACCCGAGCCGCCAGCGTGCTCTGCCTGGAAAGGAGGGACGTAAATCCCACCAGCCGGTGAGAGGAAAAAATAGTGACGAAAAGGTCATCACTTCGATGTAGAAACCGCGATCTTGCAAGAACTCCTTCTTTCTTTCTCGAATTACGTTCTTTCTCGAGCACATTGGAGGGATACTATTTTGTTTCTTTGCTATAGTAGTGAAAACGAAAACACGGTCGTGCGTGAGTTTCGCTCAGTACTACGCAGCAGTAGCGGTTATTCTGTGTATTTCTGTGCAGTCTTTGTGCGTTTTCGCTAGTATTATGGAAGTATTCAGTCAGTAACAGCTATTCCAGGTAAATGCATTAGTTGGTTTCGCTACCACGCCTTCACGATCGCTGCACGGTTGATCTCGGCTCCGATACGTCTTTGATTCACTAATCGAAGCTTGGTCAATAAACTATGGTCTCTAACCTGCCAAATATTTCAATCGTGAAGATCGAGCACAACACCGCATCGTGCGACTCCGTGGCCTGCAAGCTAATCGCTCTGGGTTTTTACGCGATCGGTAGATACCTGAATACCAGTGTACTTCTTTCCTCGTCTTCCGCAGGCTGATCGTACAGAGCCCTAGGATCCTCCTGAAACCGAAGTTCAAGGATGGCGTCACGCGACGTATGTACAGTGCAGGTAATGTGAACGAATGGCCAGACTCAGTGCCGGTCCACTTTCGTATTATTGCTCCCTAAAAATAACGTTTGTTGACCTTCTGACTTCTGTTGCTGGCTCCATTTGTATGCGTTGGCCTACTGACCTTCATCAAAAAGCTGCACCATACTTTCTTTAATGTAAAAACAGGTGACGGCATTTTATGCACTCAGTGGTTGGTATCTGAGCTGGGACAGTTATTGCTAGCTTACAGCTATCATATGGAAGTGAGTAGGGTGGAGTCATATGGAAGTGAGCACGGTCAAGTTATAAAGCTCTGTTTATTGTACGCAGACACACCAGCATTGCAGGTCGAATCCAATTAGGGGCCGCTTACATTTTTAAGGTGCCAACTAAAGTAACTTTGACACGTGGACGAGTTCGGCTTTGATTTGGCACCGTGTCCTACACATTCCCTTGTTCTTTCATTTTACCTCTTTCTCCCCAAGTTGAAAGTGTTGCTTCAGCTCTGCACTTTGTCTCCATGCAGATTTGCCCCGGCATTTACGAGTACAGCTGCCAGCGCTGTCGCCGACCATGGAGATGGGCACCATAGTGAGCTGGGAAAAGAAAGAGGGTGACAAGCTGGGTGAGGGAGACCTGCTGTGCGAAATTGAGACAGACAAGGCCACGATGGGCTTCGAGACGCCAGAGGAGGGATACCTGGCCAAGATCCTTATCCCCGCTGGCACTAAGGACGTGCCACTCGGGAAGGTTAGGATTCCGTGGTTTCACATGGTCACATGATTCATGCTGTCTTTTGTAGAAGTTGAAAAATTTAGCTAAGGGTTCACGGTTGGTGGGACTGAACTTTGCTGTCAATACTCTTACATATTGTGTGTAAAGGGTTGACCGACCGTTACACCCCCTTACCTCTTTCACATGCACCTAAATCTAAGTAAATAGGCGGTCTTACGTTTCAACCTCTTGTAAATGTGATCTCCATGGCCAGATACTAAACCTGCACCATCGTGCTTAACTGCCCTACTATAACTGCTTATCTACCATGCCAGATTAAACAAAGTTCTGAGCAGAGGAAACACGTACGAAGAAGTGAACAATCCTGCACCTGACCTCGTTCACTTCCTTGTTCGTGTTTCCTTTGTGCAGAACCTTGTTTAATCATGTATGACCGATTCGCCCAGCAACATGCGTTACTGAACTACTTTGGCAGGTCCATTATGCTTTCCGAGAAAGCGATTTTACATTTTCCCCCTTGCATGTGTTCAGGTAATTGCAGATTGCATCTTTTCAGGCTATCAGAGTATGTAGATACACTTCCGTGCATCCCCTTGCAGCTCCTATGCATTCTGGTTTACAACGAGGAGGATGTTGCTGCTTTCAAAAGCTTCGTTGATGACGGTGCCGCCGCCCCGCCCCCACCAAAGGCAGCCGCTGCACCCCCACCTGCTGCAGCTCCGACCCCAGCGGCAGCACCTCCGCCACCTGCACCGTCAGTGCCTGCTGCTCCAGCAGCCGCCCCAACAACGGGCCTGGGTGGTCGCCTTTTTGCTAGCCCCCTGGCGAAGCGACTTGCTTCAGAGCAAGGCATCAACCTGGCTGTAAGCTTTGCTGTTGGCACTGTCATTGGCGACCCAGTCGCTTTCATGTTTCGGCAAGAGCCATAGTGCTGGAAGCTTGTCTGTACACTGCAAGGCATTAGAAAAAAATCTTGCTGTCCTAATTGCATGTGCATAGCTTCCAACTCTTTCTTCAAGTCTCATTAACTGTAATACAGAAACCTTACACCGTGAAGCATATTGAGAGTGAAAGAAGGCAATTTGATAGCTATACCCAGCCAACTCTTTTGTCAGTGAAGAAGTTCAAGAAGGAAGCTGTTGCATAGGATGGGTCGACGGTAACCTTGAATCAGTTGTAGATCTCTTGATACATGGAGGTTTGCTTTTGGAGCTATTATTCACTCTGATTATGGTTTAATTGCTTAAATAACTTTGAAAACTGTTTGGCGTGCGATTTGAACACATTTACTATTGCTTGTAAAATGTTGTGACGTGTAAACATAGCTTAAATGCTTATTACAGCAAATACCTGCTGGAAGTGGGCCGGGAGGAAGAATTGTAGCTCAGGATTTGGCTTCTGCCACAGCCATGCCAAGGGCAGCAGCGGCAGGAGGTGTTGCATCAAAATACGAGGACATATCGCTCACCAGTATGCGTCAGGTAAGTTGCGAATGTCCTAGCAAACTAGTGTATCATCTCAAATGCCAATATCTGTCTATCTGTCTGTCTATTTCTTTCATTCTTTCTTTGCCTGAGTTTCCCCACTATCTCCAAGTCTGTCTATCATGTAGCCTGCGCTATATGTTGCCATTGAGCTGTTCTCTTTGTGTGCAGCATTTGTATTTGAAAGAGTTGGCATAAGGTGTGGGAATATTCGAACATTTTAAATACCATCAGTTCTTTCAAATATTAGAAAGAAACTAGGTATACTTGTACATTCTCACTCGCTCGCTGGATTTCGTGCCTACCGATTGTGCCCCCGCGATCTCCGATGACAGCGTAGCTCTGGCTGACTGGCTTGCCCCACGCCATCTCCTGGCACTGACAAGAGCTCTCGCTGAGTGGCACCCCGTCCTCAGACTTCTGCGACTAGTGTTCATCTTTCCTATCTTCTCTTTACTTCCTTATGTGGCTGTCCCTGCACCTCTCTTTCTTCCTGCTCCTCTCTCTATCTCTATACCGTTAATTCCTCCCTATACTTTTTAATCCCTCCTTACCCCCATCCCCTGAACAGAACTGTGGAGGTGCCTCTCATTGAGAGAAAAGCAGTAACGAAACTGCACTTATTTCTTCCTTTTCCCCTTTCAAAAGTCACTTATTAAATACTGAGCATGATACACATGCCCAAAAATAAGAATATTGCTGGCTCTGCAGAAGCAGACATGGTTCTTTGCATGCATTCCTATCCTTGAATATTTGCCGTGCTGCAATTTGTCACAATTTCATGCTGTTGGTGGAATCACTCCTATAAAGTACTTTCACAGCGCTCTGCGTGATACTAAGATATTAAATTTTTTGCTATACAGCAAATGTATTGCGTGGCTTTTGGTGTGTGATCAAGTACCTCCTAGTTTATAGGCATTGGTTCTTTCTGAAGCTAATATACTTTTGATTGAGCCAGATAGATGGTTTGCGTCATGCAATTTTAAAAAATAATTGTGAGTAAAATAAGCAGGATTTTACTTCAACTGCTAATCAACTTATGAATGTGCTGTCATGCTATATCTTAGGGTACTTGATTCATATTAGAAAATGACGGTATCAAACACTCACACGTTGCATTAATGTTTCGCATTGTGCTGAAACTGCATGACAAGAAAACTCCTTGAACTCTCTGTTTGGTTACAAACTACAAATGTTCAGCAACACGTAAAACACTATTGTCGAAGAGGGTTGAAAGTTTCTGCTCAAAAGCTTATTAGTTTCTGCTTTGCTTAGTTTTTTTATTCGTGTAGCTCCTTGCTTCACATTGAACATTTCTTTACAAAAGCCTGACTGTTTGAGAACCAAGCTCCACAATTTTTAAAGACATTGTGCTTTAAAGACATCGCTTTTGCTGCAAAATAGAAAGAAAAATATCAATCAGAAATAATGTTACCATTGGCTCTGTGCATGTTTTGAAGTTAGTCGTTTGTGTACAGTCTGTTGAGACTTTTCGGATTGTAAAGCTTTGTCCTTTTTGACATGCTTTCAGACAATCGCAAAGCGATTACTTCAGTCAAAACAGACGATACCACACTACTACCTCAGCGTTGATATCAAGATGGATGCCTTACTCAAGTAAGTGGCCGCTGCAGGAACAGAATTATCAGGATACGGAAATGCAAAAAGCTGTACTGCCAGCTACAGTCTATTACCGTTACCGTAGAAGCAAGCGATGCAGAGAAAAAAACACACTAGGCCTGCGCAGCACGCGCAGCACAGTCATAGCCAAAGCTGGAAGAGCAGCCTTTCAGAGCCTTTTCTAAACACTTTGTCGGGTACCTGCTATAAGCACGCTTGCTGGGTACCTGCTATGCCATAAATAATCATATATTTTTTTTTTAGTAGGCGACCATTCACAATGCTATCCTCCGTCACTCTACAGAGAAGCGTGGTATGCACTGCACACTTGCTAGGAATATTGTGCAATTTTTTTATGCAGTGGCTTACGACGAAGAATCACGCGTGTAGTGGGTATGCGCCGCAGTTAATAGGTGATCAACACCAGGTTTTCTAATGGGTGGAAGCATTGGACGACCCACTCATTATGCAATTAGCATTGTGTAATGCCTGGTTGTTCCTTTGACGTTTTAAAACACTTTATTACTCATATTTATGCAATTCCTTTCCCGACATCATGCCTGCCTAAGGCCAGTTTCGTAGCGAGTTTCAAGCACTGGCATGACTCAGTGGAAGAATACTGGGCTGGCACGCAGCGAACCCGAGTTCAAATCCCATTGTGTACGTGGTGTCTTCTTATTTATGTTTTTTTTGTTTTCTTATTTCTTGCGATACTGGTTACAGACACCGGCGGCGGAAAACTATGGCGCCACACGTGACCCGTGTTCTGATCTCATAACAGCTTTTGCTGTAAAACAAGGGCACTCATAGTGCCAGTGCAATGTTGTACCACTTTTGTTTTGCTTCAGCCAAAAGCCTACGTTCATCTAGCTGTGCATTTATCGCAGGTGTTTATATAAGCGTCAGACTAGGTGGCATGATTGCAAATTTGTGTTCAACATATGGCACCTGTAATAAAAGAGGGAAATGCCATTTGCATGGCCTGGTCTCGAACCTTGCCTTTCATTATTAGTACCAAGTAAATTGTTTGTAAATAAATAGCGAGGGGGAATCACAGGTAAGGAGACAGAAGGATCGCAAGTTGTCAAGACCTTGTGATTGTTATGAACACGCACTCCTCTTCCTCCTTGGTTTAGCATAGTGTCTAAAGATGTGAAAAGCGTGATTAATAAAAAAAGGGAGTAACAAGCACATTTAGCTCACGCGTCTAGAAATGCAAAGCTTTTTGTGCAAGATGCATCTTTTTGCTCGTTTGTTCCAGGCTTCGTGCCGAGTTTAACAAGATGATGGAGAAGGATGGTGTCAAGGTATCCGTGAACGACTTTGTGATCAAGGCAACTGCGCTGGCGTCCAAGAAAGTGCCAGCTGCCAACTCGTCTTGGCAAGACACCTTCATCCGAGAGTGAGTTGATGGCATCACCTTTTGAAATGTCACTTCTTGTCCCCATCTCCGTAAAAATTTCTTTTCATTTGGTTTCCAAGCTTACAGCTGCAGTTTCCTCTTTGCACGATCCTTGTTTACATTGCAGCAGCAACTGTGCATAGCTTTCTGTGGCTTTGTTACTTTTAAAAAGGACCTGCAAGGCTTTTCAAAGTAGTCATGGGATGGCTTTGTTAAAGGACTTCACTGACGGATTGACTGCCACAAAAATTTTCACAATATGTTCAGCAGGAGTGATGTTTCAGAGATTTGCCACAAGCTTTAAGCACTTCCTCTCTCCTTGCGTATTAGTGAATTTGCTGAAAGCTTTGCAGGGATACACGTCAAGAGGCAAGCATGTGTGATGACCTCGAGCACTTGATTTTTTTTTTCTCTTCGAACGTGCGACCCCGCTGTGCTCGCGAGTTAACGCATTGACATGCAGCAGCATTGCATGGCAGCTGCTGCGATTACACAGCTCATCACGCTCAAATCAGCCAATGGCCGCAGACTTTGGGTTTATGCAGTGGTCACTTGGGCTTATGGCATCATTTGTCAAGGGAAGAGAGACTGATTTCTAGCTGTACTTGAGAAGAATTTATCGTAATTTTTAGGCCACCTGCTGAGCTATAATGTTTGCCTCGCATATTCTGAGGCGTCCTGACTACTTATCGGCAGCGTCTGCTGGCCACGCTCAAAAAGTGTTGCGGGCCCCCTCAAACACACCTAGCTCGTATTCTTCTGTTTGCAACATCTTCAAATATACACATACAGTGTCATGCCGAATAAGAAAGGAAATTGATCGAAGGACTAAATTTTGTTGGACAAATTTGTCACGCAAGGTCAACAGATAATGCAGCCAAGAAAAACGTGGGATATATTGTTCGCAAACTTTTCTGGGGAGTTTGTGGGTCCTCTTCCCACCAAGTTGTTTCTTCGTCCACCTGCATTTGATTTGCCATATACTTAGTACATATTTATAGCCTTTAATTAAAAGCTACAGGTATGCCCAGAAACTACAAATATGTATGCCTTGTTTATTTTTGCTTTCTTTGGCTTGATTATAGTGTTTTGCCTTTATACAGTTCCATCATACAATGCTATACAGTGCCATATTGTACTCATTGCTGAGTGAGGTGACAGATTTAATTTCTGGCAGGAGCAGTAACGTAGCAGCACTATCGTCTGCACAAGGGCGCTCGCACGTGCGCCATCTAATGGGGTGTATCTTTTTAAATTCTTTCTTGTAATAAATTTCCAGTTTCAAGTTAGCGCTCTTCGTGTCCGCTCTCTTTTTCTTTCATCCTTCTTTTTTTTTTTTGGCACTTCAAAGTTGTTTTTTAATGTCTTACAAACTAGACGAAGCTTCCATGCTTCTACAATTTACACCATGTTTCGGCTACATATCAGTGAATTCCAGGTTGTGAAGATTAATTTGAAGCTATGTGCTACAGCCCTTATAATAAGCCCAATGTGCAGCTTCAAAGCATTCAAGTCTGCTGTTAAGCATTCATTTTTTTATTTTTCATCCTCTTAATAATTCTTATGTATGCTAAAACCTCGTTAATTCAAACTCACTGGGACCATGAGAAATCTTCAAATCAAGTGGTTTTTCAAATTAACAGAACTTAATTATTCAAGGTAATCAGGGCTGGTCGTTTGCTGCTTCGAAGGTTATGTTTTCCTGCATTACCAGGTTACAATTTCGCCCCGAACAAGGGAAAGCATTGGGCCTCGCTTCTGCCACCGCAAGAAAAAAAAGGAAAACCGTCATGATCCAACTGAAATGCGCATCTGCGAAAAAGAAGACATCATGTCGCCTGCCCCTCGCTGCGTCAGCACGTGATGATGCGACCATTCGTTCATTCTTTCTAGTAAAATAAAGAGTTTAATAATACACAGTGTGACAAAATTTGCGATGTGTTTGATCATCACAAAACACGATCACCGAAGTTTTCGAACCGAGTTTTCAAAGTAGGCGTTGCAGGCAAGAACTCCGCCAGCAGTGCTAGTGCGAAAATTGCGGGAGAAACCGGCACTCGGAGGTTTGCATACATCGCAAATTCCGCCAGACTGTCTTTTATTATTTTTCTTTATATTCCCCGAAAGAATTGGTAAATCATGTAGCGCTCACGTTGCGAGAAGCATGCGACATGCTGCCTATGCGTCCCTGCTGTGCTGCAGTGAAGCAATTCTTGTTTTCCGGGGCCACACATTTTAGCTGATCATGCTACCTTTTGTTTTTACGATTTTATTTTTCAAGCTGGAAGTATTAGTTTTAGCATGTTTCAGCTTCCGCTCATTAGTATCGTGCTATACATTGCCTAGTGGCTCTTAAGGGCTGTCGTTCCCACAATTTTTTGGCGAAATTGGGACTTAGCACAAGCGTTGCACCCAAAGTTTTCTAATTAACCGGACTGGTGCTAACCGCCGCTTCAAAATCTGCTCAAACTTACATTTAAAAACACGGGACTGTGGAAATACTTCGAATTAAGCAGGATTTCAAAATAACCGAGTTAGAATTACTGAAGCTTTACTGTAATTGTTCATTGATGCTCCTCGATAGAAAGCACAGGTCATGTTCAGAAATACATCCCACCAGATTTTCTTGATGAAGTGCTGGTCTTGTTTAAAATTGTTAGATCTTAAATGTAATGTTTACCTATTGCAAGTCACTCAACTAGCATATTTCTCCATATTATATTAGTAATATTAAGTAATCCCATGTAATGAAGTACAGGCGCACTTGGTAATAACAAATGCTGTACCCCCTGTGTTTGCTTTCAGGTACAAGTCTGTAGATGTGAGCATGGCAGTGAGCACTCCAGAAGGACTCATCACACCCATCGTTTTCAGTGCTGAGAAGAAGGTATAGCACATTTATTTCGCTGTCTCAATTCTGCTCTCTCTCTCTCTCTCTTTATAATCTCTTTAGTACTTTCACTTCTGCACTTCTACAATACTAGTGATAATTATGATTTGGAAAGGGCCCTGCTGCAGAGGTCCAGTGACTAAGGTACTTGGCTGCTGACCCGCAGGTCGCGGATCGAATCCCGGCTACGGCAGCTGCATTTTTGATGGAGGTGAAAATGCTGTAGGACCGTGTGCTCAGATTTGGGTGCACATCAAAGAACTCTAGGTGGTCGAAATTTCCAGAGCCTTCCACTACGGCATCTCTCATAATCTTATGGTGGTTTTGGGACGTTATACCCCGCGTATAAATTGAATCAATGATTTGGAAAGAGGTTACTGGTCAAGTTGAAAGTGACATGGCATTGTGTCGTCTATGTAGAGGACGGATCTCAAACTCACTTGAGCCAGTGGATCTCAGTCACAAAATTTAGTCTCGCGAGGCAGGGATAGTGAAGAAGGTAGGAGCAGGTGTGTGTGTGTGGGGGGGGGGGGTGCACAATATGCCAGCAAACGTTGCTGTTTGAAAGACAACTTTCCCATCTCTCTGATAGACTTCATTTCTGAAGGAGATTTAAAATTGGGAGTCAGGATTCCAACAATTATTTAATACCGACATCTGAATTGACTCAAATCCGGAGGCGGATTCTGAAAGTCGCCTTTGGTTTTATGGTTATGTTTCAGAACAATGTGAACACATGGGATGTTTCACAAAGACAATGTCTTAGTTAAAGCAGTCATGTCTGTGTATCTCACAAACATATTAAATAAATATAAAAAACAATGTGAGGCAAAGACAGTCATGTGCGGGCTACGAGCTGCATCCAAGAGCCTCGTCGGCCGCATGTTTGAGATTCCTGGTGTAGAGCCTAAAATATTTTGTGCTCATAGTTACAACCGCTACCTCACAGTACTTTCAGTGTCTCATTGTTGCAGTAACAAACAGAGATTAGCCATGGAGTGTCATAGTATCAAGGTCTTTGTGTTGGCAATGCCTGTGGCTTCAGTCAAGCAGCAGTAATGCTTACACTGACTGCATTCTCTCAGTATCTCCCAGAGCTTCGCGTGTCGTGAGCATAGTCCTCAGCATAGGTCGGTAAAAATATGTGGGACTCAGAATCACTCAAGAAATAGACAGAGGAACTTCGTTTATACATACCCCGGTTTCGCGACGACCCCCATTTTACGACAAATCAGTTAGGTCCCAGCAACATCCCCATAGAAAGAACATATGGAAAACCTTGTTTATTCGATGCAGTTTTATGCCGACCCAGCATCTTACGACAACTTTCAGATTCCGTCCTTAAGAAAAAAAAAAAAAACACCCTTGCTCGAATCAAACGACGTCCAAATATTTCTGAGTGCAAAATATGAACTTGCGCTCCCCTAGGTTGACGATTAGAAAAGTAGAGAGACAGGATGTCTTCTTAGAATAGAAAATTTCTTTTCCTGTAAGTTCATGGTTTTCTACGTATGCCTTAATCGCAAGCGTACGTATTCGGTTCGTTACCTAGTCAAGCTCAATCCACACAGAGTAGCTTCAGGCAGCCGAAAAGGTGGTATTTTCAAGTTTTCGTTCCATGACAACTTTTTCTGGTCAGCGTACAGCTGATCTACTTTTGTCGCACTCGTAGTCACTGGCTTGCGCACGCATAAGGGTGCAATGCAGCTGTTTTCACCGTACAAAATTACTTTCACTTGATGTCAATGTTCATAATAACAGCAAGACATCACTAGTTGCACTTTACAAGCAAACAAATTACAATGTGCACAGCTTCGTTGCGCACGAAGGCATTTTATGGGAACTCACGGTCCGTCGCCATTATGTGATAGCAATGGCACTGTGTCTGGTCCTTCTTATGGGAGGCTGTTGGCCATGCGGTTTCAGTTTCATTTTCTCGCATAGGCAATTTTCGGGCTCTGTTTATTGGTAGAAAGATGCACATTGGTTTTGATTTTTTTTTTTAATTGAGCATGAAAATTCGCTCGCACCTCCTCCAACTAAATATTCCTGCTTAGCTACCACTGGCAAGAATAATTTAATCACTAATTTAATCTCCTTCCATGCAAAGACACAAGGTAGTGCCGTGGGCTTAGTCAGGTGGTCTGTACCTGTTTTTTTGGTCAAGGCTGAGTGTCACTGCCTATAATCTTAGATTATTTATTTTACTATGCCCGGATTATACGATGGCTCTGCGTGGTCCACTGAAAGTCATATAAACTGGACTTACACTGTCTCTTGTGTTTGTACTCACCTGGACTCACACTCGCAAACATTTCATTCGGCCGGACTAACTCGAACTCAAGCTGACCAAATGTTACTCATCCAGAGTCAGACTCATGGCTCGATCTAAGTCTGAGTTAGTTCGCTGACATATGGCCCTGAGAGTAGAGTAGTATGCAGTTCACTGTAGCAAACCAAAGCACACCAGTTTGTGCATTGAGACATATGAAAAATCACTCCACAGTCACATGAGGAAAGATCTGACACAAGACTACGAAAGTGTCAAGCCCTCCTTGGCAAATAGTTTTCTCAGCTTGTTCTTTGACGGTGAATTGTTTTGCAGGGGCTTGCGGAAATTTGCCAAGAAACGAAGGCATTGGCTGCGAAGGCGAGGGAGAAGACATTGCAGCCTCACGAATTTCAGGTAATATTGATGGTGCACTTGTCCCATATTATATTTTGGGCAGGCTGAACGTTGCTTTTATAAATTTACCCAATATTTGTGTCTGATTCGTTTCAAGCTTTTTCCGCCAATTTAAACAATTCGCCTTTGGTAGTAGTGCTACGTGACAGTGGATAACAATTTGGAAGAAAGTTCTAGCGGGATGATGCTGCTTATGCACAGCTAATGTGTCGTCACAGTCTGGCAGGAAATACACAGACGGTAATCAAGAAAGTAAACAAAGGTCCGTCTTCGTATAGTTAAAATTTTTGTGGTCAATTTTAATTTTGTTGTCACAGTTATGTGCCAGCATCAGCGTAAGAAATGTGGTTGGAGGTTTCTATAATGTTCGAAGCACAGTTGGCACATGCATTTACTATGGGCATGCAAAGCGCTGTAGCCACAGAGTTTCTCACAATAATACCTTGGGTGAAGTGTGGTGCCACCGTCTATGCGAATTTCTTAAGGGGCCCTGCCCCATTGGAGCGCTGAGAATGACGGTATATGTGTCTGCGAAGTTTGCGTTAGCTGGTGTTGAGCAAGGCTTCGGCTGCAAAGTGAGTACGACTGTGTAAATAAAACTTCTGTAAAACAAAACGTTTATAAGCTCATCTCATTCACGCATAATATATTCTGAAATAAAAGTCCACTTACTTTGACAGCACAACCAAACGGCGAAAGAAAGAAACAGACAACATAAAAGTGGAGGGAGGAACGCTAGCTTTGTCGTCTGCCTCCCAAGTTTAACAGCCGTTGGTTATTTCTTACGCTTCGTGAAATTTCACACCGAGGCAGAAGGTTCCGATGTTAAATAAAACACGTTTCTGTGCAATGACAAAAATAAATAGCTTATTACGTGCTCTTTTAGTAAGAAATCGGTCATTTTAACGTGAGGCCGAATAAGTCTTCGAGGTATACGAATCCGGGCCAAGTTCGAAGCTCACACATCTCGTCATTCTCTTGCATCCAGCAGCTCACTAGCACCACATTTCCCTCTAGGTCAGTTTATGAGAAACTCTATGGCTGTAGCAACAAAATCCAATGAACTTGACTTTCTGCTGTATTGTGACACTTCTAGTTCTGGAAAGCTTAAAAATAAGGGTGCACAGAAAGGGTCGAGCAAAAGCATATTTGACTGATAAGAACCAGATCTGTACCGTCAGTGCTGAAAATTTTGGAGACCACAAGGGTTCCATAAGGGTGCACCGTTCTGTATGTTTCTCATGCCGAAATGACCTGCTTACTGCAATGCCCGTGTGCCGCATTATCAGTTATAACAATTCTTCCTGTTGGGTGTCTGTTCCTTAAAGTAATGGAACGTAAAAGCCTTGCAACGAAAAAAGAAAACGACAAATTCAAGCTGCTCAACCCCTGCCCACAACCCCAATGTGCCCCAACGCCCCTTTGTATTCACGCCATGCTTCACCGCAAAGCATTCTGGCCTATTGACAAAGCTGACTTTTGAAATCGATTACTGTGCAGGAGTGGCGGTGGCTTGTGTTAACGTACTTTCTGACGTGCAATTTGAGTAAAAGGTTGAGACTTCTGAGAGTTGTGGTGTTTGAGCTTCAGACATCATAAATTGAAACTATGGGTCTTGAGGCGGTGTCGTTAAAGCGTCCAAAATATTAAGCATGTCCAAAAAATCATCAGCTTTGTCATCCTTGACATATTACATCGATATTATAATTTTCTCAACAGCCTGCCGTCCCCCTAGTTAGCTTTTTTTTTTGCACGCAACCTGCTTATGGCAATTATCATTTATAGTAACGAACTTTTCGTAACACTTGAGCGTTGATATAACGGGGTTCGACTGTTCATTCACTAGTTGCTGAGAAATTGTACGTTTTCTCGGGCCTTGTGGCCTTTAAACGTTCGAAGCTGACTGTACACATGCAGTTCTGTCCGCGTTTCATGTGAAGCACTAAGTTAGTGCGCATTTTGATACAACTTCTCGATCTCTTTTACTCACTTGGGAAAGTGTGCCTTATTAACAGCCTAATGATCATGTTGATAAATGAAAAAATAGTCCTGTGCAATTTATAGTAAAGACCAGCTAGTATGAAATCTTCAATTGTTAAGGTGTTTCCACTAATGTGGTTTATCCTGTTCATAGCATGCACCGACTTGTAGGTAATGTTGCATTCTATTCAAAAGCAAATGCTGCTTTTCCGTCCATTTTTTTTTCTTTTCTATGTTTGACTGTGTAATCACGGATCAACTCGGATAAGTTTATACTTAAGCACTAAGGTTAGAATAATTCCAAGTATATTGTCATAACACCGAAGTCTGTCTTAGTTAGAGATAGCTGTTTAAAGTGTAGAACGCTGACCAAAGATGACATCAAATTCCTAACTCTCACTTTAGTGTCACTTGCTGTTACCAGTGAACTGCCAAGCCTTGTTGGTGTTAAGTTTGTCGTTTGGTCTCTTGCAGGGTGGCACCATTACAGTGTCAAACCTGGGAATGTTTGGCGTCAAGAACTTCTCGGCCATCATCAACCCACCGCAGGTTTGTAATGTTATGCATTTTGACTGAAACAACAGCACTTTTTTACATTATAATAATTACGTAGAACATCTCATGCTATCATCCGCAGGGTACTAAAACTGCAGTACAGTATACAGGTGAAGCTCAACATATCATGAATGTAGATATAACAAATTATTGGATGAAGAGAATCAATTCTAAAATTACATTTATCATGTTAAAGAAAAAAGTTTTACCTTAGAAAAGCTTATTCTGTTCAGATGCATGGGCGATACAAATGACCTGGGTAGTAAAATACAGATTCTGTTGTGATCTCCTCCATTGCAGCCTGCCTCAGTTATTCCATAGATAGCAACGCAACAATATAGTATGTATGTTGCTTGTACTGTGTGACGGTGGTTGCACAGCTGTGTATTCATAGCATTCAAGAATGCCCGTACATAATTTACCATTGTTCTCGTGTCTCAAATCTGCATGGCAGGATGCCATCAGGAATCTATGGGAGGCCCTTCGCTGGCCAGTGGAGACATTTCCATTGCATGTCCCTCACCCAGAGCCGATGTGATTATGCTCTGTATGCTTCGTGAATATTGATTCTGATGAATGGAATTTTGAGTCCGGTGTGACTTCATTACTGTGAAGTTCGACTGTATATTTCCACACTATTTCACTATTTTTGCTCTTCCTTTTTTTTTTCTCAGGGTTTTTTCTCTTGCATAGCAGAAGCATGAGACATTTTGGCGAGAATTCAGTTGGAAGTAGCTGCCAATACAGTAATGAATTAGAGCTACCCCTGTGCTTCCTCGGAACATATGCTGAAGGTGGCAGTGTACTGGTTTTTGCTTGCATTGAAATCATATGCAATATTCACTATAAGAGTGAAATTTATTGGTGTGCATGATTTTTTTATTCAAGAAAGACTGATGCAGATTGGCTTCCTTCATTTGCATTTGTGGGCCATTTTGTAACTGTGTCGTTAAACAGCATAGTAATTAAAGGAGCCCTGAAACACTTTTTCAAGTAACCATGGAATGAATTCACTGGAGGAGCTTATTGCTTCACGAATTCAACGCTATGAAAATTTTAAGAATCTATCCAGTGCGAGTGGAGTTACAAAAGTTTGTCGCATGCTGCAATTGCATTCTCTCTTCTCTCATCCCGACGAAAGTGCTGGAAGCTATGCAGGGAGAGATGGCAGGGCCACATAAAAACGTCACGTGTGCCTCGTGACCACTTTTGGCCTTTTTTTTTTCTTCGAATGTGCGGCTTTTTTAGTGTGATCTCGTGCGCATAGACAAGTAGCGGCCTCCCGCGGCGATCTCTGTAATGAGCAAGCGCGTCGTGCTGAAATCAGCCAATAGCTGATAGATGGGCTTGCTACGTGTGATTTTTGGGCTTATTTTATGATTCGTCGAGAGAAGCAAAAGCAATTTTTAACTCACTTTGATGATGTATTGTGAATCCCAGGCCGCGTGCTGCGCTATAATATTTGGCTTGAGTGTTGCCGGGGGCCTCTACAACCGATCGGCAGCATTTTCTGACCATGCTCGAAAAGTGTTGCAGGGCCCCTTTGAGTGAGAAAATGCACCTTGTGGGCAGTTCACATCGTTTAATACCATGTCACATGTTTCCTACATGCAGGCCTGCATATTAGCAGTTGGCTGTACCGAAGACACACTAATACCAGACGAAGAAAGCAGTACAGGGTATGCTCACTTGTTTTCTATCCCTATGTGAGATATGTGCTCGTGGATTGTTGAAGTAAGCATTACAACTAAATGTGTGCAAAGTTATGAAGTTTAGAATATTTTTCAAATAGTAAACATTGTTCAATTCGATTAGCAGTGTAGTTTTACAATTTGAACCATTGAAACTTCCCGAAGACAAATGTAGCCAATGTCAGATTGGCAGTGGCCCCTTCAGAATTTTTAATGTGCTTCACTCCATCACACTTAACTGAGGCAAAGCTTCACTTTTTTTACAATCTCGCATTGCAACAAAGCTGCCTTTCAAATTCTGCTGCCGTCGTAAAAGTATTGACTGAAGAAACACAAAAGGTTGGTTCTGACATGGAGATGACAGATGCGTGAAAGATGGGGCTCAAATAATGCTGTTTTGGACCTAAAATTTGGGCAGGTAGTCCGAAAAGTTGGACGCTGAAGATTTTTAACATCCAAAATTTTAGATGTTCTTATATATTGAAGTCTACAAGGCAGATTTGGAACTCCACACTTGAAGGGAGCACACCCTTGTCCACCACATCAGTGTGGCTTCCACAGAAGCTGAAAGAGGAGGAGTTGAGGCTGAGGAAATAATATCTTTGTCTTCGCATGTTAAGGGTTGCCAGCAACATGTTGGTTGCACCAAATCATATACATAAATACAATTCAACCACTGCATTGCCCTATTCTTAGTAAAAAAACTTATAAAACACCACCTCACCTGCACTTCAACCTATCCGAAAAAAAAGAACACTTTCATGTTGCTATCTCATAAAAATATGCTGAGGAATTCTCTCCAACATATTTTACACAACTTCTCTTCTAAGTATTTGAAAAATATTCAAGAAATACTCCATTAAGTTGCACCTACACTTCAATATTCTAATTCTCTTTGCACCCAAAATTTCCCTCTTTGCACAGCTAGAATTATAACCCATACCTCATCATTGCGAAGCAGTGGCCACTTTTCATAGTAGTCATAGCAGAACACGGTGCAATCTACAACTGAAAGTACACGGTTTTTCAACTACAAGCAGTGTTTCCGCTGTCATATTTCATGTTTTCAATGTAAATAGTGGAATATGTAAGCCTCTAGCGGTATCCCATACTGTGTGTGTTTGTAATACAGGTCATAGTTGTGAAAAATGCAGCATGCCTGCCTGCTGCACTGCAACTTGAGAATGGTTGTCTGAAATGAGGATGTTGGTGGTGAAACACCTGGTCAACATTATGGCAGTCACAGAAGGTATATTCTATGAGCACTTCAACTATTGTCAATTAGATGTACTATTGAGAATCTCTAAGTAAATAGTGTCACTATGCACTTGTGGATAAATATGCCTATAGCTCAACCTGACCAGCTGTATCACTGCACCCGAAGTCTCTGAAGGAACAGTGGTCTCTTCAAACACACAAGGACCTACTGTGATATCCCGAGCAAGTGCACCCCCCCCCCCCCTTTCCTCCCCTACGGTGAAAAAAATCCAACAATATTTAGTGGGGGGGAGGGAGGTGGCTTTTCTCAATTGCGGATCAAAATTCAAGGTAGCAGTAGAAGAGCCGCTAAGAATAAAGAATACCCACTGGTGCTCCTAATGAAATGCTTTAATTAAATACGCATACATTCACTGTTTTTATGTGTCCTTGTCGGATGCATGAAAACACAGAATGAAACAGTGAAAATGGCCAGACAGAAGGGTGGTGTTTGCTTTGTCATTGGTGCACATTTCAAGCCTCCCAAAAGACAGAGGGGTGTGCTTGGTCTAGTAGAGGTGCTTGCTCGGGATTTCACGGTACTTTACGAAGCTGTGTATAGTAATATTGTTGCAGGCAGAACAGATTGGAACGACGAAAAGGCCAATTAGACGGTACTTGCATGAAAATAGTGAAAGTGTGCCTTGCTGATAGAATGAAACACATTTGGGAAACTTTTTAGTAAAAACACCTCACTGCACGCTACTGTTACTTGAGTATGCCCCTGTGAATCTAAATGTTACAGATGACTGTGAACTGTTATTCCTGTGTACAAACCATAATCATGCCTATCTCACTTGAACTGGATGTTATGAATATGAAAGTATGGGCATTAGCACTAAGTTGATTGCTTATGTTGTGGAAGCATTATAGCATTATAAGCATTATTATTCTCTGTTGTTTGCTATGTTGACTGCGATGTATTGAAGCTGTGTAAAAGTGAATATGTGTGTGTGACATGTTCCCTCTCTTTTTGTCTCCTCTAGGTACAGGACAGCTAAAGTGATGTCAGTGACTCTGAGCTGTGACCACCGCGTCGTCGATGGTGCCGTTGGTGCGCAGTGGCTCCAGCACTTCAAGCGTCTACTCGAGAGGCCACACTTGATGTTGCTCTGAGCTCGCTTAATTAAAGTGTGATGTGTCTGTGTAATTTATGCCATTTAGGTAGAACCGTCGATATCTTGCAACCTGCCATCTCTCCTCTACCATCCTACCCTAATCACCATTCTACCCAGCTGAGGCACTGCGCCCAGGTGCCTGGAATCGCAGAGATCATGTTGCAATGACTTAAAGAAAATTTTGTTGAAATTGTCAAAGGAAAACATCAGAACACTTCGAGGAAATCAAGTGATGGAGCTGGTGTCTTCTGATATAGGACAATGTGCTTGCAGGAAGGTGCTGATGCCAGTGCTAATGATAGAGTGATTAAAAGGCAAATATGTGAACCTCCAATGTTCTGTGTATTAATTTTTGCATATTTGAATGTGTTTATTTACACACGCATATGCCTGCCTTGAGCTGGTTACGAAAGATAACTCCATAAGCTGATTCGTGATGATAATTCAAGCTTCTGAGTATGCAAGATGCCGATCAGGTAGGTATGAAAAAAGACATGACATGCTGTACATAATATGTAAAAGGTGCGACTGCATATGTAGCGAAAACCCCTGTACAAGAAGGCAAGGCATGTGATACATCATATAGAAAAGGTTGGGACTACAAGGTGTGCCAGACAAGACCTTAAATATTTGAGCCAGCCCAAAATTGCAGTGCTCTTGATGATTTAAAGTTTAGTTGAATGAGCTCACTTTGCCAAATGGTTCTTACCGAGCCTAGGTGTAGGCCGCCAGGGATACACCACTTGAGGAACATCTTCCAAGGCGCTCGGTGACTGCCCTGGCTCACTAGATGGCCCACTCCTGTTCCTTGGGAGGCTGAAGAAGTGACGCAGTAATAAATGCTGACCACCATAATTGGTCACCCCACAGCCAGTGTGGCCCAGCATGCAAATGTCGCAACTTATGCAAAACTACTCTTGGGCAAACACGAGATGTTCAAATTTTTATTCGCTTTATGTTTATGTTCATATGTGCTTAAACCACATTTTGTAAGTTAATATAGGGATGCCTCCAATGCCTTCGTGTCCTTAGACTGCTCAAAGCCCTGTTTATCCTTGCTTCCATTCTGTTAGTTGTTGCTGTTAGCTGATAAATGTAATTGTATAGAAACGGTATTCACCTAAGCATAGACAATGTGCAAATTTCCCATAAAAGGATGTGGGTGGTGGTTTTTTGCAGCCCCCCTTCTCTAATTAATGGCCCTGAAACACTTTCTTCAGTAACCATAGAATTAATTCACTCGAAAAGTGTATTGCCTCACAAATTCAACACCGCAAAAATTTTATAAGTCGTCTAGTACAAGCACAGTTACAAAGATATGTCACACCCTGCAATCGCATTCTCTCTTCTCTCGTACTGACAAAAGTGCTGGAAGCTAAGCAGAGAGAGATGGGAGAGGCAAACAAAAAAATGTCCGCACACCTCGTGACCTTGAGCACTTTTTCTTCGAATACGTGGCTTTTGCAACGTGCGATCGCGCGCGCGCGCGCGTGGACAAGTGTCGTTTTTTGCGCTGATCTCTGTAACAACCGAGCGCGCCATGTTTTAATCAGCCAATGGCTGATAGAAGGGCAATCTGAGTGTAATTTTTGAGCCTCTTCCGTCATTTATCGAAAGAAGAGAAAGCAATTTTTAGCTGATTTAATAATTTATTGTGAATTCTAGGTGACGTGTTGACTATAAATTTGCCTCCCGCGTTCTCGGGAGCCTCAACTACTGATCGGCAATGTTTTCTGACTACGCACAAAAAGTGTTGCAGGGCTAAAGAGGCCCTGAAACGCTTTTTCAAGTAACCATGGAATCAATTCACTGGAAAAGCTTATTGCCTCACGAATTCAACGCCACAAAAATTTTAAGAATCCGTCCTGTGCGAGTGGAGTTACAAAGGTTTGTCGTATGCTGCAATTGCATTCTCTCTTCTCTCGTCCCGACGAAAGCGCTGGAAGCTAAGCAGGGAGGGATGTCAGGGCTACAGAACAACGTTACACGTGCCTCGTGGCCATGAAAACTTTTTTTTTCTTTTTTCTTCAAATGCGCCTCTTTCTTCGGTGTAATCGTGCGCGCACGCGTTGACAAGTAGCGGCCTCCCCATGGCGGTCTCTGTAACGAGTGAGCGCGCCTTGTTCAAATCAGCCAATGGCTGATAGATGTGTAATTCACAGTGTGATTTTCGGGCATATTCCGTCATTTGTCGAGAGAAGAGAAAGCAATTTGTAGCTGACTTTGCTAATTTATCTGTAATTCCAGGCCGCGTGCTGTGCTATAATATTTGGCTCGCGTGTTGTCGGGAGCTTCTACTACCGATCGGCAGCGTTTACTGACCATGCTCAAAAGTGTTGCAGGGCCCCTGTAAGGCAAAGTAAGAGGCAGACTTTGCCCCTCACCTCATCTCCGACTACCCCTTTGTGCACGCGTTTATGAACCTGGGCTAATTTTTAAGTTCTAATTGGTTCATGGTAAATACTGGTTCAAGCAGCAGAACTGGAAAAAATGAGGGACACAGAAAAAAAAAATGGAAAGGATGTCGCTACACTGAATGCGGCGACGCTCGTGCACTCTCCTTGCGCATCCTTTTCTTTTTCTTCTTGTTTTTAGATCCGCTGTTCCAAACGGTATTTGTGTAATTCGTCTCGGTGCACTATTAGAAGGTATGGAACTAGACCCACCCTCACTGCCAGCATTCATCGACAGTGCGACAGCGCTGACCAATATCACCTCTTGTTATCAGCCCCTTCGCTTCGACCGTGCTTGTCGCTGTAAAAAGCTTCCCTCCATCGTTCGCAACCATTACAACTCGACGTCACGACTTCGACCTACGTTCTAGCAAGGTTGACTTCGACAATATTCGCACCACAGCAGGTACTACATAGAACGATTACCAACAAGTGCTTCTCGAAACTCTCTGAATGGCGTAGTGAGAACATTCCTCCATGCTTCGTGGTTCTCGCTTGACGACCGTTGCCACGAACGCTCTATTACGGCCGTGGCATGTGTAACAGCGAGTGCGCTTGTGCATGTGGCGTGGAGCCGCGCGTGGTGCTATATGTGCTGCCCTGAGCGTCTAAGTCTCACAAATATAAATAGTTCCCTCCTAAAGCGTTCATGTGGTAGTGTCATACGTTTCATGCTGACAGGGAAATGATCCGCCAAGTTCTCCGTCGTCGGTGTTGGGTGACGCTCGGCTGCGGTTCGCCACACCAACGTGCGCAATGCTCGGAGCAAACAGGACATCTCCGCGTCTACAGTACGACCAGCAGATTGATCGTCTTTGGAATTGAGACGAGCTGCGACGACACAGCGATTGGTATCGTCGACGACGAAAGAAACATCCTCGGCGAAGCTGCACACTCTCAGCTGGCTAGGCACATTGAGTGAGTGTGTTCACCTTTGCGTGAACCTTGCGAGTCCACCGGGTGTACTGTTGATATGTGGTGTCTTTGTCGACACGTATGTGAAGTAAGATGCATAATGATAGGTTGTTTTAAAATGGCGCGTCATTAACGTTTGGTGAATAGACGCGCATAGTGCAACTCATACGTTCCATCCATCTAACTTTAGCAAGAACTGGGAGAGATGTTGAAGATAACACTGAATCGACTTAGCTATGACACGCCAAGTAGATATCTGGTTCGCACTTTTAAGCGTAACAACGTTTGAAACAGATAGTGCAGCCTCGTGCATTTCAACCTAGGAACATATATGCTCGTTCACTTTCATATGCTGTAAATAAAAGGGCCGTTATCTTGTTCACGCATGCGCAATTTTTTTTTCACTGGTTTCATTCTTAATACATGTGCGAAAATCGCACACTAATTACTGTCTTCATTTACATTCTCGAAGGGTCGGCGGCATCATTCCTCCCATTGCACGAGACATGCACGCCGAAAACATTGCCCAAGTTGCTCAAGATGCTCTTAAGCAGTGTCCTGTTCCACTGGAGGTAAGATTTACAAAAGTTCTGCCATTATAAATCTGCAAATTAACTTTCCTTGACGTAGAAATCACTAGTAGCACTACTCCCACTGCAAATCCCGCCCCATGTACTTAGCACACATGTCTGACACGGGAGAATGGAATTGGCTTCAGTGGTGAACTTTTAAACTGTTTCACTGCATTGCATGGCGCCAGTAATGCATTGTTTCATTATTATTCACCTTTAGTTTGAAGCAATTGGTTGCGTGCTGTCCTCTACTGAAGAATTTGTTAGGATTTTTATGAAGGTAAAAGAATTACTGGAGTAACTGCCTACAACCTATTATACCAGCAACCTAAAACGCACTTCTGATGCATCCTGTGAATGAACTAATTATACTAATCTGCTGCCACCTTAAGAGCAATTACTTTATAGCATATTCTTGGTGTACATCAGTTAGCAAAAATTTTATTAAGCACTCTCATCAACATTAGGCAAACGTTATCATCACAGTATTCCTGTATTTTGCGAAAGATGTCTGAACTCAAAAGTACAAAGATTTTGCCAATGATAACTCGAGGGTATGAAACCAGGGTGTTGTATATCTAGTTGTAGAAAATGATATGTGGCCAAAATTTATGTGTAAGCCAAAGATAAGCAAAGATGATGCGGTGCAGCAAAATAAAATATTCTACCAAAAAATGTCGAGCTGGTGCCCCCCGTACGGGGAAGGATAATCTGACCAGATTTGGGAGGGGAGCTTTTGCTCAGTTCCAAACCGGTCATTGGCACTTATTCCAGATCTCCTGAAAAAGGAAGGGGGGCGCTTGCTTGGCACTTTATGGTCCTCAACTCTAACTTGTTTGCATTTCATTTGTCTGGGATATCAAACATTTGGCTAACACTCATCACCTAGCTGGTGGATACTCAATGGAATCTCATTATGAAGAACACAAATACAAACTAATGGATCAAATTTTTCATGCCAATAACAGCACATAAATAATTCATGTTTATAAGTAACACAGTCTGCGTGGCAGAGGTACTCTTTGTTCTTATGCGACTTCAGTATGACGACTTTATATTTTACTGGCTCGACACGTCTGAAAGTCGCAGACTCCCATTGTAGCTTGTATAAAGGTCATATGTTGCCTGTGGTATTGCTTACCTGTGCAACCCCTTCTGCAGGAGATGACGGCCATTGCTGTAACAACACGCCCTGGCATGGCTCTTTCGTTGCGTGTGGGTTTCGAGTTTGCCCGTGACCTGGCCCGCAAGCACAGCAAGCCACTCATTCCAGTGCACCATATGCAAGCTCACGCAACAGCTGTTCGGCTGAAGCACAGGCAAGTGCTGTCGCTGCGTGGCATAATATAATGTTAAAGGAGTACTGACAACAATTTTCGAAGCTGATTTTACACATGCACATCTTCTGAATTCGAAGACTGCTCTGAGCAAGTGTAAAGTGCACTAAATGCTGATATCTTATTTTTTCATTAAAGTCAATTTTTGCCCAGTGATCCTACTGACATTATCACTAGCACGATGTCAGGCTACAGTATAAATTCTGGAGACTCCATGCACCAGTTGTGATGACTACAGGATAGATTTTAGGCAAATGCCTATTTTGTTCCTATCGTGCCATTGCAATATGTGAGCACGAATTTGAGGTTATGAAAAGCTTTCAAAGTGTTTTTATAGCGCATATAAATGCCTATTTTTGCCATTTGTGCCTAAATGCCTATAAATGACTATATGTGCCTATACATGGCTGTTTTCAAAATTGGCACCTATATAAACACTATTTAAGCTCAAAGTTCATTTTCAAGTGCACTTTGAGACTGTTATTCACGTCGTTAAGGAACACCGACCTTTTGAACTCTATGATGCTCAACCATGTCTTGTAGCTCAACCAACTTACGAAAAATGAGGGCTAGCACCAGTGAAATGAAACATGGCGGCCATCGTACGCCATGGCGCTGACATAGCAAGAGTGGTTAGAGGAAGAGGAGAGGTTGATGAGAGGAAAACACGCTATTTCTGTAGCCCTAAATGAGAGCATGTCTGAGTGTCTGCAGGGGAATAGGGGGAGGGAAGTAAAGACTGAATAATGAAAGGAGACTGGCGTACATGGCTGAGGACTCTGCGGCAAGTGGCTTCTACAGATCAATGTGCCGAAATATTTGCAGAGCCGCACTGAAGACCTGGGTGTGGCAATGGAAAGGGAACAGGAGTTCACTTTGTGTAGCCTCAGGAATGTGGAGAACGAATACAAAATTGTGGAGAGCTGTTAGGGGAAAGTACAGCGTGGACCAAAGGAAAGAAACAATGTAATGTGCATGTGGTTTAAGTTTTGTTTGTAATTTGATGATTGATATGTGGGGTTTAACGTCCCAAAACCACCATTTGATTATGAGAGACGCCGTAGTGGAGGGCTCCGGAAATTTCGACCACCTGGGGTTCTTTAACGTGCACCCAAATCTGAGCACACGGGCCTACAACATTTCCGCCTCCATCGGAAATGCAGCTGCCGCAGCCGGGATTCGTTTGTTTGTAATTTATCATACGAAATGCTCCTTGCCAGTTTACACAAGAAATCTTAGTTAGACACTAGAAGTTGTTGCGTGCCCAATGAAGTGTGCTGTACCAGGATAATTTTTCAAAATGGTTTATTATGAGCCACGAAACCATGACGTGAAGAGACAAGCTTTAAACCCTTACCACTTGCATCGTGTAGCCATGGCAAGCCAAATTCTTTCGCTGCCCTCTTCTGTATCGGAGCAGGATAATCGCATGACTTATACGTACAAGCCTAAACACGTCATGCACACGCAAAGTCACGTGAGTGAGTTCAACTTTAACATGGTCCAGAATATGGTCCATATGGTGTAATATGGCAACTTTAATATGGTACAGACTCTACAATTGGCCCACGCCACGCGACTACTCCCACATAAGTACCGACTGGTCCCTCATGGCCCTAACGTGGACGCACTCGATGACTAAGATTTGGTCCTGAATGTTTGGGCTGTGCAGAAGCGCATCCCACTCAGCCCAGCTGCTAGTCGGGCAAAGCGACCCGCGCTCCCAAAGCATGCGGGCTAGTATAGCGGTCTGCCCGCAGCCGGTGGGAACACCAGCTATATTAGCCCACATTAGACCGCTATATTAGCCCCGATTGGGGAATTTGTGTGCTAACCTGCTCATGCCCATACGCCATCAATGTTGTGTCTTTTCGGCGTTCTCCATAGTGTGTAGCCTGTTTCTGTAGGATGGATCCCTCAGTGCGCTGTTCGTTTATAGAGGCTGGCAAGGATAACGGGTCCTTACCGCTATACACCATGTCGCACCGCTGGAACTGCTGTCAATGAAAATGCGTGAGAAACGCACCAAGCGTTGTCAGGGCTTGACGCCAACACCTTGCGGGAATGGTGAGAAGATTAACGCATGCAAAGCAGATGTCAATTAGTGCACAGCAGCTCGCTGCAATACAAGCAAAAAATACAAATGAAATCTTGCTCACATTTTATTCGTGTATATTATTTTTTTTCTCAAATTTTCATTCATCTGCTCAACAATGCATTATGCAAATTGCATATGCTACCTGGTATGTGCTCTCAATGAAGTCCCTATTGTAGTGCTGGATATAACCAGGACACAGGATATTTTTTGCTCATTTATGTAGCCAGAAATTGACCAAGCCCTCATTAATAGCATATGGTGAGCGACATCAGAGCACTGGTGTCTACATAAAGGAGCGACGTAAGAGCAGGACCATTCGCTGTTGTACGTCACCACTTCCATCTTGGGGGTTGAGCTCGAGAGAAGTGCGAGTGACATTTAGTTTGAAACTTCATGTCTTTCCGCGATGCACAGCATAGCGAATCTTGGCAGATGTGATCGTGAGCACACAGTGCATACAGTACACTTGTTAGCTCGAAATGATCAAACCTAGTGAGGAGCCCTTTAAGATGCTCACTGACAGGAAATGAGTTTACCCCACGTGTTTAGATCTAGCCAATATGAGGCATTACTACCCTCTGGTCCTTTAGCTATCTGGCTGTCTGCTCCTGTGCTGTCCATCTCAGTCACGACAGAAAGAAATAGACCCAAGAGTGGGTTAGTTCGAGGGAGGACACTACGCTCGTCACGCTAGACAATAAAAAAAGACCGTGTTCTGCTAACCATGTGGAAAATGCATGACTCTGTTCAACCATTGGCGTCTTCGTGCCATCGTAAACAATAACATTTTTTGCTTCCTGTCGTGAGTACAGGTTGCGCACGTCTTTGCACGAAATTACCTGAATTTAGGTAAAAGTTTATTGTGCCTATATTTACGATTTTGGAGGCCTAAAACGATGTTTTACCTGTATATTTACGGCATCTTAGGCACACTTTTTTTGTGCCTACAAATCCAGCCTCTAGTGATGTCAAGTACTAAAACATACAAAATGACCGCTCTTTCGTCACAAACGGACCGGAGCTGCCATTGAAATGTTACAATATATTGTACAGCACGTCAGAAGAAGCTCATACCATCCCATGATGTCAAAGTACTGCATGAACCGGAACTAGCTTTTAAAAACATGTAAATAAATATGAATTTAATCGCTGCTGTGGCTACAATCGAACCCCGGATCTTGTGCTGGGCCACACAGAGCCTTAATAATTGAACCTACAGATCAGGTTCTTTTAGCTGTCTCGTTCATTTCGTAGTTATGGCTACATACCTAAATTCATATAAATTTTGAGGTTTTACAAGCCAAACCCATGATATGATTATGAAGTATGTCCCGATGCAGGACACCCGATTGATTTTGGCTACATGAGGTTCTCTGACATGTTTATAAATAGAAGCAAACAAACATTTTTGAACGTTACTCCAGTTGAAAAGTGGCTGCTGTGGCCCGGAACAGAATCCATGCCCTCATGATCAACAGTGTCGTGGCCTAGCCGCCAGGGTACTACAGCCAGTAATTTATGGTTATATCCATGTAGAGATCTGATAATTGGTGATTAATTTATGGACTCTAAAGACTACCTATCAGGAAATTTTATACTAGGCATGAAGATGACGTGACGGTGTGGATATACGGCAGCCTCGATGCTTTTCAAGATTACCTTTGAAATATTTATTTATTTATTTATAGAATACTGCGGACAAAAAGTCCAAGCAGGGTGAGCATACATGAAACACACTAAATAACTGAATGAAACAAGGTTGCAAAGCGTTTTTTACACAATTTCTTCGCATATAAGACAGAGGGGTTATGACTTAAAAAAAAAGTAACAATTGAACAACAAGGTGATAATACAATTCAAGGTAGTCATGCGAGAAGAGTATTTACACAAATGGTCAAGGGCGTTGAGGAAATGCTTCTGTTAATTTATTCCAATCATCAATTGTTTGTGGGAAGAAGGAGTACCAAAAAGTATCAGTCCTTGCGAAGATTGGCGTTAGGGAATGAGGATAGTGGTGTCGAGTGGGTATGCTTAACAAGGGGGATACGTATGCTGTGGTGTCTAAGGGTAGCCTGTGGTTTACTCTGTCTGAAAGAAACTGTAGCTGACTTTTTTTTTCTTCGAATTTGTAATAGTTCTGTACCATTTGCCATTAGTAATGCAGTGGGGGAGTCAATTGACATAAATTTACTATATATGAATCGTACTGCTTTTCTTTGACTTCTTTCTAGGTTTTGAATGTTGATTTTTGAGTGGGTATTCCAAACTATGGAGGCGTACTCAAGTTTAGGCCTAATTAAGGAAAAGTAGGAGAGGAGTTTAACACTAGGCCGAGCAGTCTTGAGCTTGTGGCGGAGAAGGCATAATTTACGGAAAGCGTCAGAGCAGATGTTATTTATGTGCAAATTCCAGGATAAGGTACTTGTTAACGTTAAGCCTAAGTATTTGTAGGAGGCTACTTTAAGTAAAGGTGCTTCAGCTAAATTGTATGTGTAGTCTGATGGGACTTTTTTGTGCGTTATGGGGAGATACACACATTTGTTTGCATTAAGAAGCATTCCCCATTGTTTACACCATTTTGATACATTGCCTAAGTTAGTATTAAGGTCACATTGGTCACTAATGCAGGTTACATCTCTAAACAAAACACAATCGTCAGCAAATAGACAAATTTGTACAGGGGTGCTAATTACATTGACAATGTCATTAATGTAGACCAGGGGGCTTAGTACGCTCCCCTGCGGAATGCCAGAAGTCACCGGAAGGCAGCCCGATTGTTTTTCTCCCACCTAAACATATTGGTTGCGATTGAGTAGATAAGCTGAAATACGGGAGATAAATAATTCTGGTATGCCAACTAACCGAAGCTTTATAATTAGTTTATCGTGTGGAACTGTGTCGAATGCTTTACTGTAGTCTAAGAATATTATATCAATTTGGCCGTTAGCATCAAGACAAGCTGCAAAGGTATGAACGATAGTAACCAATTGTGTCGTAGTAGAAAATTCTTTTCAAAACCTATGTTGATGATTTGTTAAAATTGAGCGTTCTTCTAAGAATTCATTTAATTTATGAGCTATGATGTGTTCGATAAGCTTACAGCATGGTAATGTTAAGGAGATCGGTCGATAATTTTGTAGTACTAGACGGTCACCTTTCTTGAATATAAGAACTATTCATGCCGACTTCCAGTCATCTGGCAATTCCACTGACAACAGAGAGACTCGAAAAATGACGAGTAAGTATTTTGCAACAGACTCTGCAAAGCGACGCAGAATTATGTTGGGAATATTGTCGGGACAGCAAGAAGTCTTAGTCTTTGAGTTCAACACATAGCAACGACACCAGAATAAGAAATAAAGTTTACATTTGCAGCATTGTCCGCATTTATGACAGATGGGGAAGCACTAGGAGTAGAAAATACACTATGAAAATACTCATTGAGGTGTTGAGCAATGGCAGCCTGATCAGATACCATTGAACCATTGACAAAAACCTGTGATGTGGGTTTTTTTTTTGCTAATATAGTTCCAGAACTTCTTTAAATCATTCTTTATGAAGTTTGCGAGTGACGTATTGAAGTAGTATTCCTTCGAGGTGTGTACGGCATGTGCAAGCTTATCTAGAGCATCAGCTATAACTTTGGGGTCAGCATGCTTTTTCTTTAATCTTTTAACTTTACCCTTGAGATGAATGATGCTTCTCGTCATCCAGGGCGTATGTTTATGCACCTTTTTACGTTTAGACGGTATAAATTTTTCGATACAGTAGAAGCATATGCGTTTAAATTGGTCCCACAATCTGCAAACATAGGTAGCTACAAAATCTATCAGACAGGTTTCTAGGTGCTCGATAGTGCAAGCACCATTGGCATGTGTATAGTCTTTCACACAATGAAAGGACGAGTTGGCAGTTTCCGAAAGCGGTACCAGAGGGATAGAAACTGAGACAAGGTAGTGATCAGACAGCCCTTGCTCAATTACTACGGTATGTGTACTGAAATCACGGGGAATAAATACCAGATCTAAGATGGACCTAGCAGTACACTGATAATGCGTTGGTTCACGAACCAATTGTACCAAATTATGTGCGAGCATGATGTCAAACACTGCATTTGCATTGCTGATATTGCCTGTAAAGGTTTCAAAACGCTCCCAATCTACTCCGGGGAGATTGAAATCGCCAATCAAAAGAACTTTGTTGCCATTGTGCTTAGACATGTGTTCCTTTAGTTTTAATAGGTATTCAAGAGTTGAGTCCGGCGGTCTATATAATGCACATACGATGAATGAGTGGCCCCACAAAGTTACTTTAATACATATACATTCAAGCTCCGGTACATCATCCAACAAGACAGCATCAAATTTTTGTTGGATCAGGACGGCCACACCACCTCCCCCCTTGATTGCCTGTCCTTACGAAAAGCCGTATAGGAAGGTGGAAAAATGTCGCCATCATTCACCTGTTCATGTAACCACGTCTCAGTTATAACAGTAATGTGAGGATCGTACTGCAGTAATAGGATTTCGAGGGGCTCGGTTTTATTCATAACACTGCGGGCATTCAAATTAAGTAGACGAAGTTGCTTGTGCGCATGCACATTACGTCCGGTTTTAGACTGTTGGGGCGCGGTGTTCTTGTAGCCGGTCATTTTTACCCTACTATTTTGCACCTCATTCCAAAAATACATATCCTTATCGATCTTTAGTTTATCGTGTATCAGGTTGATTCTTTTCCCTTGTTCTATCTCGGCCTTTGCGCTGTGCCAGAGCAGACTGCGTTTTTTTAGCATTGATTTTGAGTAATCATTCTTAACAAAGATATCTGAGCCCTTCAGTTTGCTTGCGTTTTTCATTATCTCTTTCTTTTCTGTAAAATCTTGCAGATACACTATTACAGGCCGTTTTCCTATGTGCTTACCCAGTCGATAGATACGTCCAACAGATTCAGATTTAACCTGAAGTTTTTCTTGAAAAAGACCCTTCACGACCTTGTCCTTTAGTTCCTCTTCTGATTCTGCTGAGGTCTCAGGTATTTCATGAATAATTACATTTGAACGTCTGCTGTGGTCTTCAAGGTCTGTTAGCTTTTTAGTTTGAAAAGACATTGCATGTTCAAATGATTTCGATGTGACTTGCAATTGATGGGTGTTTTCATGCTGTGCTGAGCGCTCAGTCGCTATATTTTCGACAGTACGCCTAAAGTCAAGCATCTGTTCTCTCAGCTCAGAAAATAGTGTTTTAATTTCAAGTAGTTCCTTTCGCATTTCTGTCTGACCGTCAGGTAGTTCCTTCTGGGTGGGCCCAGGGTTTTCCTCGACAGCACCACAAGTTAGTAGTTTGCAAACGACAAAACAGTCATACGCCATAACAAAACAACGCCATGGGCACGGCATAACCACTAAGCCTCGACAATCACTACGTATTGGACTAGAACGGGAACTAACCTGCACCAAGCAGAGAAGCGTTCCGTTTAGCGACATGGCAGCTTTGGGTCCACCGTGCCCACAGAAGAGGAAATCGTGCCTGTGCTTTTTTATAGCGGCGCCAAATGATGACGTCACGCTGTGATGCTTGAAAGAAAAGGCCAGTAGAACTGCGTCGTCGGGTGACGACAGCGTTGAAAACTGGGGGCCTTTGCTGATGAGCTGGCTCGTGTCGTCGCGAGATGCATAAAGTGGCTGCGCGCATTCAAAAGCACCGAAGCCAAGAAAAACCTGCACAAAGCAGAGAAGCGTTCCCTTTAGCGACATGGCAGCTTTGGGTCCACCGTGCCCACAGAAGACGAAATCGTGCCGGTGCTCTTTTATAGCGGCGCCAAATGATGACGTCACGCTGTGATGCTTGAAAGGAAAGGCCATGATGCTTGAAAGGAAAGGCCATATATATGACCATATATATAAAATATGACCGGGAGTGCCAGAAAATGTTAAGAAATATTGACATTCATGTTAAAATATTAAAAACACATCCATTACTAAGCACTATTCAGAAATTAAGTGCTTAAATGCATACAGTACGTGCATGTAAAATCTCTGAAACTGTGCAGAAGCGTTTCTTTTATATTAGATGGTTTAGATCTATTCATTATACACAACTTATGGTTTACATAATTTGACATGTTCACTCTAGTGCTAATAGTGTACTAATTAAACCGACACATTAACTTGGCCTCAGCAGCTAGCTTTAGGTAGTATTTGTTGGGTTAGTTGCCACATGCTTACTGATTGGAATGCTAGCAGGTGCCAACCACCCTTTTTTCATGCCCTTTCTGTGGTGGTTGCACTTTTTTTTGTATTTCAGTAAGCTCATTTTTATTTCATTTTTGTGCTTGCTGTAGGAACTCGTATGAAAAAGCTTTATTTATGTAGAGAAGAACATTGTTCAGTGTTTAGCACCAAGCAGTCCTAGCTGCGTGTACACTTTGTCTTGAGGCAAGTCACATTGATGTGGCTTGGATCTCCTTCGTTTCAGGCTTTTAGGCATTAGCACAAGCACTATGACTATGTTCGTATTCTGTGTATGGAAGTGCATAGAGGTACGGCAGAATTCAAGTGTCAGTCCGTCTTGACTGACAGTCAGTGTCAGTGATTGTTTACACCTCCAACGTGAGTGCAGATATATTTTTAAAAGCGATCTGTGTTATTCTCGACTTTTTAAAAGGCATGGGTCTCGATTCTAGGCTACAAATCGTGCTGTTCACTACGTGGTTTGCTGCTCTGAGCTCTACAATTTCATTGTCGTCACAATCTTCCTCTTCTCCTTCCTACAGCGCAGAACGGCCAGATAGACGGCGGTACGTCAGGTTAATCTCTCTTCCTTTCTACCAACGTTCCTCTCCCCTATCTTTCACTTGTGTTCCTTCTTCTTTGTAAATCTGTGTTTCTGTGGTTTGCAAATAATTACTCAGTCCAGGCTTTTGTCTCTACTGTGCAGGGTGGAATTTCCCTACCTGGTGCTGCTGGCATCTGGTGGCCACTGTCAGCTAGCAGTTGTGCGTGCCATCGACGACTTTGTCTTGTTGGGGCAAACCATTGACGATGCTCCAGGAGAGGCTTTGGACAAAGTACGTTTGGCACGTGCTGTTGGCCTGTTTTTTGTGCAAAGAAAGCTCCTCTGCACTGCTCACTCACACTCGCCTTTAGGGCCTTGACGAGCTTTAATTAGTTGCAAAGGCAAGAACAGTATTTTCATGATGTTGAAGTATGAATCATGTAGTAGCAGTCGTATTTGCGATTTCATTTAGAGTAGCTATTTTTTAGCAAATTGTACAAGGCAGATAACCACTAATTCGTTTTCAATGCAAAGTATCAAAGGGTGGGATATGCCATTCAGAACAGCCAACAATTGGGTGATGTAATGAGATTGATTAACTTGTAAGTATAAGACAAAGACAGCCAATTAAAAGCAACAATAATTAATCACTGGGCAATGCCATCATACTGTAGGGGACATAAATTAGGCTACTAATCAAGATATTTGTAGAATAATTAGTGTCCGATTAATCCGACACAGTTCTCCACCAAATAAACTGTTACCCTGTTTACCTCCAACATGCGAGTTCAATTTCGAGTGTACAGTAGCTATTGGTTGGTCTATTAGAGTAGCACGAGTGAAAAGTCGAATCAACGGAAAATATACACTGCTCTGACCCTGTTTGCTTGTGTCTTCCTTTGACCTCATTGTTATTTATGTTCACTCGTCTTTTCAATACAGTATCAGTTAATTAGTTGAGACAAAAAGTAATCTGAAGCTACAGGATTGCTGCAAACAGGTGTAACACGGAGTCAGCGCTACAAACACTCAGATAAAGTGGCTAGATTAGCTAAATTGCAAGTACTGTACTCAAGACAACAACTCTCCAATTTGATGCTTCTTCTATTTCTTTTTTTTTTCACATTTCGTTTACATCTTCAATATTCAATCTACCTTCCTTTCCCCTTTTTCTATCCCTTAATGTAGGGTAGCGATTCAGAAGCTTCTCCTTTAGTTAACCTCCTTGTATTTACTTCACACCGTCTCTCTTTCTGTAGGTAGATACTGTAAGACAGGTTTGGTCAACACAGGACATGTGTCTTTGTTTGAGACCTTTGTCATTCGCTGGTAACAGGCTGTTACAATGATGACGCGATTTATTCATTCGCCGTGACATTGAACACCACAGGTGGCCCGCCGACTGAAGCTGCACAAGCTGCCAGAGTGTCGCCTCATCAGCGGAGGCGCAGCGATTGAGCTACTCGCCCGTGGAGCCAACCCCCACGCCTTTCCGTTCCCGGAGCCCATGATGGACTACCGCAGCTGCGACTTCTCATTCTCAGGCCTCAAGAACTCTGTTTTCAGAGAAATCACCCGCCTGGAAAAGCGACACGGTGAGTAAAGTATTCTTTGTAAAGCACAGTGTTTATACATGCTTTCATAGGCTTGAACACGTGTGGTTTACTTGCAGCTCCTTCTCCCTTCACATGTAGAAATGGTGAAACGCACCTATGGTTAGTGACAGGCTGATGGAAAAAAATCTTGGCTAGAAAGACTCTGGAGATTGTCATTTGTACGTGCATTCGAGGCATTATAACCTTATGGGGATTATCTAGGACTACTCTTGTGGCTTAGTTTACTGAGCTTAGCCTAGTATTCTGTTTCTGTAATAGAACTCTGAAACCTTAGCTCCGTTAAGGCAAATACAGAAGAGCTTGTAATCTGATTCCTTAGCTGGCACTGTTGGTTTTCTGCAGATCTTGCTCTCAGTGTCCCACTTCCACTCCTCCAGTGAGCTATTCATTCATTCATCCTATATTGAAAGGTTCATTTATTCACGAAAATTTCTAATATGACCAAAAAGGTTCTGCAGTGTTAGCGTGCATTTCATTTGCTCACTATTCATTTATTAGTTGTTCAAGCTTAATATAAGAAAGGCTATATCTAAGAAAGCCATTCACATTTTCACAACAACCTCAAGATTGGGTCCCATTGCCTCCATATTTCTCGACTTGTACTACCTACTCGCACAGGACGTGTCTCACAAAGCCGATTAATTTGGGACATTACCTGCACACAAATTACAAGGTATTATGCTTTTGCAGTAGACGTTATGCGAATTACACTTGAATTTTAAAGGGGCCCTGCAACACTTCTCCTAGTAATTGCATAGCGGCTTTAACGAAAGAGCTTATTGCCTCATAGATATACACTACACTCTCATAGTGTCATCCATTGGCAGATTCGGAGCACTTCCGGTAATACTTTTTCTGCTCCATACGGAGCAAGCCTATTCCATTGGCAGATTGAGACTGCTCCCTGCATATTCCATAGGCAGATCTGGAGCAGCTCCGTCATAAGATCCACTCCACGGAGCAACTTTTTCTGCTCCGTGAAAATCGGCAGATTCAACCGGAAGTTGCATGCGCCCTGTGCCTTGAAATGGTGCCAACATTGGCCACACCAACAGGCGCCACCTGCGTCGGTTGCGCATCGCGGCAGAGCTCACATTTTGTTAGCGTAGCGTCGCTATGCGCAGCGTGCCCACTCAAGCAAGAAGAGAGCCGCTCGTATCGCGTTCCATTCTGACCCTGCCATTTGTTCCAGAGGGAGCGTGTGTGTTTCATTGGTAGATTTCTTCTGTTGCCCTCCGCCAGAGTGGAGTGCTCCGGCACAAAGTTCATTGGCCACTCCGCATCTGCCAAACGAGTAAACCATCAATAAATGGAATTTTGTTGAACGGAACTGCTGCTTAAATGGGACAACTGCATCCGACAAGGTTGGTTTCGTTCTCGCATTCTGCACCCCTGGTCATCTCTCAGTTAACGTAACTCCTGGTAAATAGAACATATTTTCCAGGTCCCTTCAGGTTCCATTTAGTGAGTCTACTGTGCTACCACAAAGGTTTTTGGAATCCATCCAGTACAGTAACAGGGATTTGCCGCACGCTTTAAAGAGCTTTATCTCTCCTTCCGTACCAGCGAGCACTTTGATATCTACGCAGGGAGGGGCACGGCAAAAAGAAAGAAAATGTGTTCAAGAGCTCGTGTCATGACCTTGAGCACATTCTTTTCATTTTTTTCTACGAATGAGCAACTTACTCTCACTGCAATTGCCTGAGCAGGCATGTGGCAGCATCTTACGGCAGCCACGGTAATTATGCAACACGATGCCCAAATCAGCCAATGGCCATGTAATTTCAGAGTATGGTGCAGTAATTTGGTGATATGGCATCATTTGTAGAGAGCAGAAGGAGCAGTTTCCAGCCGACTTTAAGAATTAAAATTTCAGGCTGTGTGCTACATACCGTATTTTCGCACGTATAACCCGCACCAAAAACCCAAAAATTTCAGTGGCAAAGTGGAGGTGCGGATAATACGCGGGGTTTTTCCTATAGTGCTGCTTCACAGCAATGCGTGTTGTGCTGTGAAGCCCCTTAACAGTGTAGCGAAGGCTATGGAGGCGGTTTCCGCAAATTCGTGTTGCCCCGCAAGTAGCACGGCAGCTTGCGGCCGATTTTGGTTTCGCTTGCTTGCATCGTTGAAGCGTTTAGAAAAACATTTGGGGAGAGACAATTTGATTGTTCAGTGTAAAATCTCACTGTTGTACAGCCTTTCCTGTATATCAAATGTGCGGGCAATACGCGAGGATTTTTTTTTTCTTTCTCGATGAGCTGAAAGTGGGGGTGCGAAATAAATGCAGGGGCGGGTTATACGTGCAAAAATATGGTACACCATTATGTTAGGCTCTCGTGTTCTCAGGAGCCTCGACTACCGATTGGCAGCATTTTCTGGCCATGCTGAAAAGTGTTGCAGGGCCGTAAGACGCACAGACAAAAATGAAATGATGCTGCACTCTATGTAACTGTAAGCGTTGCATTATTTTTACCCCTTGCAATGGGCAGGTATTGAAGCGGACGCGCTGGTTCCTGAGCTAGGCGACATATGCGCATCGGTGCAGCGCGTAACGGTACAACACTTGGTTCGACGCACCCAGAGGGCGCTGGAGTTCTGTTCACGGCGAGGCCTGCTGCCTCCCCTGCCTTCTGACGAAGAAGGGCAAGAGGCAACGGCGCCCCCAACTGTTGTGGTTGCAGGCGGTGTGGCATGCAACGGTGTGCTCAGAGATGCTCTGGCACAGATGTGCGACCACCTAGGCGCCACATTCGTGGCCACACCTGCTGGGCTGTGCTCTGACAATGGCCTCATGATTGCTTGGAATGGGCTGGAGGTGTACGCAGCTTCACCAGCAACGGTTGTTGAGGACCTCGATTCATATAGGGTTGAGCGAAGGTGTCCTCTCGGAAAAGATATCTCGCAGTCAGTTGCCCAAGCGTCAATTAGGCTGCAAAAGATTAAGCTTAGATTCAGTTGAACCAATTGAGTGTTTCTTCACTTGCAGAGAGAAGGAGAAAAGACTGAGTAACTCGAAGGTTGTTCTCAAAACTGAGGCTGCAGTTGCAGCAGTTATCCGGTTCATTGTTTGAGCACCTTGGGGGGTAAAGTTTGACCAGACAGTGGTAGAGTAGATGAAGTAGCTGACCTATTTTGACTGCAACGACTGCGGTGGCTTAGTGGGTGAGGTGTTGTGCTGCTGAGCTCAGAAATGCTGATTCAGTTACCAGCTAAGGCAGCCACGTTTCGATGGAGGCGGCAGAATGCAAAAAAAAAAAAATACCACTGCACTTTGACTTAGGTGCATGTTCAAAGAACTTCGGGTGGTCAAAACTAATCCGGAGTCCCTTGCTGTGTCGTGCCTCATAATTATACTATGGTTTTGACTCATGAAACCGCACAATTAGATATGTTTAAATAATTTTGACCGCCTCAGGTCATCAAAATGAACATTCCAGTTTTCAAACTTAAAGGGACCCTGAAACAGTTTTTTGATGTTCTGTCAGTGTTTAGGCTAGAACATCATCAAACCATTCGCACCACAAATTTAGTGACACGCCGTGTACTAAGAAACAATTATTACGTACCCTTCTCCTCACCTCTGCCTGGCCTCCTCAACTCATGAGGCATGCTGCTGATCGCAGGTTCTCATGAGCGCAGGAGACGCGCTTGGACGCCGGAGCGAGCGGACGCGCGTCGCATGCGCTCCACCGAACGTGTGCTCTCGTTGACCGGATTACTTCGATATCGTCGCCGGCAGCTGTGTCGGATCATCAAGTTTTAACTGTCCGGGGAACCGCACACCCTTCCCGAGGCTGTAGAGCATCTCCATTTTTCTCTATCGCCTTCAGAAGAACCCATGTGAGCGCTGGGCCGCTGGGCCTAAGCGCCGATCCAGCTTGCCAGTGCGAGTACGGGTGACTTGGCCTAACGGCGGGACCCCTTCCACAACAATATGGACGCTAGCACTACGCCAACTGCTAACATGACTACTACCGGATGCGTTCAACCTGCATTCAGCCCCAACGACACCCATGTTAACACGGAATCTCTCGACCTCGACGAGCTCACTTCGGCAAGCGAAGATGAAGTTGCCGTGCACCATCCCACATCGTCTGCATCGCTGGGACCGGCGAGCGACACCGACGCTAACTGGAAACTGGCGATATCCCGTCGCCAGCGTCAACGCCAGAAAAAAATTCGACAAAGCTCGAGCGGAATTGATGCAGCTGGCCGGTCCTGCAAGCACTCTACCTAGCCACGTCAACGCCGGGGCAGCTGCGGCTGCGGGTGCTCCTGCTGCGCAGGCAGACGCGGCCGGCGTCGCACCGGCGCGAACACCACCACCCGTAACGAAGCCGCGCCAGCTACGACGGAAGCCGCCACCGCTTCCACGCAGGGACATAAAGATCATCATGTGCCCGAAAAAGGGCCTGGCCATTCGGAACTTCACTACGCATCAAATCTCCCGAGCCGTAGCAGTGGCGGGCAATTCTCGACAACATTGTACTGGTGATCATTTCATTATACGTACTCGCCCCGGGTCGAACATCATTATTGCCATCACGCCACATCTTGAGACGGCCGAAATTCTTCGTCGGATCACCACCATCACGCTTGAGAGGAAAACCTACGAATTCAATGCCTATGTGGCGGCCCCTGAGGGCACCTTGTGGGGAGTTATTCATGGGATAGACTCTGGCACAACTCCGGAAGAACTCACCGCCAACCTTCGCGTGCGCACGCAGGGAGTGACAGTGCACGAATGCTTGGTGCTACCAAATCTGCCGTGATCACTTTTGAGGGCCCCGTTCTGCCCCGATATGTACTGTATTACGGTGGAGAGATGGCCTGCCACCCGTACAAGCCGACGCGACAAGCCTGCCAAGTCTGCTTACAACCGAGGCACCGTTCGAATGTATGCCCCACGCCAAACACTCCTGTGTGTCGGCAGTGTGGTATCCTCGACCCCGTTGACGGTCACCCCTGTGCTCCCAAATGTCACTTGTGTGGAGATGCCCACTTAACGGGCACCAAAGAGTGCTCTCAGAGATTGAAGGCCCCGCGCCCACGGCCACCTCCTCAACCAGCAGCACCAGCCAGGGGCCGCAACCCCCATCGTAACCCACCAACTCCCAAACGTAGGTGGTTCAGCAAGGAAAACGAGACCTCATGCAGCCACTCCCGCTCACGCTCGAGGTCACAGTCCTTCCCGCCCCTCCCTTCTGTGGAACCTGGCCAACAGCAGCAGCCACAGCAGCGACAGAAGCAGCAGCGACAGCATCCGAAGAACCAGATGACCAAGGGGCAGCAGCAGCAGCAGCAACCCGGCTGTCAACAGTCTCAGTACGCCTCCAGCAAACATAATGAGAAGCTTAATCACACTCCATCAGCCGGTGCCGACAATAAGGTGAGCTGGTCAGCAAATGTAGATCCTTCCATCGCTCCACTCAATACCCTGTCCACCGCATACGAACACCTTCTCGCGGAAAACATAAAACTCAAACAGGAGCTGGCCGCCCTCAGGGCACGTCAAGCCCAGGACAGTTCTCAACTTCATGCCCTAATGGCACGTCTTGGATCGCCGCCCGACTCCCCCGAAAAAAACCCCCAACCTCCCTCAAGAGACAGAAAATCCCTAAAACGGCGCTATCAATTCCTGCTGCGTCGGGCACCACAGTCACACGCGAAGAGTTACGCGAAATGCTCTCAACGCTCGCGCAGCAGCTATCGCAACAATTCAGTGCCGTATTCACGCAGTTCGGAGAACGCCTCGACTCTCTCGAGACACGCTTCGAGGCGCAAATTGCTGAAACAGGCGAAAACATACACAGGAAGAGGGCCACTCGTAGCTCGCACTCCACGACAGATCAAGGTTACCATAGACTAGGATTGGAATCACATGCATCTGAAATCCTCGCTACCCCCGCATTGACACCCAGCGCCCTCACCCTCACTCCTACATCGGCGTCGCAAGCCGAGATTCCGATACCCACGCCTTTCCACTCAAGGAATTAACCATGGGCAGTACAGCCCCACTCATTGGCGAACATTTAGAAGTCTGGCAATGGAACTGCCGCGGCTTCCGCAGAAAGCGGAGCCTCCTCCAACAGTACATTAACACACACCTTGCTCGGCCAGATGTCATAGCGCTTCAGGAGCCCGGAACGCCACCCATATTTCAGGTTATGAGTCCTATAATAGTCAAACAAAGGGCAAAGCGGCCATCCTGATTGACAAAGCGCTAACCGCAGTTGGCTTAGACAACATCCCAGACACCAACATAGAACATGTGATTGTGGAGCTAGTTCTATGTTCTAAAGGAGAAAAGCGAAGTATCATCATTGTCAACGTATATAGCGCCCCAAAGCAAAAAACCACCGATTTCCATGCCCTCGTCCAAGGTGCCTGCAGATTGGCCCAGGGAAAAGAACTCTTACTGCTCGGCGACTTCAACGCTCTCGACGAACGCTGGGGTTACAACCGTTCGGATGTCAAAGGCAAACAGTTTTCGGCTGCCACTGAAAAATTTCAGCTTGAACTGCTCACGGATCCCGCGTTCCCTACCCGGATCGGCAACAGTGTGTGCAGGTACACTTGCCCCGATCTCACCTTCTCCCGTGGCCGTGCAAACTATAACTGAGACAACCTGCAGGAATCCTTGGGCAGCGACCACTTCATTCTCCGCACAAAAGTTACAGAGAGCGCAGCGCGTCGGTCTATTGGAGAAGCACGCATCACAAACTGGGACGCCTTTCGTCGTGAGAGTGAACATTCACTCGACAGCCTCACAAGCCTCACGAATGGTGCACCCAACTTAAAGAAATTTGAGAGCGTTGGACCACCACCATTAACAGAACACCTGCACTGCCGGAAGTGGACGGCCATCTGCTACATCTGTGGGAAGCCCGAAGGAGCCTCATCCGCAGATGGAGGACGCAAAAACATAACCGAGGGCTCAAGCTAAGGATCGCCACACTCACCACTCAGGCAGAGCAGTACGCTACAGTACTGGCGCGACTCAATTGGGCTCAGTTTAGCGACTCTCTTCGAGGCTCATTGGGCACGGCCCGCACGTGGCACATTTTGCGGGCTTTGATGGACCCCACTCGAACAAAAAATGAGACGAATAAGTCAGTCATGCGCCTCATACACGCCTTTGAGGGTACTGACGATGAGCTGCTGGATCAACTCCGGCGAAAATGCTTTGGCAATTTCTACCCACCCGCATCTCAGGCTGCGTATCGTGGACGTGCCAATGACACTCTCGACCGACCAATAACGGTGGACGAAGTTTACGCAGCCATTCGCAGCAGCAATCGCAACACAGCTGCTGGGGCAGACGGAATCACGTACTCCCTTATCAGAAACCAACGACAGCGCCGTACAAGAAATCACGGCGTTTTTCAATGATCATTGGCAACGTGGCACGCTTCCTCCTGAATGGAAGCACGCGGAGGTCATAATGATACCGAAGCCGGGCAAAAAACTTCAGATTGAAAACCTCCGACCAATATCCCTCACTTCCTGCCTTGGTAAACTCTTCCAACGCGTCATCACTAATCGCGTGCAAGATTACCTCGAGGACAATGACCTTTTCCCGCACTCAATGTACGGGTTTCGGGCACATCTTTCAACGCAGGATGTACTGCTACAATTAAAAGAAGTCACTTGATAACGCCCCCCAGCAAGGAGAAAACATTATCTTGACTTTAGACATTAAGGGCGCATTTGATAACGTTAGCCACCAGGCCATACTTGAGGGCCTCGAGGCCCTTCATTGTGGGCAGCCCGTCCACAGTTATGTTCACGCCTTCTTGTCGGACCGCACTGCCACAGTTCGGTCTCGGCTCCATCCGATCACATGTTATCAGGGTTCCGAACAAGGGCACCCCGCAGGGCTCAGTGATTTCCCCTCTACTCCTTAATGTAGCTATGGTTGGCCTGGCACATGAACTCCACCGCATCGATGGCATCCATCACGCAATGTATGCGGACGATATCACTGTCTGGGCCACGTGGGGGTCCCTTGGAGAAAAAGAATATAACCTGCAGCAGGCAGCCACATGCGTCGAACAATACGCACAGGCACGAGGCCTGGCCTGTGCAACAGAAAAATCTGAGCTTCTACGAATTTATCGACGCAAGCTCCCACCATCGGCGCAGAACAACCAAGGCTCCCGCCTCCAGGTCGTCCTTGCTGGCAAACAAGTCCCAGAGAAATCCACCATTCGAATATTAGGCATGTGGGTACAGTCGAACCGCCATGTGAATCACACACTTTCCCTTCTCCACACCACTACACTGCAAGTGGCCCGAATGATATCTCGGGTAGCCACTCGTCGCCATGGCATGCGCGAGGAGGACACCCTGAAACTCATACGTAGCCTCGTGGTCAGTAGGGTGACATACAGTTTGCCCTACCAACGCCTCACCAAAAGCGAACAGGGCCAAGTAAACGCAATGCTCCGCAAGGCCTACAAAGCGGCACTCAAGCTACCACCGGGTACTCCTTCTAGCAAGCTCCTCGGATTGGGTCTACACAACACCTTTGAAGAAATTTGTGAAGCGCAACTCGCCACACAACTGCAACGGCTCAAGCAAACACCTACAGGCCAGGACCTGCTCCTACGCCTTGGCTACATCAGCCAGTTTCACGACGCAGCTCGTCGCAAGCCCATTCCGGACCAACTTCGTGCCACTTATAAGGTCGCTCCCATCCCCCGCAATATGGATCCCCGACTACATCAGGGCCGGAGGGAAGCCAGAGTGGAAGCCCTCGAGCGAACTTATGCACACAAGAACACTACGTACTATGTTGACGCCGCCAACTAGGACCATGCAAACAATAAGGCTGTAGCGACAGTCGTGGACCACGCACTCACAGAACGTACCAGCGCTTCCGTGCGGTGCCACAACATCGCCGATGCTGAAGAAACTGCCATCGCGCTCGCCCTCGGCTACAGACAACGAAGGTCACTGACAGTTCTCACGGACTCTCAAGCAGCTTGCCGCAACTACCTACAGGGGCGCATCAGCCAACCCGCTCTCAACGTAATCCTGAGCGTTACAGACACTGGCGAGCATTCCATTACACATCCACTCAGAATTTGGCATCGGATTATATGGACTCCGGGCCACATGGGACTGGAGGGGAATCAAGCAGCGGATAGAGGTAGCTCGCGAGGGTATGCGAGCCGAGCACCTTCCAACTCCGCCCCTGAGGAACTCGTTCCGGTCTCTTGCGACTATTCGGCCATCCTAAACCATTACAGAGGACTTAGGAAAGCTTATTCGCTACCACACCGAACACTAAATAAAGAGGAATCGGTCAGCTGGAGGCGAATTCAAACCGGCACGTTTCCAAATTTGCACATCCTGAGTAAAATGCACCCCTCGGCATACTCTCCTTTCTGCCCATGGTGTTCAGCTAAGGCCACTCTGTACCACGTCACGTGGGAGTGTCAGGCCATTACAGCCTTACAACCAGTACAAAATCCAACAGCAAGCGATGGGAGGAGCTGCTGGCCAGCGAGAACCTGGAAGATCAGTTGAGTCTGATCAACCGGGCCCGCAGAGCGGCTGCTGCAAGCGGAGGCCTGGACTAAGGGCCCCCCCACCGCAAGCCAAGCATCTCCGACTACTCGGAGCTTCTCCGCAGAAAATTTCATGTAAATAAATAAATAAATACGTTTTCGCCACCACCTCATGAGCGCACTCGACGATTTGAGCTTCTACCAGTTTAGACCTCCGAGATCACACACCGACAAAGTGTACGCAGTCTCCGAAGCCATCACACATGCGGTCTGAGAACAGAGACGAAGATCGCGAAGTGGTTCATATCTGCTCCTACAAGTGCCGCCACCCTACCAGCTGATCTTACGTTAGCGCTTTCTACAGCCCATATCAACCAATCAGACCAGCAGCCACGATGACATCAAGTGAACAGAGCATGTTGCCCTGTGAATGGGCGGTCGAAAACCCGGTTGGCCAAGTAGCAGTGATCGATCTGCAGCGATTTACAGCTTTAAAGCGTCGTAATAAATTACACAGTTTCAGGGAGCTAAAATCGGTCTGTAAATGACCCATAAGACTTGGTCTACCGGCCCTTTGTGTTTGCACAAAATTACCAAAACTGGTTCAGGGTCCCTTTAATAAATGCTAATTTTGGTAACTTGTTTCCAGTGAGAATAGACTAAGTATGCTTAATGAGAAAAAGAAAGAGGTTGATAAAGAACATAACAGGCACTGGAGCAATCGCTCATTAACAATTGTACCATTAGTAATGACCCTTGGCTAAGGCTGTTGAGCAAGGGTATGTAATTTATAGAAAGTGTGACTGCAGCACTTCACTTGTTGAACCACTGCTCTCTCTTATCCCAGTGCCATGTTTTTTGTCTCAAGAGTGCTAACTATGGCAAATCTTTTTCCTGGGTGTTTTCTTGATAAGAACTTTAGCGTTGTCGGTGCGAGGATTTGACATACTTGTAGCACAAAAGCAAGAAGAGTGATGAAATAAAAAAAAAGTTTTGTCCATCTTTACGTAGCACAGGGTTACGTAGGAAATTGATATCAGATTTTCACAATAAAAACTATGCAGGCGAAAGAAAAATTTGTTGTCCTGCTTCGAGAGCCGAACCAAGAACAAAAGTCTGTTCGGGGCTGTCGCGCTTGTGTCTGACCTAATCTGTAGACAAGCAGTCCACCGAGTGAGGCCGAGTTGATTAACTCGCTGTCTATGTATTTCTGCAGAACTGGTTTGTCAACCCCACAATGTTCCAATAAACGATTTGTTCAAGTTGGCACTTGCATTTATCGCATGTTATCTATCGTCATGATGTTGGTACTATATGCAAGAAACTTATCCCGTTCTTAACTCCCAGAGCTAATCTGTGTGATACATCCGGTTTGTAGGGTATCAAGAATACGTACATGGTGCAATGTCATGGTTGGGTACAAGTTAAGAAGTCTGCAGCGCTTCCACCTCAAAGGTGGATGTACGCAAGCCTGAACTCTAAACAGACATTTAGAGCATGGGTTCGCTCCGCAGACCTCTCTTCAGGGGTTCCGCAAGCCACTGATAAACTTTCCTTGGTTCCGCACTAGCCCGCTCAACTCACTTAGATGGCGATCCCAAGGTGTGATTAATCTAGAGAACCTCCATTATTCATGCCTGAGCACCAATAATGCACCTCAGTGTGTAACAGAAATGAATCTCGCCAGCAGTTTGTAGCCAGCCAGACTCCGAAAATGGGATGCACGGTGGCTTGAATCTCAGGGGCCTAATATTACCACCATGCGCATTTTGGCTATTGTGAAGGTCGGTGCTGCTACACCTATGCTCTGTGCCTTTGATACGCTCGTTTGTACACCACAACCGTTGGCGCCGCACGCGCTGCGCGCTACGCTTCGCCCTCTAGACACAATTGTATGTCATTCAACACGAGCAAAAAGGCAACACATAGAGCTTACTTATATATATTTTTTGCAGTATGGATGTTAAAATTAAATTTATTGAAACTAAACATGAGAAACCTTGTCGGAAGGGTTGTTCTTGGCACTTAGTGTAGCTTAGCAGAGTTCCCTGGCACCAACATGCCTGAGAACCCTTGACCTAGAGTGCCACATAGTCACTGACTATGCCGTCAATGAATATTACCTCATACATGTGCTGGATTATTTCGTTAGTCACAAAGGCAGCTAACGGCCATAGTTTGTTCATCTGGGAAGGGCCTCTCCTGCCTTGTGAAGTTGTACCCAACTGCACAACATATAGTGGGTTCTGTAGCTTCAACTGAAGGAACTGTTAGCTCTGAGGTAGTTGCCACTGAATTCTTTTAAGCTGGACATGTTCGAGAAAGGTCATGCAAAATCCCCATGTTGCAGTTAGCAACACTTACCCCCATATTCAGAAACGCTGCTTGACTTGATCTTAACTTGCCACCAACTGCAATGCAGCACAAACGTGTTTTAAAAACTTTGTCTTTAGGCCATGCCAAGGCAGCACAAACGCACAGACGAGTTTCAAACGTGCTGCATTGAAGGCAGTTTCAAGTTCAAGTCAAGTAGCATTTCTGAATATGGGCGTAAGTCATGAGTAAAGAAAGCACTGCTTCTGAAATTCTTGAACTTTCTCTTTAGGTCTTTTCTAAAGCAGTCCTTCCGAGTTCTGCGAGTGGTGGCATGCAAATTTATATCTCTCACGCACAGATGTACGTCTGCACGCCGTGGGATTCATTAAACCGACCAAGCAATGAACGAACTATGTGCTGCAGGTATTCAATGCTCTCTTCACAAAAAGAAGCAGTGAATCTCACTTTCATTGTGCAACTAGCCGCCTATGGCACACTTTTCTTATAGTTATGCGCCACGTAATTCCAGCTGGAGCAACTGTTCGAAACAAAGTAACGGGCGTGTATGCTTGAGAAAATGAATAAACTCGCAGCGCATAAAGTTCGATTGAACTGAGAGTTCGCATAAAACCTGCATTTGCCGAATAGCAAACATTGGAGGTCCATGAATCTGAAAGGGCCTTCCTCACACAGAAGCAATGAAAGAGCACAGCATAGGTGTCAAGCACTGCTCATTAAAAGTGAAGACAAAAAAGTGGTGCTGTTTGAGAACTAGTGCATTCCAAGAAAATTTCTTCAGAAGTAACAGAAAGAAATGTGATATAGCGTATTCCAGTATTTCAAGTTTATCTTACAACCACAAATAATTTCAAAGCTCTACATAGCTCACATTTCTGTTGACTTGCAGCAATGATAGTTGTGGGCCATTCCTCTGGTTGTGTCTTCTAGTGACTCAGGAACGTCAAAAGTCAAAAAGCTGTTTGAGATGTTTCAAAATGTAAAAATGCCAGGACTGCCTTTGATGATTTGTAGTTCAGACTCGCATGTTGCTGCATACTAATGACCTTTAGCTCTTGCTCATTCCACCAGTGTTACAGCAAGAGAAAAACTTCGAATGGAGAGTATCTGTCGTCAGCAGCTGCTGTTACCTATGTTGGCGCCTGCTGTGCTTGTCCTCCTTTCAGATAGATGGTACTGGCATAGATGACTCTGTAGTCTTGCTGTAATGAGCTCTTGAGTGTATTCAGTTGGACTTCGAGGTGTCTCTGCATTCCCAGCCTAAGGAGTGAGTGAAAAATCTGCTGCTTTCGTACGACATGCGATTGGTGCAGTGCACCTGAAAAGAGACACGAAGGCAGCACAGAAACACGTACATAGTGCATCGCTCCTTTTTTTTTTCTATTGGTAGATGCACGGCATCACTGGATTTTCCTACTTCTAAGCCTTATATGCAGACACAGTTCACTGTTGCTGCTGCGCCAAGAACGAAACTTAGGACACTCAGAGCGATAAGTGGCGAGCAGCACAAGCCTCAGCCCCACAATGTGACACTGAGCACATGCCACTTTAAGTGCCAAGCAGGCTATTTCTTTAAGCTAGCATTGCGACTGTTTCGTGCTGTTGTTAAGTTCTTCATAGTTTATGTACCAGGAATGTTGCAACCCTACGCCAAAGCAGCAGTACTTAGCATAGAACACATGGGACTGTGTTGAGACACTTTTATTTATTTAAAAAAAAACACCCTTCTGCGTCCCTGTTAAGGCAGAAAACAGACTAGTTGGTGACGATGGAATAATGGCGGTGGCAGTTTGTGTTACAGGTGCCTACACAACACACAAGTTGTACTTCTGTACAAACTCTCAAGGAAGAACGAAACGAAACAATAAAACTCGGCAGCACACCACAAGGGCTGGTGGTGCTGCCGGTAAGGGCTACAGTGCTTAAGCCTAATAAGAAACTGGGAGCAGAGAGATATGCACAATTATACAGTTACATGGCACACGCATACATGCAAGCATACACCTCATACAGAGATGGCACATTGTATAGCATCAGTTGTTTCTCTAGGGCACAAGGAAAGGCACACAAGTTGTCTCTGCACTAGGTGGCCTGTATAGTATTATAAGGAACCTACAAGCCTCTGCTTAGAACATACAGTGTTCCTGTGCACCGATCTGGAGGTATGCCAGCTTACCTTAGTAACAAGGAAAGGCCACAATTCTCGCAAAAGCTGTGCAGCTCGCCTTTCATTTTTGGACAAGTGAAAAATTTTCAACAAATCTGCAACAGCAATGTCCCGTGTGTTGCCATGTGGGCCTGGCATGAAGATCCTAATGGGCTGAACCGCAGCTCCACTGAATGAGCACTTAGTGTGAAGTCAGCAACGTTGTGGTGCACTTTAATATCGTGCTTGGATGCATAACTGCTTTATCCGCAATATACTGTTGGCACGGGAAGTTTACAGGCAGCAAGATACACGAGAAGTCTTGTTTCTGCAGCCTGGTTTTTCAGCTTGCTTCAAGTGTGCCAGCAATATCTTGGCACCTTTAGGTGTAAAGCTCAAAACACTAGACCAACGAAAACATTGACGTCGCTCTACTTACATGTTCTCTTTCCGGCAGTCCCAAGTCTAGAGTTAAATACCTGCAGATGTTACCTCATAAATTTGCTCAAATTCAGACCATTGTTCAATACATGCTTCTATGCATGATAGACATTTATGTATCCTGTGCTCCGTGAACATTTTGACACCGACTGTAAGCTTCCGCAGAAATGCCGCACCGCAGAATGAAAATTTCTGACCGAGAGAGAAGAAAGCACAATGTTTAAAGAACGCATGCCTGCCATAGAAATTTAACGTACAACAAAACCGGCTTGCACTCCAGGCAACTTACAACACTACCGTTCCTCTCACCACATATTTTCGTGTGAGACTGCATACTGTGATATTAAGCTACGCATATCTGGATAACTTGGGGACGAAACAGTCAACTACTGCATCTAGCCATGGTGTTGAACAAAATGCACCACAGAGCGCCTTGTCTTTGACAAAAGCACTCGTGTGCATGTAGCAGCGATTCAGCCGAAAAAGAGGTTCATGCCTTGTTTCCTTATCAATTCATATCCTTAAATTATGTTGCTTTGAACACTTCTGCAACACTTTGTCCAGTAGGCCACCACAAATTTTGAATAAGTACTAGACTCTGGCCACCCTGTCGTGAACTTTTGAGCAAAGTTCTGTGTCTTCTCACCGAGACAGTTTGAATATTATTACGAGTCTTTGGAAGGAAGCCATACACATTGTTCGCACAATTGCCCACGGGACAAAAGGGAACAGTTTACAAAAGGGAAAAAAATTAAACCGCTGTTAGTCTTTGCGGTGTAAACTCGTAACACGGCTATGAACTACTTCCTAATGCACCAGAACCATCTAGTTATAAATGGCATTTTTTTTAAAACTGCTGAAATGCTATTTTTCGCTTAATGAAAAAAAAAACATACATTTGAATTTATCCTCGCAGTGCAGCTTGGGCATATTATGTGTACACAAGCTCACAACTCTGCTAGTAGAAACAAAATATTTAGGGATCTCACTTTCATCAGTATTACAAAGTTAGCGATTGATAATACAAACCGTCACTTTGCACTCATAATCAATAAATCTATGAATTAAATGCCATGATGTAGTTCTTTCAGCACAACAGGGGCAATTTATATGCTATACAATCAGACCCCTTAAAAACAATGAAAACCCTCACACAAAAATGCAAGGAGAACTGGCACTCTTCTTAGTAGCCTTAAAGTACTTGCCTGCACTGAATATCAAATGTCATTAAATATACAAATAAATGTTTTGTAAGTATCATGGCACTGTATCTGCAGTGAAAAAAAGACTTGCTTCTCATCACACGCGCAGCCGCATTCGTAACTGCCTTGGAAGCAACCCAACAATTTACACACACCACTCGAGAAGTTGGTATCACATTAGATGACATGCTGGTGTCTTCAAAACAAATGCTAATTACACGATCTTGCTTTGTGATGCAAGTGCGATTTCAGAGCTAAAATCAAAAGCAAATGCTTTTGCTTGCTTTGTATATGGATGAACCTACTGTGAGCATAACAGAGACCAAGACTGCTTGGCAGGCAAGGTCGATGACACTGACCTAAAGCCAATAAATTCCGCTAGAGCACATATGAGCGGTTGCAGTAAGCAGCCAATGTCAGCACAAGGAAAAAAGTGACATCATTTCTGCGAAATTTATCTGCAGTGAGTATTCAGTGTTGAAGTTGTTGAAGCCGAAGGGCACTGCACGACAGCCAGTGGCCCAATAAATAAGATTGATGAGTGTACAGCACAAAAAAAAGAAACAATGTCACTCAGAAACGGGAACTAAAGCTGAAATACTCTATCTAGAATAGCAGCTGCTATTGACAGTACGCTGAATTGTAAAGTCTTCATGTTGCGAGGTATACGCCTAGGACAACCGATGCATAATCATACGCTTTGAGTTCGTGAAGCCGCTACTGAGTGGTTTTAGCTGCGAGAGACTACATGGAAGTAAATGGAATTAAAAAAAAAAAAAACAATTAAGAGAACAGATAGAGATTTCTGCAATGATAGCAAGGGCTTTTCAGTCGGCTGACAACGAGTACAGCTCATTTCAGTATTTTCAAGGAAATGGGTAAATCTAAAAAAAAATTATTTAGTCTTTACTGGTCTGAACAGAATACATACACAGTGGCCCACTGCTTATCGTTCACGGGTTAGACGCGTGTACTGTGTAAAACATGTCCATAAGATGTATGCAGGGAGAGTAAAAGGCACAAAATACAGAGTGAAGGGTATGAGAACTGGCTTTGAGTGGTCACGAAAAAGTGCAGAAAATTAGCAAGTGACAACGGCTAGCAACATTCCAGTAGACGAACAGCGCACCGTAACATTTGCAACTTACCTCATGTGTGGGCAAGAATAGTTTTAGCAGCTCAGAATCTTTCCGAGAAAATGTTTCAAGAGCATGCACTCAGTGTGACAGTACAAGTACATGCGCTGGTCAGTTATATCGTTGTCACAGGGCTAATTTTCATCACTGTTTCATTTCCTTAAGAAAATGGCCACTCTGGGAACACTGTGCTTCGAATTGCCGAAGGCATGCCAGCACCGCACGTACGATGGTATCTCTCCATAGTATTTCTCTGCGAGACATGCGAAGCAAGCTTTTCTGCCGAGCCTATGACACAGCACTGGCGTTTTCCCCAGTACATGCGTTTTTTTTTTCTTTGCCGATAGCAACAGGAGGCCGACGACACGAGTCAAACCAACACACCACAGTTGTAGCGTCCACTGCAACGTCACTACAGATAGTCTCGCAGGCACTTTTTAGATGGAGCGTGGAGATGTGCCGGCACTCCAGCAGCACTGGCGTTTCGCATCTGCATGGCTAACAACTGTCCACAGCACGAGTGAGACGGACGAGACGGCAACACTGCGCGAAAACGTCTGCCGGTCAACAGCGTTGTTTCGCACTCCCTCGCCTAACTGTTTCGTTTCACGGCACCACACGGCAAGTTTGTCTCATTCACTACGACTGTGAGCTGTGGTGAACTCAGTCCTTGCTGTCGGACTCCGACTCGGAGTCATCGTCATCGTCGCTGCTGTCCGAGCTGCTGTCACTATCACTCTCGCTACTGTCGTCGTCATCGTCGTCTTCTTCGTGGTTCGCGTTGGGCTCAGCCTGAAGAGAGAGATCAAGAAAACGTCTGAACATCAAGCTAGCAGAATGTGCGTAAGTAGGAGAAACAAATGTGTGCTGAAAACGTTTTGTGTACTGGATGCGTCTTCTGAAAGTAGAATGACAATTAAACAAAGCAATGTGAACAATTACAGTGTCTGGCACATTCAACAAACAGTTCACTAATAGAAAGTGGCCAAGCTGCGGAGCTTGTAAATGACACATGTGAGAGTGACACCGCAAATACAAGAACTTCAGGTCACATCAAGAACGTCTCAAGGAGAACGTCTAGGCCCAGCACTATGCAGCAGCTCCATGCTGTCAAAGGTTTTTATACATTTTTAAGAGTACCTCTGGCACCATCATTCAATGCCAACTTAGATAAACCTTCACACGAATCGGAGCTGGTCTACAACTGCTCGAGCTCGACAATAAAATGCTCGCTTAGTAAACCCAATGCCAATAGTATACCACTATCCTCTGATGATGCGTGTAAAGATGCAAAAATGTGCTGCAAGGATCGTGAGCTCTAGCAAGGATTACACATTTTGCACCTGTGCCTCGCAAGCACCTGAACATACCCCATTGCATAATACATCATGCAGTGAAGCAGTTCCAGGCCTCTACTCGTAGCTTTTTTTTTTCTTTGGCTGGATGGGTGGGGATGTACTCGCAGCATGAGTGCAATGAGCATTTATTTTTCCAAATTAAATCCTAAATAACTTTTCCTTGAACATTTTTATTGTTCATCACTATCAGCCTTTTTTATGTTCACTGCAGCATGAGGGTCTCATGATGATCTTCCGTTCACCAAGTCTTGTGCTTTGTGCTAGCAGATTCCATTTTAGACCTGCGACATTGACGTTGTCAGCCTATCCAACTTGCTATCATCCTTGGCTGTATTTCCAATCCCTTAGTGTCCATTCAATCATGCTAAATGTCCTTATTACCTGTTCTGCAGATCACACGGCTAGTGCAGGTCCATTTCTTTGACTTATTGTCAACCAGAATATGTGCTACCCGTTTTGTTGTCCGAGGCTTTCCACTGTCTTCCGATTTCTTGACATTCTGCTTGTCATTTCCCACTATTGCATGCAGTGCAGTCCTAAACGTTTTCTCAGGTTATCTTGTTATCAATGTTTCATTCCCATATATTAGAACCGGCTGTTTGCAATGATTGCATACATTTTGCCCAGAGAAAAGCGGCATATTTCTAATCATTCATTACTTGGGAATGCTCGCCATATGTGCTCCAGCACGTCCTTATTCTTTGCAGAATTTCTTTCGAACGTTAATATGTAATTGACATTCTTTGTTTTTTTTCTTTTTTTGGTTACAAAGCAGTGGCCTTTCATTACGTGTCCTATAGAAAATTATCCCTTTATCACACCAGCAAAATAGTTTAACTTTGATAGCTTCTCTTCCAGCTCCTGGTTCGTGTGTTTTTCACATAAAACAACAGCTATGCTACCTACTGTGTGCTGGTAACGAGATCTAATAAACAATCATGTCAAAAAAAGTACAGGGGATGTTTTTAATGAGGTAATTGTAATGCAAATGTGAAGAGAAGTAGATTGAAAAGATAACTTGCCCTAGGCAGGGATCGAACCTGCGACCTTCGAATAACGCGTCCGATGCTCTACCAACTGAGCTACCACGGCGGCTATCCTTCCACCCATTTTATAGGATACATACAGTCGAACCCCGCTACAACGAAACTCACAGGGCGGGAAAAATATTTTGTTGAAGCAAGAATTTCGTTATAGTCAAATCGAAAAAATACAGCTGATCTGAGCTAGTAAAACAAAAGAATGTTTATTCTTAAAATTAAAGAAGTGTTCGCTGCTTCCTATTCTTTCCCAGCAGCGTCACGACACGATTCACAGTCATGCATAGCGAGGCCATTGTGAAAACCATGCTGAAACAACGCCTACAACCGCTTTCGTGAAACAGTTGCATTAACACGTTAACACCAGCAGTCATCCACCGTCAAAGTGTATCCGACAACGCCAAGATAGAGGCAGGGTATCGTGGAGTGGCGACTTTTGCCTTATTCTATGCCATTCTTATCATCCATCACTCGCGGCTAGCCGATTTCGTTGATAATGCCGATGAACAGCCGCTTTGATTAGGTACCACACTGGCCAAGCGCTAATAAAATGATAAGCATTCGAATCGGAAAAGGCATCACTTCGCAGTTGCACGCATGCGTGAACAAAACCATGAACTGAGCTTCAGCTTCGGATCGTCTGCAGCTCGAAAGCAGGCCAGTGGCAAAAGCAGGGCCATTCCTATAGAGCAATGGCAGCGCCCATGCTTGCTAAACAGCGGCACTTTCTGGTGGTGCCAACGCATGTTTTAGACTTCGTCAATGATTTTTCAGCTTCTCAAAATGCATCAAAGTGTTAAAGATTGGGTTTCCTGTACAGCAATAAATATCTGAGTTTGAAAGTGCATCGTGAAATTTCGTTGAAGCGGGACAGCAGAAGAAAAAGTGTTCGTTGTGGCGACAATATTTATGCATTGACGCGTATGGACTGCTGATGGGGAACCGTGAATTTTAGGTTGTGGCAGATATTTCGTTGAGGCGGAGTTCGTTGTAGCGGAGTTCGACTGTATGTGAATCAAACGTGGAAGCGTTAGTCAGCGCCGCCTGAAGCCATGATGGCGAGTGTGGAACTCCGCTTGTTTGCATTTTGTGTCGTACAGCAAGATGATTTGAGGACTTTAAAAAGTTCAGGGGCTGGTCTATACGTATTTCTGGCTTCACAGAAGTAACACCATAGGTTTACTTTGTATATGACATGCAGCAGCGTAGTTGTTGGTGGCAGGGATACAGCTGAGCTTTAACATAATGAACCTCATTTTAACAAAGTTCTCGAAGTACAGCATTTTTTACACGAATCCACCAAGACTGCAGTGATGCTTTCCCGTCACAGAAATCACGTTTAAAAAAATGCACATGATCTCAAATGATGCTCCGTCACCGGGAGTAGAACTCGTGACCTCTCGGTCCGCGACAGCACATGCTATCCACTATTCCATGGTCACACACTCGGGAGGCTGTACAAACACACTTTTTACATCTCACACTTTCCTCTGCAATGCTTTTGGTCAGCAGTGACGTCATCAATGATAACCGTGACCACCGCAATTAGTTCCTGCAACGTGTCTGTCTAACCTAGCACGTTTATAAAAGGCAAGTACAATTTGCCAACACACGGCAAGGTGGCGACTGTAGCCCAAGCGTTGGCCTCGCTCATAGCACCCATCCGAACCAAAATATCTGCGAGGCGTGCCTGCCTTTCCTGGCTGTAGCTCCACATTCCACGCTTACGCTTGCCCCAAGAAAATCGCTGCTGGGCTACAGGGGAGACAAGATGCACGTTGAGTTTCCCTTTAGTTCTTCGGTGGTATTAAACTCAGTGAAACGTTGCGGGATACCAACCTTAACCCAAGCTCTGCGTCCAGTCAGCGACGCTTTCGTGGCTGCACTATGCTTTCTCAGATTATGTTTTCACCGCTTACTACTACAGCTAAGTATTTGTTTAATCATTGATCATGGACATTAGCCGTAGGAATAGAGATGTACCACCAAGCGTTAATGTGGTGAATCCACATTAAAATACCAGCAGACATGGTCCAAGCTCTCTTATATCATTGTACAGTAAGCATTAAACTATTTTGGTAAGGACACATTTTACTTTCATGTTATATCGATTCCAATAAACCATGCCCCCATCCTCCAATTTTGCAATTGATGACTCGTAAAACCTTCTATTTCTTGTACAGTCGACTCCCGATAATTCGAAGTTGCTTTATTGGAATTATCGGTTAATTGGAAGTGGAGTGGGGGTCCCGTCAGTTTTGCATGCAGTTCAACAGGAAGAAATTCTCGGTAATTGGAAGCTACAGGTCTGAAGTTTCGGTTAATTAAAATTTATTTTCAATCGAATTCCCGAAGGAAATCGTAATGTTTGTTAAATTTCCTATTTTCGAAGTGCTAAACAACAATGCGTGTCCGACCGGCACTCAAGGGCATCGCAGTTGACCACAGCGCCGCAGCTCAAAGCGTCAGCTGATGGCATCGCAGTTGCGTGCAGCGCCCCAGAGCACGAAGCAGCTGCTCCGGCGGTTCCGGTTCCGGGCCTCATTGTTGATCTCATTACGGTCGTGTGAAGACTCAGCGTTTGCACGTGCGACGAAGCTCCAGGTGCATTTACCATGGCAACTTGCGGGCCTTATCAGATGCTTGACTTGGTGGCAGAAGACACAAGTGAGCTTGACGTTGATGGTTTCCTGCCAGCTCTCGGCGACGTCCCTTTCGCCATGTACATTGCCACTGACAGTTCGCTAGAAAGTGCGTGCACTGAGATTGTGGAGACGATTCAGCCCAGCGAGCCTAGTCGCGAAACTGAGGTTGGCGACGACGCCGCCGCAAGTGAGCCACTACCGCGGGCTGCTGATGTAGCCGCAGGCCTTGCCCTCGCGCAGCGGTTTTTCACTGCTGAGAGCAACGCCGAGGAAGCACTCGGGCACATATACAGCCTGCAGGACTTGCTTTCTGCTGCAAGATTCAGCAAACAGAAGCAAATGGCAATCACAGATTTTTCCTCATGAAACTGCTTTGAAATAAAGGTATTTTTCGTTCATTGTGGTTAATTGGAATTCCGCTTAATTCAAAGTTTTTTGCGGTTTCCGTGAACTTGGTATTAACGAGAGTCGACTGTATAATTTAATAGGGTCATTTATACTAAACTTACGAAAACAGTTTTGTGCCTCAATGTAAGGGGCAGAATTATCCCCACAATTATGACCAGCTTAAAAAAAGGCAGCTTTTGCTGAAAGCCATGAGGAACAATAAGCAGTGTCAAGTGTGTGTACTGCAGGAGGGCCACCGAAAGGCCTACAGAGAAAACAAAAATCAATGCATCCATGGGCCTGGAGGCTCTTTCGCAGTTGTGGGAGTCAACAAATGGAGACACCTTGGCCAACCTATTCATGGAAGGCAAGACTCAAGGAGTCACATTTATTTGAATGAAGCAAGGTGCTCAAATCTTGATGATGAAAGTGTGATATCCACGAAGGATGTTATTGACTAGTGGCAACTGCTCTGCGATGAGGGTAGTGCTGCCTTCAGTCACACGACACTTGAGGACTCCCGTCTTCGGTGATGACTGCGCTGTTGGAACAGCAATCCAGAGTGTTGCAGACACATGCTTGGAGGACAACTCTTGACCAGGAACTCCAGGTGGCAAGCAGTATTGCTACACCGAACGGAGTCACGGATATGCTAGATCTTCCATACACAAATTCAGGTGCATGTTCGCGTGAGGAGGCATGGGCAGCATTCTCAACGTACGGGCGCCTCATAACCCGGACGCTTATTTACAAGCGACAGATGAAGCCGACATTCTTCACTGTACCTGAATAGGATGAAATTTTTATGCATTAGGGTAAAATAACCCTTCTAGGATAATCATTGCTTTCATGGGCAGCCACATTAGTCTGAGCACGGTATCACTCATGTCTGTGAACGTTGAGCACTCCAGTGATACATAATCTGTTACATCGAGTTAACATGATTTTAAGTTTACTTTGAAGATAAATGCATTCGTGCATATTTGCTATCGGGCATTATGCTTTTAACAGACAAAAGAACAACCAGTGCTCTCGAAGATGCCATTACATCCAAAGTTTAATTGTTATTTTCTTGATTATGTGGCCTGCGAAGTGCCATTTGTCTGGAGTGTTGTCACCTTTATTTGCATAACTGAAACACACGCACATTTTTGACTTGCAAGTTAACGAAATTTCTGGCCACAAGTAAGACTTCGTTATATCAAGCTTAGACTACAGGAACACCCACTACAGATGATCGTGGAAGTTACAGTAGTGCTGCCGTCAAAATAGTCAAATCACCGGAACTACAGTAAACATTAAGTCTATTTGGAGACATCAGCCACTACACGTAATTTCAGTTGCACTTTCAAGGAACCATACGTATGCTGCTCGAGGTATGAACCCACGATGTGGCCCTTAGATTCTGAACTCCACAGTTGTAATGTATTACCTCAAAGGAAAGTGCCTGCTTGGCAGTAGGGGCCGGGCTTACCTTCGTCGCTGCCGGTGTCGCAGCCAAACTCGGTGCTTCTTCCTTCTTGACGACAGGTGTCTGCAGCTTTTTGGAGGGGGGGACTTGCTGCTTTGGAACCGCTGCTGGCAACGTCGGGGCAGTCGGCTCGTCCGACTCGTCGCTGCTGGAGGAGTCCGAGGAGCCCGATTCAGACTCTTCCTCTTCTTCCTCCTCGTCCGAGCTCGAATCTGAGTCTTCGTCGTCGGACTTGGCCTTCTCCTCGGTCCCCTCTTCTTCCTCTTCCTCCTCGTCGTCATCTTCGTCTTCATCGGAGGACTCATCCGAGCTGCTCTCATCCGATGATGCGTCCTCTTCCTAGAAAATGGATGACAAAGAGAATGCACAAAATGATGCAGCAGACTGGGGTTGGTGTGAGCAGTGGGAGTTCTATTCGTAGTCCCAGACTTCCGAGACATGCCCAAGGTATTGTGCCTTTATCCAATGAGCTTAGCAAACATGCCTTGAGCAGTTCTTGGACAGTGAGAAACTACGAATCAAGGACAGCCAGGATTAGTAAATCGATCCATTGTAGAGCTACCTCAGGTTACTCAAGTGTTCTTTGCAGGCTCCTGATATGAACTTTCATGGTTATGTTGATGCGCAGAATGCTGAATGTCTCTGACGAAAGACACTTCTGTTGCACCTGACGGATTCTAAATCTTGTGGCAGTTGATTCGTCAGGCAATCAGCTCTTTTAATGAAGCCATTCGAAGATTACTTGCAAAATTGTTGCAGAGCCTCTTTAATTTCTGCTAATCGAGAGCCTACTGCATTTGTACGCCACACCTACCTTGACTTTGGCGTCATCAGCGGCGGCGGCAGCTTTGCGCCGCTTCTCCTTGCGAGTGGCAGCTGCCTTGATTGCTCCACCTTTGCGCTTGGCCTTCATCCTGGCTCGTCGTGCCTCGTATTCCTGCCGATCCTCCGCACTCAAACCCTGCGCACCGCCCACGAAGAGGAGCAATGCAAGTTATTGTCAATGCACCATTTCCACAGCTGCACATGTGCTTTCAGTCAGAAGCACTGCAGCTGTGGGCATTCTCCACTGTGCATTAAAATTAAACCACAATGGCACCATGACATTCACAACCAATAGGTGTGTGACGACCGGAAGACCGGCATTAAAATGCCATGAAGTTGCTAACAACAGCGTTTCGACCTCTGTATGCAGTATGAATGCATTCACTAACACGATGTCGCCAAATGCAAGGCAAGAAACCCATGGGCATTTACCCTGACCCATTTTAGCTTGACCCATTTTAGCTTTCTCATACTAAGAATGTAGCTTTTTGCGATTGTGGAAAAGCAATTTTCCGAAACACAAGAAATCATTTTTGCTCTTCCGTGCCTCTTTGAACCATTAACAACTTTATTAACCGCAAAGAAAGGCCTGCTCGTGAAGAGAGATGGAGAGAAAAGCGAAGAAAAGGCAGGGAAGTTAACGAGGTTGCAGCTGGTTTGCTGCCTTACATCGGGTAAAAGATAAATGGGAGAGAGAATCAAAGTAATACGATAGCGGCCTACTAGACCAACTGCATATGCCCCTCTGATCTTAAAGGTGCCTTGCCCTGTTCCGCCACTCTCTCTTCAGACTTGCTGCAACTGGGCATTAAACATACCGTATTTACTCGAATCTAGGCCGACCCCAATTCTAAGCCGGCCCCCAAGTCTCAAATTTGGAAAAAAAAAACTTACCTCAAATGTAGGCCGAACGAAACAGCATTCACAAAGAGAAAACATTTGTTAAACATGAACATGAAAAAGCGCAGAAAGTTTTGAAAGTGCTGACACCCCCTGTAAAGTTGTTTGTGCCGCATGGCGCATGTGTCTCGCGCAGAAGTCATATTTCGGGGGTCACAATTATTGATCAGTAGGTGGCGTTGTGTTCAGGAGCGTTGGTCACCACTATCATCATCATCATGGTTAGATCCTTAGTGCTGGCGGTCACCCCTGGCGGCAGGCCTTGGTGGCGGCACGAAAGAATTGAGCCAGCCTCTTCAGCTGGTGGCGTTTGACAAGAACGGCTGTCGCCTGCGGTGTGCCCCCGGTGCACGGCACCATGGGCCGTCTTTTGAGGGCCCTTATGGCGAGCCAAGCGTTCGCCGCCTTGTGTATGTTATGTTGTTGAGTGTATGGTAATTACTGTATTTACACGATTGTAAGACGACCCTTTTTTTCAAATTTGACAATCCAATGTTGGGGGGTCGTCTTAGAATCGAAATCGAACCATGTACCTTAGAATCGAAATCGAACCATGTATTGTCATCTCGAATAGTTTCCCGCTCAACCCAAAGCGCATAGTTTTCCGCGTGCTTATACAAAAGCTTTTCTTTTTTTAGCATCTACTGCGCACATTACGAGTGCCTTTATGGCGAGCGCACAGCTCTTGAGGGAGCACCGGTAATCGATGGAAGAGCCGCCGTAGGGGGGTATTGGTAGTTGACGGAAGAGCTCCTCCTTGTCGGGGCAGCTTGACGGGGTAGCTTCAGCCTCTCGACGTGGGGGTCAACAAGCCTTTTAAAGACCTCCTGCGCCGCGAATACAACGAGTGGATTTCGTCAGGAAGCCGCGAACTTACGCCAAGCGGGTGTGTGAGGAGAGCCTCCCTTGCTACTGTGTGCGGGTGGGTCCTCTCTGCATGGGCGGCCGTCCCACGCGATGCCGTGGTGCGGTCGTTCGCGAAGTGTGGACTCACACTTGACGACGACGTGCTGTGGGACTGCAGCAGCAATGACGGCAGCAGCACCAGTGAGGACGACTCCAGCGACGATGAATAATCCTCCGCAACCACGTGAATAAATTTCCCTTGTGTAAAATGCGCGCATTCTTTTTTTTTTTTTTTTTTGAGATGCGATTTTGGGGGGGTCGTCTTACATTCGAGTCGTCTTACAATCGTGTAAATACGGTATGTGTAAGGTTGTTTAGCAAGTGGATTACAATTGATGCTATAATAATTCGGCCGGCAATATCGTCGTTTCTAAAAGTAGTTAAGTAAATGTAAGTTGTTTGGCTTGGTTTTGCCCAACCACGTCAACTGTGTCCATTTGCTGCAAGAGTGTGGTGCTCTCCATTTCGAGACCCCACAAAGTTCATGATGCAAATAACTCGAGAAACATACAGCCGCTAGTACTGTTGTGTGGCCCCACCGCGGTGGTCTAGTGGCTAGGATAATCGGTTGCTGACCTGCAGGTTGCGGGATCGAATCTCGGCTGCCGGGGTTGCATTTTCAATGGAGGCATAAACGCTGTAAGCCCATGTGCTCAGACTTGGGTGCACGTTAAACAACCCCAGGTGGTCTAAATTTCGGGAGCCCTCCACGACGTCTCTCATAATCATATGGTGGTTTTATGATGTTAGACCCCACATATCAATCAATAAAGTCCCGTTGTAAGTGTTTCTTTTTCATCAGTTTTTTTTTGCGCTGCCTCTAGTTATTTGCACTATAAACACGTCACGCTTGCCAATTCTGCGCTCATTCCAAGTCGTCCTCGATGTTTCCTTCGTCGCTGTTTTTAAACAGTGCGCAATCCTGAGTGCCATCAAGATGATTGGATATGCCGCAATTCTTAAAAGATCGTATAATCAAAGTTCCCGGGTGATCGCCCCACGCTGCAGCCCCCCCAGCGACGCATATTTTTTTGCGTCCACTCCAAAAGCCGACCTAGCTTGAACGTTGGGCAACAAGCCCGCGGCTAGGACAACTTTCCTTTTATAAACGGCACTATGACACCGCCTGTTTGGTGCCATTTAGCTACATCACAAACAAACCACTTGAAGCGCGGCTTGAAATGACAAACGGCTTGCCTCAACACTCGCAACACAGATCAGAATGGCAGCCTCACGTATGTACTTAAGCCAGGTGTTGGCTTGGCTACTAACGGCTATACTAATACCATCCAGGTGGCGCTAGCTGTGTGTCACTTTTCTCAATGAACAATGGCACCCTTTTAAATATCCTCGAATCTAGGCTGACCCTGGAGTTTGATGCAGTTAAAAAAAAGAACTATCAGCCTAGGTTCAAATAAATACGGTAACAAGAGGAATAAATTAGGAAATCAGACAGTAAGGAATATGCACCTCAAGGAACCATGCCAGTTCTTTGTTGTACTGGCACTGCAAGTCCTGGACGGCCCGCTTGTAGCGCTCCTTGTCAGATTCCGGCATAGCATTCCAGCGCTTGGCGATCTCGGCCATGCGGTTCTTGGGGTCTACGTCGACAAGTTGGCTGAGCATTTCCGTTGAAAATACCCCGTAGCCGCTCCTGCACGTGTCCAGCGTCAACAAGTTGACTCAACAATCAAGGGGCATGGCTGAATGTTTATATAGTAATAAATGAGCCAGAAATTTAGCCTGAAGCCACACATATACACTGGCACATTTAGTTACGAAACTTAAAGGGACCGACAACTGCCCACAACATGAATGGATGATTGCACGATGAAAAGATTGTCTCTTATAGCGACTAAAACCAACCCTGTTTTTCTCGTGAGAAGTGAATTTTTTTTTATTTCTTCATTGAAAATTGCAAAAACGACCTGTGGCATTTCTGGTGGCAAAAACAAACTATCATGAATGACCTGTCACGTGACCATGCGTTAATGTACACGGTGAACAATTTATTGATTAGTACTGAAATATTGTTTGATTCTTTATAACAAAAGATAATATTTTAAAAAGTATATGTATAAGCTTGCGTTAGTAGTACGCAATAAGTGGTGCGGCCTTTGTGTGACATATGCACAGTTCCACGGACATCGCGGAAAACTATTAGGTAAAGCGCCCTCCATATGCAGCAAGGCCCCACATATAGTGGGGCTAACTAAAAGTGTGGCACTTTTAGTTAGCCGCTTTTTATAAGCAGGTTTAACAGTAGTAGCAGGATTTGATTTTCGGTAGAGTGCAGGCGATAGCTTGTAAAATATGTCGCGTTTCAAAATTTGCTTGCAAACTGAAAAAAATGAATAGATAAGAGTGTAATATCGTTTTCAACTTAGAAGTGGGGCTTTGCTGCATTGCGTACCATATTTACTCGCGTAATGAATGCACTTTTTTTCTCGAAAGATGCGAGCAAAGTTGGAGGGTGCGTATATTATGCGGGGTACACTTTATGAAAACTTTTTCGGGAGGAGAAAAAATGCGTTAATGTAAAAAAGTTAGGTCGCCTACACTTTCACAATCGACATACACGTACACTTGTGAAAACAGCTTCTTTGTTGGACTTTACTCATCTTCGGTGGTTGCATGATGGCGCATCTTTTGCAAGCTGTCCCCAGGCTGCTCGCGCACTCTATAACCCACCCCACAAAAGTGTTTTGCAACTATCTTTTCTCGCAATCGTTTAACCGCAACAGCGGTATATGCTGCGATCTCTAGGGGTGCCGAAAAGCATGCGCTACTATGCACTTTGCCAACTTATTGGCAACCTCGCATGATGACCGCGATGAGGCTGTTCACATTGCAGCGAGTAACCACCACTGCAGCAAAGTTACTCCCGAAGCATCAAAACAAACCGTAGATTACAAGATTAATGGCAACATAGGGCCGCCTCCTTGCTTCTGCATGTTAAGTTCCTATACGCGTGGATAACAAGCAAAACGAGGGGGTGCTACCATGTTGCGGAAATGGTCACGATGTTTTCTGGACTACAAGCAATTTTTTCTGGTTTTCCAGAAACCTGCGACGCGATAGCGACGAATGACCCTTTGCGACAGTGATTCCTGCCATCATCGATCGAAAATCGTGTGCACGCGGTTGTTCTTTTTCATATTGGTAGGAAGCGACCGTCAATCGGTTCGCGCGAGCAATTTTAAGCACATAGCGAGCGAAGGTCACGCCGCCCGCTCGTTCGCCCCTTGCCGCGTGCTGTATTGTTTTTCTTTCTACCTGTGCTCTGTGCGCGGCAGGTTCCCCATCTTATCTGTGCGCTACAGTGGGGTTCAAAAATGGTGGGAGTGTAGAGACATCGCAGCTGATAAGCACACAGCGAGCGAAGGGATCAAGGGATCGTGTGCTCATCAGCTGCGATGTCTCTGAATGCCCCTGTGGTGCACAGATAAAATAGGGGACATGTCGCACACAGATAGAAAGAAAAACAATACGGCATGCGGCAACGGGCGAGCCGCTGCAGCCGAGCGGGGTTGGCAAATTAATAAAAAACGGAAAAGGGATCCAACGGGTCAGGAGGCGCCAGATGTCTATTAGTGGGACTGCAGCGGATGAATGTAGGGGGTGCATTTATTACACGAGGAAAAAAAAATACAAATTTCGATGACTGAAGTTGGGGGTGCTTTTATTATGCAAGTGCGTTCATCAGGCGAAAAAATACGGTATTTCTCCTGAATATGTTTTTTCACGGTTTAGCACCACTTCACTGCAGTGAAACCATATTTACAAAAGGTTACATGCAAACTACTCTTACTATACACCTGGATAGATGCTTTCATAGCTTAGCATTCCTCCACCGCAGCGAAATCACCTTTAATTAAAAGGTGTTACATGCTAATTAAGACACACACATTCATTTGTTTCGAATATTTCAAAATTTTCAGTCATTTAAATTGCTCCGAATAATTGTGTGTGAAATATCCAAATGATCCGAATATTTGTGTGTGAAGGGGTATGCTAGACATATCGACGAGCCCAACTTTGTCAACTCCACAAATTTGAGGGAAATCAAGTATGATGTGGCTGTCACTCAACTTACTGAGGGGGCTTTTTTGGTTCTCCCTTGAAGAGGCGGTTCCTCCTGTTGAGATTAGGCGCAGCAGAAACCTGATGCACCTTCTCCTCTTTGCTGTCGGCAATAAAGAAAAAAAGATGGCAGGTTGGTGCACATGCCACAGAGCAGCTGCTAAAAAGTCGCGCAATTAGGAAGAACATATTTTGTACAGCAAGTAAAGGCACACTCACACTTTGTGGCCATTCGTTTCTTCAATAGCCTTCTCCTTTGCTTCTGTGGCCATCTTCTTGTATTTGTCCTATGAAAGCGGTTGAGAAGCATTTATGTACGTTCAAAATGCGCCAGCAGCCAGGCATCAACTACGGGGAGGGCACAGGTTCACTTGCTTCGGCCCCTACCCCCCTCTCTCCACTGAAAATGCTAAATGAGATGGATTTAGACGGGCAGCATACACGTGGAACAAGCTTTCCATACGCATTCTTCAAAATTCGACCACATCGACGACTTAATGCAGTACGTGTCTCGCTCGGGAAAGAGCTACTCAGCTCCTGCAATTTCTCTCCCTCCCTGCTAAGAAGTCAAAAAAGGCCCTGCCCAGGTTACCCAAAGGCGGCAGCTGATCACTTGCACGACTAAACAAATAGTCTTGCTCATGCACTCAGCATTGTTCCCCAAAAGCAGAGTCACCGGCCATCTGGCTCATCATGTCAGTCAGGAGTGCGCACCAAGTGGTGCAAGCTTGTGTACATCCACCTTTGAAAAAAAATTGCCGCAGACTTAAACATTTTTATCGTGTCTGACTATAGTTGAGAAACCTCACACACAAATAAACCCAAATCAAGTTATGATGCTAGATGCCACAAAGCAAAACGCTAGCTACAAAAACTATGTCAATAGAGGCCTCTGTATCAACTTTAACTGTGCAGAGTTCTTTTAACGCACCTCCAAACTTAAGTACACAGAAATTAGGGCATGCCAAACCTGTCACGGTACTGTCAAGGAAGGCAGGAAGTGAACCTGCTACCTTATGCACAAATGTGCCACCCATAGGTGTTTGCATGCGTGAACCAGCTCACCTTCTTGCGCTCAGGCAGCTCGGAGAACTCTCGCGCGAAGCGCGCGCATCACCTCCTGGTGGGACATCTGTGGACAGCGCTCCTTCATGGCGGCCAGCTTCTCCTGTTGAAAGAAGAACATGGCCGACAGGGGCTTCTTGGGCTTGGGCCGCTCCCCTGCTGGTGGTTGGTTCTCGTCGCCGGGTGCAAGACGGTTGCCCTTGCCGGACACAGTCACGCAGCCGCCCTTGGAGTTTGCTTTGGCAGCTGCGCCCCCACCGGCAGACGCGGCCGACTTGTGCGTCCCCGACTCAGCCTCGACCTTCTGTCGCTCCTCCTCGGGAAGGTTGCTAAGGTAGGCAGCGTACTTCTCCTTGTACTTGGCATTAGCCTGTGCCACCGAGCACCGATGGGAGAATAAAGAAGCAAGGCCAGTTAGAGAGGGAGAAAAGAAAGTCTGGGACATTAACCAGATGCGAACCCTTTCTTGGGGCTATGAAGTGCAGCATAGAAGAGACCAGTACTGGTGACTAGAAAGTGGGTGGCATAAGGCCCAGTATGCATACGCTGCATTTTCACACAACAAAGGAAATCGGAGACAGCTACAGACACAGGTGAATCTGCTTGCTCTTTAGAACGAATAGCAGCTTACATCTCGCAAAAATACAGCGGACATCTGACCTTGGTGGCCTGCTTGTTGTACGAGTCTCGCTCTGTCTGGCTGAGGTTCTTCCACAACTGCGAGATCTCCGCCATCTTCTCCTTGGCCGGTACATTCTTCAGCTGCCGCAGCATGATGCGAGAGAACAGGCTGTAGCCGGAGCTGCAAGCGAGACAAGTTTAGATGTAGTTGTTGAACAGTAGCGTGCAAGTTGTTCAACAGCTCATCAAGCAAAGAAACAAATTTAGAAACCTTTATTTCTTTGTGTCAAAAAACAACATAGCATTGCCTACAACTACTGTATAAGAGCCACCAGTATGCCATCAGTAAAATACGGGGATAAGGAAAATGCCTATGAGGTACCCAGCTTATAAGAGACATCTCGTATAAAAGACAAGAATTTCTGCCCGGGGCATGCCTCTTAAAGGGGTTTAACTGTAACACATACAACATTGCACAGTTGATGTGGAGGCATGTCACAACAAAGGTTCACTAAAGCTGAACCAACAACCACACTCCAATCAACCATCTTTGCATGAATAGCATGTAACAACAAAGGTTCACTGAAGGTGAACCAACAACCACACTCAAATCAACCACCTTTGCATGAATAGCTGTACCACTCGTGCAAAAAGCAAACGTTGTTCAAGCACCCAACCTGCAAGACTTACTTGGGAGGACGCTCAGGCTTTCCGTCGCACTTGTCCTTGAACTCCTGCTCGGCCTTGCTCAATATCGGCTTCACTACGGCTGCTTTGAAGCCAGGATATGCCTGGCTGTACTCGGCGACCTCCAGCTACCAATACAAGTGAGAACCAGAATGTGTCACTTATCTTTCTTGAAACTGTTTCACTCTACATGCGGCAGTATCGTGTCATATCATGTCTTTTGCACAATACACTAAAAAACATTACTGCATTATATTATCAGTAAATGCATTTACATTAGTACAGTAATGCTCATAGTATTTTATGTTACTAAGTACCACCTGTGCTCGTGGAATGCGCTTCAGGTTTGTACATTCAAGATGCAAATAAACCAAACAGATGCGCCACAGCTCATGGAGGACATTTTCAAGGTTCTCCGACACACACAATATGTTCTTGGTAAGCAAACTTATACACAAACCAGCCTAAAGTCCAATGCCAAATGCTTTTTACCAAGCCCATACTTCTATGTGCGAACTGAAACAGCAGTCTGAACACTCACCTCGTATCGGTGCTGGTCTTGGAGAGCCCGGCGAATCCACTTGATGCGTTTGCCGTCAGACAGCTCTGCCCACTGCTTGCGGATCTCCTCATGTGCCTCTTTCTTGTCCAGCTGAGGAACAAGGAAGATAAAAAAATATAAATATAGTTTGCCTTCCCAGAAATTTCTTAGTTGGAGCATTAAATGAAGCTATAACACATTGCCCCGGGTGCTTGAGAAGTCATGCATGTGCATAAAGCTCACTACATGGGCTTCTATATTAACGAGAGCATAAAAAGATAGAATGATAAAATATGTAATAAGTAAATAAAAAGCTAGACGTGCAAGAGCAAAATGCTTACAAGACAAAAAAGATGATTTTGCAGGGCTTGTACAAGACAAAATCGAAACCAGGTGAGCCATGCTGTAATGGGGACTCTGGATTAGTAATTTTGACCAACTAGGGTTTGACCATAATTAGGTGCTCAATGTGCGCCAACGTTCACAAGAGCATTTTACCCGCCGCAGTGCTGTAATGGTTGTAGAGCTTGAATGCCGACTTGAATGTTGCAAGACTGCATCCCAGCTGCAGCATTTCTGTTTCAATGAAGCAAGAATGATAGGGGCACATTTGCTTAAATTTAGGTGCCCTTCATTACAGCGTCTCTCATAATGTATCGCAGCCTCGGGATGTAAAATGCCGGCTATTATTATTACAACGGCATTCTTGTACTTTTGCCTTGTCCAAATGCTGCTATTGTTGCCAGGAACAGACCTGCATCCTTGTGCTTAGAAGAACAATGTCATAGCTGTTAGGCTACCACAGCAGCTGCTGACAACGCACGTCTTCCCATTTCTATTGAAAAAAAGAGTGACATTTATTGGGGCAGTAAAGCTGAGAGGATGGCCCGAATCAGTTTCTTGACCAGCTACTAAGCATTAGAAATGAGGAGAGGGTGGAAAAGAAAGGAGAGAAAAGATGATGAGGATGAACGTAGAGTGTTAGAACCAAACCCAACTACCACTGTCATGTAGAACATGTGCTTTACGGGGCTTCAACGTCACTCAATTTCAACAGTCGCTACATGCCGTGGAAGTGCCTCGACCCCTGCCGTCTTCCTACTGCTCACCTTGGCAAACTCTGGCTTCTTGAGGCGGTCGAGAGTGAACAGCTGGATGGGCGTCTGCGGCTTCTCGGGCGCACAAGGTGGTACAGCGGGAGCACCAGGTGGGGGCTGCTTACCGGCTGGCTCCGGAAATACATCCGGATTCTCTTTCCTAGCCAACACCGAAATTGCAATTCGGGAGTTTAAAGAATGCTTTTCCTGGCATAGTATATAGAAGATAGCACCATATCTTTTTTCGTGTAGCCCGCACCAAATATGCAGAAAATTCAGAGCTACAGTTTGGGTGCGAGTTATACAGGAACTTGGTGCACAATTTGGCTTCGAGGAAACCAAAGGTAGCTGTGAAAGCAACTGCGGATTTTGACGGTAGGTGAGAATGTGGGACAAGGCAGTGGTGATTGAAGCAAGATAAAATAAAGCTTTTGCATTTCGCAAGCCTAGATAGTGGGGTCGTGTTTATTAAGGTCTGAGACTAGTTATTTGCATGATTGAAATCAGCAGGTAATATGCAGGGATAATTTTTTCATGGGTTTAAGTTGGGAGGGCAGGTGGCGTGAGGTGCAAGTTATATGTACGAAGCAGGTTATATATTGAAAATACAGAAAGCTTTTTGTTCATTTTACCATCAGCATCTCTCTCCATATATCAGGCTACTGTTTGACTAGTTTGTAAGCAACATCAGAGCTCACTGGTAGCACTAGATGGAGGAACTTTGATTACAAAGCTTTGGCACTCTTTCGAAACTTGCGTTCAGAAAAAGCTTGCAAGGAAGAACAAGTTACAGTGAAGCTACTGCTCGAAGTTTGATGTCTACTGCATGCAAGAGCTCACAAAAATTGTGACCAAAGAAAAATGCACAGGCAAATGATAAAGCGCTCACTTGAATTTCTTCAGCTCCACCTTGTAAATGTCGTTGTCTCGTTCGAAGCTCTCTTTGTATTTTTGCTGCAAAGGGAAACCACCCCACATTAGGCTGCGCTTGCTCGCAGTGGCATCACAAATGAGTGTGCCGCTAAACAGCCGAGCAAGATAAAGCGAGGGCTCCTGTGGGCACACTCAACACATTCCCTGGGGAAGTAAATGTGGCATTTCAATAGTCAATAAAAATTAATGTAAAGTACAATGAGCAATGTGGTGAATATAGATACACTTAAAAGATATGGCAATGCAGCATAAATTGAGCTTTCAGGCAAGAAGCTTAACACAACAGAAGGTGCCGGCAGCGTATGCAGATGCAGGTCAGCTAACAACTTTAGCTTACTCATCTCACTGTTTTAACTGTTACAGCGATGAAAACTTCATATGTACTGTATGCGGAAAGTTTAAACACAAGTCCTCCTACTTAACCCCAAACAACTTCAACAGAAATCCCTTTCGCAATACGAAGAACTGCACGGGCATTTGAATGTCCCGGAAACCACAATTAGTTTGCAAGCTAGCTGGTACATCGTTCTCGAATACCAAGCTTGTGCAGAGCAAACTGACAATACAAACACTACACACCTGGCAACCAAACAATGTACATAGCTGACACAGCCACTCACCTTCTTCTTCTCGGGAAGCTCCTGGAACTTATTGGAGATGAGCTTGGCCAACTCCGTCATGGACAGCTCCGGGTTTTCGCGGGAGTACTTCTCGCGTTTTTCCAGGAAGAATCGGAAATAAGGTGTCAGCGGTTTCTTGGGCAGGCCAGGGTGCCTCTGACGGCGCGCCGTACCATTGCCCGGCAGCCAGGGGCGCTTCAGCCACTCCCTCGCATCACCCACCAGGTCTGTTAGCGTGCGGTAACGCCGAAGCTGAAACCACACACATTCAAAATTTAGTTAGGTTACGTATATGTATTTCAGGCGCATAGTAAGGAATGGCAGTTGGTGATGAAATTAGGTAATTTGGAGAAACCAAGGTGAACTCAGCCAGGCTAGAGAAGTTGATCACACATCTCATACTATCGTATAATCCAGTTCCACCAACATAACCAATGTTGCGTTATTAGATTTAGTGTAGCAAAGAAGCAAGCCTCTTGAACAACTTTCCTTCTTCCGTTCTTTCATAGCAAAGGTCTTATACTCACAGACTTAATGCCTCTATGTAAAATGTGAGTGTCAGCTGCGACTTCATGCCGCCATCACAAGATATGTGGCATTGCCTGGCAAAAATAATGCTACACATTGGCCACCTAGGCTACAAGAAACAATGGCTAGCTCTCCCAGAGACTACGAGCACGGAAATAACCAAACGAAATTTACAGGGCAATGCATGCTCTTGTTGCTTTATTGGTAGAGCATCGGACTCGTATGTGAAGGTTGCGAGTTCAGGCCCCGCCAATGGCAAGGTATTTTTTCGTCCAGTTTATTTCATTTTCATTTGTGCCACTACACGACAGTTAAACGACGTTCCATATGCTTTCCTCGAATTGTCAGTTAATTCATTTGGTTGTGCCTAACAAAGAAACAAGCCCTTCAAACAACTTCCCTTCTTGGACTCAGTCACAGTTTTTTGATCCCATCCCCTACATAAATGTGTCACTGAACACTGACCGTAATTTAAAATAAGCTGGAAGATTTTGCCTAACTCCATTAGCATCACTGGTATCAAAAGTTTCAAGACTGCCATTCATGAGGCCTTTCATTAATCTTTCTAAGAAAGCCATTAGTGCAATATTTTCACTATTCAATGTCTGTAACTCCCTTCCTTATTCTTGCAACTGCCTAGGAACTAGGTGGCATGCCTGCCAAGATAAACATATAGATGCTGAGGTTCTGCCCGAAACTGCAATAGACAGGACGTGCTTCGCCCCTCAACTGCTTTGGACGAACAAAGCTCGTCCTGCCCAAACCGTCACCAAACTACTTTGAACGAGGAAAACTCATCCCAACGGAATAGGTACTCCCCTCTAGCATTCAGGCAGAGAAGCATGCATTTACGGCTTACATTGTGTGTCATGCACTAGATGGCAGTATTTGCTCGAGGATTTAGTTTTCTCCTGTGGCATGAGTGCGGTTTTTGTATGGAAAGACGGCGTGTGGTAACAGCAATTATTCCATAACTGACCCCCAAACACGAAGAAAAAAAAAGGCTATTCGTTTTCGTCATCTTCTTTGAGTGATAATTATTTGAGTACAGATATTTATCATTGCCCGTAAGTGGAGACAGCAATGACGGTGAATTGAGTAGCTGCTCTGGTGATGATGAAGACAGCTCGTACACGAACCTTGCGAGTGCTCGCCAATGAAACCACATTGCATTATTCCGAGTTTTGAAAGTTTCTACGCAGCCCCGAAGCTTCCCAAGTAAAATATCCCAAGAGTGCACAGCCTCCACAAGTGAAGAAAGATGTGGCGCCTGCAACTGTTTGGTTTATAAGGTTTTTAAATTTTATTAGCAGCGGGTAGCTGGTTTCCTATGTATATTCAGAAATAAACTTTATTCCACTGATTCTTAGCATGAGAGGAAAATGTTTTTTCAACATCGACTAGCTGCTTTTTAGTACAATCAGATTCAAAATCAACAATAAAAAAATAGGCACCTTTTGGCCGAACCTTTCAACAAAAAAAAAAAAAGAAAAAGGGCAGTTAAGTGTCTACTGGGGTAACTGCACAAACAGCCCCCTTTCCTCAATCCCCCCTAAGACATAATGAAGGATAACCTCACCTTCTGCATCAACTGCGCCCACTTCTCCTTGCACTGTGCAGCTGTGTAGGAGCCAAAGCGCACCTTCTCCCAATCGACCTTCTCAACCATGGTGGTATACTTGACCAGGTCATTGGCGGGCAGACACTGGGCCAGGTTACTAACCAGCTGCCCCAACTCGTCCACACTCCAGGTCAGGGATGCCACTGTAAGAAGGCGGGCAGGAACAGTTAATTCCACTGCCATTTCCAGGTTCTAAGCCTAACAGCCCGGGCCAGCCATTATGCGGTATAGCTGAAGCAACAGGTACTGTAGATTGGGCAATGTCAGTGCATTATAATGTCAGTATTGCTATGCCCAGCTACACTCCTTAAAAACCACTTGGAATTTGTCCAACACACTCAGTTTATTTACCTATTCATTTACCAGTGCCTTACAGGCCCCAAAAGGCATTTTACGAGTGAATGTACAGTAATCACTGACTGAAACAAGACAATTTAGGGCTGAGTAACATGCATACTTTCATTTCCACATTCATCAGTGTAATATCAGCATAATTTCTACCCTGACACATCGATCAGAGCCAACTTTACTTTCGGAACCATTTTCTTTGTGGCAACATACTGGGGTCATCTCACATCAAATGTTTTTTGGGGTTCTTGGCAACTTGGGAAAAAGCTTGCCCTAAAATAGGTGGGTTCCTGAGTGAATCGACTGACGAAGGACTCCGCGTCACTCTAACCAGCACCCTTTCCATACTGCACTATGCCACAAAAGCCTTGGGCTATAAATAGTTGATGACGTCCCGCCTCTGCCAGGACGAGTCTGAAAATCTTTTTGGTTTCTGAGGCAAATGTCTGGCTCTAATGATCACCCTAAGTTGACACAGTTTTTGATCTCTGTGAATTGCCTCAGTTTTTACATTTTGGCAAAGTCACCCTCCAGTGGAAACATACCTTCTGGATTTCTGAACAGCCTTCTATGTTCGGGCGTCCACAATAATTCAATAAAACTGCAGAGTAAGCTGGATGAGCAGCTAGATGTGGGGCACCTCAATAAGGTTCATGAATGCAAATAAGGTACCTAACTGGATGCAAAGTGTACTGCACTGCCAAACATACCAGCACGAAGAGCATAGTATGGAAAAGCACTCATCACTGAAATCTCATATGTGGGATTATCCTTCCACCCCCCCCCCCCCCCCCAGAGTAATGCTCCTGCTTGGAGCCTGTGGGGTATTTGTAAATCAATAAAAAATAACCAAACTAAAGGGGCCCTGCATCTTCCAGGTAGCCATGGAATGAATTCAGTTAAAAGTGAGCCGATTGCCTCACGAATTGACTGCTGCAGAATTTTTTTAGAATCCGTCCAGTAGAAGCAGGGTTGCGAAAATTCGGCACATGTTGCGATTGCTTTCTCTCTTCTCTCGCTCTGGCGAAAGTTTTGGAAGCTAAGCAGGGAGAGATGGCACGGAAGAAGAAGATTCGTCACATGACCTTGAGAACTTTTTTCTCTTTTTTTCTTTGGACGTGCGGCGAAATTTCCAGCCTGAATCATTCGTCACATTTTAACTTGCACGGGTACCACAGCAAGGTGGCAGAACTGTAGATTAGGAAATTGAATGTTGCGTGCTTCAGTTTCTAGTAAAATATATAACCACAATGACAGTTTCGGAATGGGCTAGTTCGCTCACATGCAATACCGACTTCCGGTAGTGACAATATAATGGGAATGGTGTAAAGTCAAGCACAGTTGACACAGAACTTAAACTATCACTGCACCATTAATATAAAGCATCCCTTATAATGTGGAGTAATTTATTTTTGAAGCTATTATATCTAAGACCTTGCCACTTTTGCAGGTAGGCTGCGTGGCTTGGACAATATTAGCAGCAATAAAAATGAAATTTTTAAAATTAGAACGCTATATTTCAGATTTTTTTTGTACACGTGATTTCAGCATTGACCAGTGAAGCTATGAACAGCAGTACAACTTTGAAAATATCTGCTGCCCCCGAAAATTCCTGTGTTCCAGTTAGCATTATTCTGAACTATTAGCAGCACACCCGTGGAAAACTGTTAGCTGGAACACTTGTATGTTTTGTATTCCCACCTGGACTTACGTGTCTGGAGTTTTAAGTAGTACTGATGTTATTGAGCAAACGCAACTTCATTTTTCATCAGTTTCACTTTTGCAATTAATTACTATATTTGTCATAAAATTTGCAAATAAAGCTTGATTAGCCCATTTATGTCTATTGGAAAAAATACCTGACATTTATTTGGTTATCTTTGCACTGTGCTAGCTGCACAGGCAATTGCAACAGCTAACACAGGATTCGTACAGGTTTTCAAAGAGAAAGATAAGGATATTCAAGGACTTTCCAGGACCTGTTGCAGGTTTTTCTAGGTCTGAAAGCAGGCATGCAAACTTGAAATTTTGTTGCCTAAAATTTCTAAGTATGGCTAGCTTTATTATACTTATGTAAATGGACATCATTATTAAATGGGCATCACAATTATGAAAAAAAAACATCTAGGTAGTCTTCATATGTTCTCAAAAACACAACAATATGCAGTGAGTGCTTACAAGAGTGGTTGAGTTTATAAGAATGATTGAGATAGCATTTATTGCTATGCCACACTGACAAGACAAACTAAATTTTTTTCCCAACACAATCATGTGCGCTCATCATAGGCGTACAGCCGGAAGGGGGGGTAAGGGTGGCTTAGCCCCCCCCCCCCACTTTTTACAGTGGTCACTGTCGGCTACACGCTGGGGAAACCAACAACTAAGGCGAAGTTTTCCTTCACCACAGTAATCGCTCAATTATATTGCTACGAGGAAATGAAAATGTTACAAGGGATGGTTTTAATATAGTAAAACTTTTTCTATATTTCTGCTGTGACGATTATCTTTGAATGCTCCTTGCAGTGTGGGCCGGCCTTGCGACTCTTTTGCGCCTTGTACTATAGCATTGTAAAGCGGCACAAGGTGCGAAAGCATCTTGTACTTGCTTTGTTATGGATGGCAACGAGCAATCGTTTTATGAATCCAGTCAGAGAATTTGCTGTTTAAAGAAAATTGTTTCCTTAAAAAAAATTAATAGCGTCATCCTTGCTTTATCGAAGCTGCTGTGAGCCGATGATTGTGACGAATCTTTTTAAATACTTTAGTTCTGCCGTACTAGAAGCGCCTCAAAAAGGTTTTCGCTTTAGTCTCTAATAAATCTGATCAGCCTTGCTTAGGTAACCAAGAGCAATGGCAGCAGCTTACAAAGTGGCGTAGAATAAAGCAGTAGACTGGAGTACAGTGGGATGCTCAGCTTCTAAGCGTACCCGACAGCCTGACCCACCGGACCAGGGAGAAGGGGAAAGACCATGGCTTTTTGTACGATGGAGGCCTAATTAGGAGTCGGGATAGTCAGTTTTCACTTCAACTCCTAATTGTCTTTTACAGCTCAAAATGCAACTGTGAGAGAAAAGAAGCACACACGCGCAGCTGATGCTTAGCTTCTCTCTCTCTCTCTCAGCAAGGATGAGCTCACAGAGATGTACACGCGCACATACACTATAAAAATGTTTCTGGAGTAACTGCGCAGCTACCTCCAAAAGACGAAATGTGCTTCAAAAGATTGTACACAGTACTGCTTTCCTCCTTGTGGAGAAAGGCGCCCATTTTTTGGGCTAACTGCAGGAATGTTCGCGCTGTTGCGCCTTTGGGTAGCGTGGTGCGGACTCGGGCCATCCGAGTCCCCGGAGAGGACGAGTAGAGAAGCCGGAGAAGGAGAAAAAAATGTTTATATACAGTATTTACATGGTAGCGTGGTACAACATGAAAAGAGAATCACACACGAGCGCCTCTGCGCTAGCGTTTTTATACATCGTCCGCCTTCCCAAGATCCCTTGCAAAGAAAATTTATGCGCAGGATACTCCAATGAGATCGTCGTCTTCCTCTCCGTCCCCGAAGAGGGAAAGCCAAACACCGCCTCCCTCTGAACCTAGGAAAGGGGCAAGACATGCCCAGTTCGCTGTTTGGTGAGGGAGACCCCACGCGCTCCGTGTGCAAAGGACTCATCGATGCCTACACAGGCCTGTTTCATATCAGATGGTTCTGTAGCATGGCGTGGTGTAGTGGTTAGTGTACGGGCATGCTGACTGAGTGGTCGTGAGTTGATTGATTGATATGTGGGGTTTAACGTCCCAAAACCACCACATTATTACGAGAGACCCCGTGGTGAAAGGTTCTGGAAATTTCAACCACTTGGGGTTCCTTTTCTTTAACGTGCACACAAATCTGAGCACATGGGCCTACAGCTTTTTCATCTCTATTGAAAAGATATATATATATATATATATATATATATATATATATATATATATATATATATATATATATATATATATATATATATATATATATATATATATATACATACACACACACATACACCACCTTACGAGTGGGGTAGGTTGTTTGCCCCCACTCGCGAAAGAGTTGGTACGCCACTGGCGCTCATGGTGGTAGATTACTGTTTATGAACTGGGGAGTTTGTTAGATTGACAGCAATCTACCACATTAAGGAGGTTGAAATGCCAATCTGGGAGTGCACTGCTCAGGAAATTCAAGGATTTTCAAGGATGAGGAAAAATTCCAGGACTTTCAAGGGCCTTGAAAACCAGTTTTTCTAATTCAAAGGTTTTCAAGGATTTCAAGGACCAGTACGCACCCTGTAACACTTAGACCTAAAAGCAGTGCCAAGTTTTGCAACGGGAAGTGATCGCAGTAGTTGTGCGCTCCGGTTTGCTTGAGAGGCCACGTCTCGCAACGTAACAATCAAACAGCCCCAGCTAGGCTACACAATTAGCACTAAAACTATAATACCACTCAATTTACCAGATTAAAAAAATTGTGTTAAGCACCATATGCTGAAAAAAGCTAGAACGCAGTGCAGAATGCATTGAAGAGCATTTTTTAGAGGCCACTGTGCAGCAAGACTTGCGGCACGTCTATAAGAGGTGTGGGATGATTGGAAACAACCAGCAATGTGACAGCATACTGCAATATGAATGAAAGGAAACATTTTTTATCGTAGTCTGCTCAAGTCTTGAAATTTATAGATTAATAGCTCCAGTTACGGTGCACCAATTATAATAATTTTTGACATACTCAGCTCATTTGGGTATTTAGTACTACACACGCTCCAGCACTACAGAAAGCAATCAGGAAAAAAAAAAAAAAACCTCAAATAATATAAGGCTTCTTTGGGCTATGCCAGCTACAACAGACTAATAGAAAGAACAATAAAGAGAGCTGGATTAATTTTTCAGGCAATGATACAAGCTTAACAATGCAAGCTTTCTTCTGAGAAACAGGCCAGTCGATCCTGCCACTGCTTGGCAAGTTAGGCCAACAGGCAATGCTTCTCGGCAAAATCAAGCGCAAAGAAAGCTCGGCATACTAAATGCAGCGTGATTTTGAAACTAACTGCAGTAAATACATTAACAATTGTGGAAGTACCCAAGTTTAATTGACAGCAAAGCCTCTTATCTTAGGGCTCCAAACTGTGCCATTATGAAAGTTTCAGCTAGGACACTGCCAAAAGCTTTTTAGGCCTACTATCAGCTCCTGTAAGTGCCAATATCAAACAGAAAACTGATGCCAACTTTGTCAAATTACTAATTTTCTGTACCTCAGCAAGATTTGCAGACAAACGTACCATAACGGGACTTCAGATTAAGCATATTTATCTAATACTAACCAAACTTCAGTGAACTATTTACAGCGGAGCCTTACTTTATATACTGTCATTGAAAAATGCAGCTTGGAAATCAGCAGAAAGTGGTCATCAGCAGGCCTTTTTACCGTCGCTTTAGCATGTATTCGGGTATGTAGGAAATGGTAAAGGCCTTTTACGACTACTGGGGATAATTTAACTCAACTAGCTCCAAACTTCGATGTGAAAAGTAATGCAAATAGGCTGGATATGGTTATATTGGTGTGAATGTCAAGACTCGGCACACTACCATTATTAGTGGCAGTGACACCGGCATCCAAAGCTAGCCAAAGCAATTGACCTGAGGGTTAGTTGCTCACTTAACAAGGTAAAACAACTGTGTGCAAGAAACTTCTCATCCTAGCGTAAGCACGCTTGCATAACAATTACCTGGCTACCCTCTAGCGAAATTAGCGACAACGCTAGATTGCAACAGTAAATTGCACACACAGTGGCTGCTGTACCGGGCAACTCTTCACCGTTTACCATGAGAGAGTTGTACATTCAATAACAGGCGAATTGCCGTTCCAGATTTGAACCACGCAAATTATCGTGAAATCCTGCTTGCAAATGTACGCTATGCAAGTCAGAGCAGCCTGATGTTGGTGGTTTATGGGGGACTGATAAACCACAGTGCTGACTGCACACCCCCACAGAACAAGTGACTGGCACGTAAATAAGCGGAAAACCCAAGACGCTGTGAACGATTATCGTAGTCTGGCAAAGTACCGCCAATCGCGACATAGGATCTGCGCCTCCCGATCTCGCAAAAAAGGTTTTCCATCCATCCATATATATATTGTTCGTCTAAATTTCCTCTACTACCCATATTTGTCAAATTCTGCACTTACATTTACTAAATACCTAGCCGGGCACGCCAAATACTGCTAGGACGCTGTACTGATCTTAAATATGCCGCCGTCAACGAGGCGTAACAAATAAACAAGCAGCAGAGAACGTCAGAGAGAGAGAGAGACAAAAGTGGCGCGCATAGAGCTTCCGCATGTCGACACGAAAGCCCCCGCGAAACGGCAGTTGCGGCGCCACCAGGTACTACGCAACGGTCCCTCGTACGGCAGGTGGTCTCGAGCACCGGCGTCAGCAGCATTGATGAACAGGTCGTCGTGCTCAACACGCCAAAGGGCGCCGCAGACAGCCGATTCGGCTTGGAGACAATGGTAGGCGCGGTTTGCAACACGAACATCACGGCTTCAGAGTACTGCGTTCGTGCGACACGACTCGATTCATTCTAATCCGGCAACGTCAGTGACCACGCGTATGCAGACAGCTCAGACAAGGGGGTAGTTACGATATGCCACGTTGTCTGATAAGACGAACCCGGAACGCAAAAGCGCCGTTGCCTGTAGCAGACGACAAAACGGGGGCAAAAAGTATAGCGGCGTTTGAAGGTGGCAGCACTGCTGCAATTTCTAGTCTAACCTGTCGTCTGCTTCCCGGAGCGCGTGTTGCGCAAATAAAACGTAAACAAACACACGTGCCTTGCACGACCAGACAAATACGGAGACTCGCAGTTTAGAAAAACGCGCCAAACAGATCCAATTACTTTGCGTGACATTATCACGCAAAGCGAACAAAGTTATCGAACGCCGCGGCAAATGTCTGCCATACCGAAGGCACTACTGAAAATCGGAGCGGCCCCGCCGTGCGTCGAAGTGGCGCGACACGATCCCGACACCGTACACTCATCGCCAAGCGGCGCTCAAAGAGAGCCCACGCGAGAGCGGCCAACGAACGGGGAAAAAAGCTGGCGGCACGCAGCCACCCTCCCCGCGCTCAGCCGAGCCGAAAGCGGCGGTAGCGGTCGAAGGGACACGGCGGCGGCGAACGCCCGGCCTGTCCCCGCCAGCCCTCGAGCACGGCGCGCTCCCCGCGGGGCGAGCATTAATAACGACTCCCCCCCTCCGGAAAGCCTGTCATCGTCGAAGCGCAGCAGCCGGCGAGCGGCGCCCAGCGAGCGAGCGAAGCAGACGGCGATCAGGGGAGAGCAAGCACGGCGGAGTCGCACGAGTACGGACGCACGCACGCCGGATACGGCCGGCGAGTAGGGGAGCAGGAAACCGGTTGCTTCCCCGTGTGCCTGGAAGGCTGCCCAACACCACCTAGAAAACTTCTAGGTGGTGTTGGGCTGCCACGGCTGCGCCGGCTGCTGCGCGCCACCACCCCGAGATCGTTCGCTCGCCCTCGCTCGCAACCCCGGCAACGAGGTAGCATGCACGCGCCGAGCGGCGCCGCCGGGGAAGGCCAATCGGGCATCGGCGTACACGCGGCGGGCCCCCGCCCGTCGCCACCGCCGGTCTCCTTGCCCCCCGCCTGCGGCTCGCACGGCTCACCGCCTGCCTCGCCCGCCACATCGCCGCTTTGTCCGCCCGCCCCGACGAGGATCTCGGCGGCGGACATTGTGGCGTCGCTCGCCGTGCAGGCTCCGCCATGCAAGCATCGAAAAACGGCTCGCGTCAGAGGAAATCGTACGCGGGCGCGCGCGAAAAACCGCGCTATTACGTGACGCGCCAACTACACAAGCTGTTTTTTAAAAGGAATAATTAACTCGTATTACGGCTCGTCCAAATTTCAGTCCAAGAGGCAGCGGCATTTGTCGCGGAATTACTTGCATGCTTTTAAAGCTCGGAGTGTCAGCTCGCAACAAAACGCGACCAGCTACCGTACTCTTGCCCTTAGGAACGTAACACCGGGTAGCCGGTCCCACAGCCGCGTTTGCGCCTGTTTCAGCTATCCGCGTCTTCTTTACGCACTCCGTAAAGGCGGAAAGTCTCAGCCACTACATCGCATAAAGGTCGTTAACCAGAATTTTTCCTGCAGATCTAATGCCAACAGGCGAAAATCGGACGCGCCGGCGAACGCGGCCTCCACCAACCCGGCGCTCGGCACGGTACGTCTCCATGTCCGATCGGCGCCGTGGAGACAAAAGCCTCGCGAGCACGCGTCTGCGTGTAGGCGAGAGCGCTTACCATCGCTGTGTTCTGGGGCCCCGCCATCTCCGTTCTTGGTTCGCTTCGGTGCCGTGGCTTCGTCGCTGTCCGAGTCTTCGGGGGCTGTCGTGGCTGCAGGACGCTTCGGGCCGCTCTTGCGCCGGGGAGGGTTGATCGTCGTTGCCGTCGCCTGCGCCGCCGCCATCGCCATTTTCTCGGCGAACGCAAATCGGGGTCACGGTGCAGCGCTCGAGCACGCCGGAGGGACCGGACTGCGCGTCCGCGCTGGCCGGCACGGGCCCGTGGCGCCCACAAAAACACCGCGGGAAAAAATACACGTGAATCGACAACCCAGCGGCAGCACGATTTCACCCGCTCAAAGCCCTCCTGCTGGCAAGCGGCGTCTGCTTGGGAAAACAAAACTTCCTCTTGACAAGCCGCCGCTTCCCGACTGGTGGACGTCGAATGAAGTGCGCATGCGCTCTTGAGGGCAAGCTGAACACGTTTTCGGTCTGGCAACCTCAAAAAGTTACGTCGTCTGCTCTTGTAGACAGACAGACATATCTAAAAAAAAAACATTACAGTGTTTACTGCAGCCAAAAAATGTGGATGAGCTGTTATCATACTAACTCTGCAAGCCCAGTAGCAGTGCTTACAACTGCCTAAAGCTCTGATATAATAAAAAATTTTACTGTACTTTGTTTTGTGCACAGTACAGTTTGTTCCGTCAGACAAGCAACAGGTAATCACTGATAAATAGTTGTATCTTCTTTTATACCTTCAACAAGCTCATAATTAGTTTTTTAGTGTTTTTGAGCAGAATTTTAATAAAACACATGCTTTATTACGCCTGAAACAAAAAATAAAGCTGTGTCTGATCTACACAAAGCTATCTTATTCTAGTGAAAGAATAATTTAGGGCCCGGCAACATTGTGCTATGACAGCACAGTAAATTTGAGTACTGTGGACTGTGGATACTGTAATTTGAGTGAAAAAGTGGTGGCGATGGTTAACGAACGGGCGGAATGTCGGTGTAATCGGCGCCCTAAAACACCGGCGGAACGGGATATGTGTAAAATCACAGTTGAAGTTAACCCTGATATCAGTTGCCCTTCGAGTGCGATAAGCGTGGTTAAAAACTTACGGAGCGTCGTGACACGCTCTAAAGAGAACAGTTTTTGACATATCTTGCGACGATCCAACCTGTGCTGACGCGCAGGACAGCACCGACCGTGGCCTTGTGTACGGAGACGTATATCAGTATCAGATATCCTTCATGCCTAAATAGCATATTGCAAAAGCGTGCGTCACAAAGCATGGTCTATATGCCTACATTCCCAGTGCTAACTTCACGATTGGGCCATTCTTGCCGGTGCGCCGTTCACGTGATGGAGGTCTCCGCATTTGACCGTGTCATCTGGCAGGCAGTTAGTCAACAAGGTGACGAGCAGGTATACTTGCTTTATATTCATATCCGAACAGATCGAGAAGCGTACCAGCGCACAGACCACCAAAGCGAACAGGGCAGGGTAATCTTTTTTTTTTTTTGTCTGCTCTTCTATTCTGTTTATGTGTGTGAAAGCACGCTTTTGGATCTGTTCAGAGATTTAATTCCTGCGTTGCAAAGCCCTCAGCAGTACTTGGTCTCAGTTGTTTGCTATTCCACTTGCGGAGCTTCACATTTCATTGATTCGAATCCACGGCCCACCTACATAGGTGTTTCTTTTCCCATTAAATTTATGTAAACCGACGCTGTGTGTGCCAGGTATGTGCTAGCCCGTTCAACATATAGTGCCCCCCCCCCCCTTTTTTAAACTCTGCTTTTACCAAGGGACAGTTCTTTTGATTAAGGCATTTTTTTTTTTCAATATTTCTAGCAGTTGTATCTTTGTGTAGGCTGCTTTTATTAATACACATCAAAGGGGCAAAACGCTATGTCAGAGTGTTGTGACCTTTGCACACTACAAATGTGAATTGGAGATGCTACCATGTGATTTTAGCAGACTGTAGAGCATAGTGGCACCCACTCACAAGAAGCACATCTGATCCCAACAAAACTTCTCATTTTTGCCAACTGTCAGCCAATGGCACTAATGTCACTGGTAGCATTAAACAGACGGAGCACAGGCCTTTGTAGATTGATTTATATGTGGGGTTTAACGTCCCAAAACCACCATTTGATTATGAGAGACGCCGTAGTGGAGGGCTACGGAAATTTTGACCACCTGGGGTTCTTTAACCTGCACCCAAATCCGAGCACACGGGCCTACGACATTTCCGCCTCCATCGGAAAGGCAGCCGCCGCAGCCGGGATTCGATCCCGCGATCTGTGGGTCAGCAGCCGAGTACCTTAGCCACTAAACCACCGCGGCGAGGCTCAGGATTTTGTATGAAGACACCTTGTGGTTGATGTGGGAACTGTACACTCTGCTTGTCCTTCTGCACGTCTACTTGTCAAGCTCTACGCGCCATTTATGAGTACAAAATTTGGCCGCGCTTGCTGTTTGTAGAATGTGCTGTTTTGACACGGCCAAGGGGCAGCTCTTTAATCCTTTAATCTTCTGCTAAAAAACACGAAGTAGCCTGATTTTGGGTATGTCTAAAACTTTTAAATGCTCTCATTTTGGTAACTTTGGTCATATTGCCCTGGGGTGGGTTGCCAGTTTGATACTCTTGCCTTATGTGATGTGTGCAAGGTGAGCATATAGACTAGGTTACTTGCGTTCATTGCCGTTTGCGCAAATTAAAATCTCGCCGCAGATACGTGTACCTTTAGTATCTGTATAAAGCTAAGTGTCATTTGCTCTTGCTTTTGGTTATATCGAAATTGTTCTTGCTTTACGCAATGCTTATTTTTCTCCACTTTGTCCAATTTCGTATAGTCCTCATGTTGCTGGAGGCTGTAACGCACTATCAGATGAGGCCATTATTATAGGGGTTTAAATAGGTACATTAGCTTTCTGTGCTATTTCTTTTGATTGCTTAGCTTTCCATGGAAGCCCAAATGGCGGCTGATGCCCAGACAGTGGTGGTAGTGGTTCTTGAAGAAAGGAAGAAAAGACATGTAATTTCTCTCTGCCATTAGGTGACAATGCAGATTAATGCATGTGCACTGTAAAGCCACCTTTCTCCCACGTAAGCACAGCTCCCCTCAGTCATGGTCCTCCCTCTCTTCACTAGCAAAACAGGCCCGGCTGCACCTGTACAGTCGTGCCAAATATGAGTGGTAAAGTGCTTCTCATAATCAATGTGGCGACTAACAGAGAAAAGGGTCATCAACATAAACTCTGTTGAAACTGCTGGCACTCTTAAAACTAACTTCGAATGTGTCATTGCTGCAGTATAAGGACTGTTCAGGCAGGGAATAATCCTTTGGGGAGAAGCAGGCATTGCAAGTCACATGGCTACCACGTCGCATATTTGCGTCCGATTGTGCAAGAGGGTCCAGAGGGGCAACGCCCACTCATCAGTCTGTGACGTCCACTCTTCCTTCAAGCATTTCTCTCTCATGTCAATACTGCTATATGCTTGAGGTACCTTCAACCATGGCCGCCATGTCGCATCTCATATTAAGCGCCACTGTATGAGCCAGCTTCACCAGTCGACTTTCTTTTGTTGGTAGCAAAAGGTGTTCACCGAGACAGTTCTGCAACATTAGCTATTGTTGCTCGTACCTCAGTGAAGTCGAAATTGTATCCTGGAACTATTCGGCAAGCAATCAGCAGTAGCCATGTTCAGGAAAACATAGGAAGGTTCGAAAAGAAAGGTTTGCTTTAAAGAGAAAAAACACAAATGGTCAAAAATAATAGGTTCTTCCATCATATACCTCCTGTAGCCTGTTGGACATTAATCTTTGTTATTGACTCATCTGTGCAAAGATTAGCAGAGAGCAGCCATGTGATTATGCAGCACTTGGACATATTGGTGCCTATGTCCCCAGTAGGACTATATGTGGAGGTACTGTAACACTGATGCATATGCAATAAAAAGTCGCTATGTATTTTACATATAGATCTGTTATGGGCACCATTAAAATATAGTATTACTGTTTGGCACACGTAACTTGTCTGCTGTTGGCCCTCGGCGTAACTGAATACTTTGCAGCTTGTTTTACAGTGAAAGCTGGTATGAGATCACAAGAACAGCCAGATTTGATGCTGTAATTGACCGCAGCTTCCGACAGTTTCCGTAACCGCTATCACATGAAATAGAAAGAAATAAAGGGATAAAAGAAAAATTATCTAGGATTGAATGGGATTCGAACATGGAGCATCTGTGTGGCATTCGAGTATTCCACCACAGAGCCAGACCAGTGCTTGATACTCTTTTGCAAAAAGACCCTATACAGACATCACATCTGGCAAAGGATTGCATAAACATGGGTAATATTGCATGGTGGAAGAGTAAAATAACCATCACGTGTTATACAATGCAAATTGTGTAATTAGTGGGTTGGGAAATGCTTCCAACGCATTAAAAGAGCTCAACCATAATTAATTGTAATCAGCTTCAGTACAAAGTGCTCACATAATGCCTTATATGTGTGTAGCAGGTACCATGCTCTCTGCAGAATAATCAATTATGGTATAGTAGGTGGCTCCCAAATAAAAAAGAAATTATGGTGTAGTGGGCACCTTGCAGGTGCACTATACTTTGGTGTCTTAAGAGAGTATACAACGGACTCCAGAAAGGCCGCACTTATTACTTTCTCTGTGACTGTGCTGCGTGTTCTGCGCAGGTGTGGTGATCTTAAATGTTCTCTGGCGCTTTCGTTCATCATCTATTTTCCTGTTGGTGTTCTTCTGGGCAGTAGAGCGCACAGTGTTAAAAAAAGATATTCAGTATAAAGTATGGGTTTTGATAACTACTGAATGACCTCAATTCGTATTTTGTACTTAAATATAGTTAATATTTAATTTGGCATGCATTAACTGCAGGCCTGAATTTATTTCAAGTAAACAGTGGTAACACTTTCATTAAATAGTCAAAGTACAATGGAGTAAACCAGTGCTTTAATCGCTGAAAACTAGTGGTTTCACAAATATTCCTCAATATTGTTGGGCATTCTTTTTTTTTTTCTTGTTACAAGAACAGTAGAAAATAATCACAGGGCCTCCATAAAATTGTTGTATGGTAAACATTTGCAGACTACTTGTTGACGTGAAAGGCTCTGTGATAAAGTGCCATAAATTCAAACATTTCACCACAAAATGACGGAGCCTGCACAAAGTCACGGCACCTTTGAACAGCTATACCGGACGATTCGAAACGACTAATCTGGTTGCTTGTAGGCATTTGCTAGTCCTTTGCTAGGGCATGCTATGCTGTTTCTAGGTTGATACTTGGCACAGAGAGGTTTAAGTAAAAGCACAAACAGTTGCAGACATGACACAGACTATCCAAACTCCGGAGACTTGTGTGTTGAAATCGAGCATT